TTTTACAAGTGATTTGACCACAGGGACTGTAACATGAAGCTGGTGATGGATGGAGTGTCTTGTGTTTTGTCCCAGGAGGATGAGAATCTGTGTCAGCCCCAGCGCTTACCATCCTCTCTCTACCCTTGAGTCCGTCAGCTGTGTCAGGACAGGGTCTCCCCTCTGCCAGCGCCAGCCGAGACTGTGATCAAAGGCCAACACAGACCCGACTGTAATTGAAAACAGAGCCCCCTCCAGCAGGAATATGCTGAGTACAGACAAACGCCACGCATTCCAAAAGCATGAACTCTGCAGAAAGAGACAGGACAGGATCAACACTTGAAGTTTGCTTCTGTCTTTCATGTGGGAGTTGTGGTTGGGATGGAGAGGCTGCTCTGAAAACCTGCAAAGTATGGTTTTATCTTTGTCTGCTTCCAAACACAATCAACCTGCAAGTTTTCTTAATTAAAAAACTAAGAAAGAGAATTTATTCTTGAATCAGAATCATAATGTTTGGACAATTTGGTCTACAGTGATGAATAAACGATCAATAAACAACAGCTGTTTCAACACACCTTGCTATAACTCCATGTTCAGTTGTTCATTCTCACATCCGGTCTTCAAATTTGATACTCGATCTCAAACAGACTGTTTCCTCTTAACAGAAATCCTGTGTTTGGTTTTGTGCTTCCTTTTTCAATAAAGTTGTAACACGAGGAAAAATATGAGGGATGAAATATTAATGGGTTTCCTTCGGGCGTTTCCTGGCATTATAACGTCACATTTAATCACCAGCAGCAATGAGAGGAAATCAGGGTCAAGCACTCAGCGGTGTTTGGCGAGATATTATGTCATGGGAGTGTAAGAGCTCTAAAGAGGGTGTATTAGTTAGAAAGAGCAGATCAGAAATGATGCACCATCATGGCAGACTTAAGGTAGAAATGAACATAATTTTATTCTACATATAGAGCGCATCGATATTTTTCTGCAACTCCCAGTTTTAAGGATTTTTTTGTTTGTTTCACAGGGAAACCAGAACTGAGTATTGCACAGACGAGTGCAATAGGAACTGGGCGTACGCTGAACAAGGATGTTGAGACACTGATTCAGTCCTTGTAAAAGCAATGTGGTCAGTCTAGCTTCAGTGCCAGGTCATTAAAGGGGGAAACCCTGTTCTCCCAGCTACTGCTCTACCTCTCGGTGCCAGCTATTAAAACTGAATGAAGACAAAGACTTCTTTAGGCTGGGTCAAATGTAAACAAGGCTTATAAAATGGAAAATAAAAGAACAAATCTGATTGGATGAGAGGTGTTCTGTGGGTCTTGATACAGAGTATAACAGCACTGGGGTGTTTTCTGCAGTCAAATGTAATCATTAGAGTTTACTGGGATTACAGCTGCATGGAATTGTCTATATTTAATAAAGATAGTGGCTCTGATTCTCACAATAGACTCCAGCACCAATAGTTGCAAGATAGATTACACAAAAAACAAAAGGATGAGTGAAGGAAAATGCTTCTTACAGCTAACTACTACAGTATAAACCTACAGGTAGAAGTGTTACACTGTATAAAAGTAATAACACACTTAAAGTCCTACTCCTATCATTTTTTATATACTAATTAAAGTGTTCTCATGGGTCTTTAAATTGTGTTTATAAAGTTTTTAGCCAAAATCACGTTACCTGTGTCATTTTCAAGGACTTTTCTTCTGCAGAGCTTCAGTAGATCATTAGCAATTCACCTCTGAGTTGTGGGCGGAGACAGCGCTGCTCTGCACACCCCTCTTCACACTCCTCTTCACGCTAGTTTGTAGCCTAGCATCACCTGTGTAGCAGAAGTGGCAGGTAACATAGGAGCTATTCAGCTCTCAGATACTAATGTCTTTAAGGGATATGATGAAAGCTAATATCATAATTAGCTTTCTTACGAGCATTGCAATCCACTGACACACACACTTGTTCCGTGTTTATCCTCTGTAATTCTCCTCTATATGCAGACTGTGGCCTGCATAGCAGAATCAGAATCAGAAGGGGTTTTATTGCCATTGTCGATGAACAGGATTCACAGTCTAGGAATTTGTTTTGGCATGATGGTGCAACAATAAACAGAGAGAAATTTAAAATACTAGAATAAAAACTGGGCTCTGGGGGCGGAGCTTGGAATGGTTACGTATGAAATGTCACTGTTTCTGAACCTGCCATTTTGGGTCTGCCAGAGATTCACAGCGATTTGAATGAAGAAATACTCAGAATAGCAATTTCGCGTTTAGATTTCTCATATGTCCTGTAGTATCAGAAAAATGCCATATGAACATGTAGACAACAAGAAAAACATAGCTTTCATCGGAGTGGGTCTTGAAGGTTGTGGAGTTCTGCGAGAAATCAGAACTCTGTGATCTGCTGGTATTTGGTAAAGCATCCCTCTATCAAGACTCTTTTCTTTGTAAATAAACAGCTGGGATGGGGCTCGTCCAGCTTTCCTCTTTTTAGGGTGGTCACCACGCTGACGACAAAGGTACAGAATGTTTCTGGGTCACATTCGGTGAATTCCAGAGAGCCGCTGCAATCCCAAAAGGAAGAGAGCCAAGTCTAACAACTCATTTTGGAAGGGCGGTGTTTCAAATGAGGGTCGTGATACTGTGTCTGCCTGGTTCTTTTGTATTATCCATGGTTTCGTGATCGCTCTCGTGTCATGTCTTTCAATCACGCCCTCCCACTCCTCACCCAAGAGGCAGTATTGAAGGTTCTTTCGGCGCTGCTCTTCTGGCACTAAAAGTTTCTCACACTAGATGTATATGTCAGTGGAATGTGGTCAGCTGTTCTGTCTGAACTGAGATCTGTTGTTTCCTGCATTGTTGATTGTGGTAAATGAGAAAATGCCCCAATGCATGATGGTTTCACTCTGCATGTTTTTTGCACTATAAAGAAACCACAAACCAGAAACCACCATGACATGTTCGGTCCAATCATATGTGGGCGAGGACAGAGGAGCTGACAGCCAGTGCTCTTAACTCAGTCCTGTCTCTGAGCTTCATGGTCCTGATACATACAAGAGTTTTACTTATTCAGAGGAACCAAAGCTGAAGGCCGGGAGGAGAAAGAATGTAAAAACAGGAGCACCCATTTCCTCAGGCGTTGGCAGTTTTCACTGAAGGCTTGAGGGATGAAATTACTAAAGGCTGTGTGCATCTTCTTGAGTTTATGTAGAAAATGAAAACCAGAGATTAGAATGGGAAAGTATGGGATGAAAAATGGGAGAAGAAATGCTTGTCGGTCTGCAGATCAAGAGCCGGGTTGTTACAAAATCCTCATTCATCATTCAAGAGGGTCAACCAGCTGAAGAGAAAACTAGTACAACTAATACCGTCCAAGATAGATGAAGAGAAAACTAATTTCCATCTGGGGAGCCCCAGGTCTGAAAGCTTGTGACTTATTTCGTTTTTCTGGGAAACAATGGTTTTCATGGTGTTCAGGGCAAACATGGAACAGACGAAAAAAATGATCTGTTTGTCTCATTGATCCTAAATCATTTTATGTCTGGATTTTAATTTGTTTTGTCTTTTGGATTTTAAACAATTTTATGTCTGTGATTTTATATTGTTTTAATCTCTCCTTTTTTAAAATTTTGGTATTTCCTTGCATCTGTAAAGCACTTTGAATAGCCTTGTGTATGAATGGTGCTATACAAATAAACTTGCCTTGCCTTTATGGGTCCCATAACTTTAAGTGGTTTTGCCTCTTTGTATAATCTCCATGTATCTCTTTAATAAATTTATGTTCTGATATAAACGCTGTCCAGAGGATCTGCCCTCATGTCTCTGACTTTTTATCTGACAACCCAGAAGGTCACAGTTTCCACATGAAATTAATCATAGAACACTATGGTTGTGGGGGGGAAATATCTCAACACCTACCTGTGAAGCACACTCACACTGTGGGGGTTACTCATGGTTCCCAGCTGATACACCCCCCTCACCACCACAGAGGAAACCCGAGAGTTGACATTTGTGGTTTAAAGTGAATACTCAAGCAAATGTAAATATGTGGGATGGGTCCATGAACTCAGTAGTAAAAAGATTTAAGACAATGTTTTTTTTTATTTTAATCACGTGATTACTTAATGACTAAATAAAAAACTAAAAGTGGTTGTCATCTTTGTTTTATCAGCTCACTTCTGCTTCTTGGTTTAGACTGACACAGAACAGACGACAGAGCAAACAGCAGATCTTCATAGAGATAATCGTCTGGTGTGAACATATTAACTTAAAAACATATTTACAGATCCGGGTGCTTGTTGAAACCCTGAGGTGATGAAAGCTGCAGCTTCTTGTGACCTTCAGCCCACTTTCACATCTGTCAAACTGGATTGGCCAAAACAGACACTGCCCTGCTGCACAGCATTTCTGCCTCGAGACAGTAAACAAAGGGCCTGCATTGGACACATCTGTTGACGTGCAAAGAGAAACCTCTTTTTTTTAACAAATCAGGCCATCTGTGAGCAGAACAAAATGTTATCTCCAACAAGTGCTGTTTTGCATCTTTGTTATCACGGTTAAAGGCGGCGGTGATGACGGCTAATGAAAGTCTCTCCCAGCTCATTTTGACCTTTTCCTGCTCAGTACATGTTCTCTGTCATCCACTCCGGCACTTTTAACAGTGACCAGATGTCCCAGATCGCAGGCCAGGCTCTGCGCTGTCAGCAGATCTGAGAGCCAAGCGTGAGCTTAGCATGAAACACTGACATGGCACACCAGTCCTCCAGGGACGCAGCCAAGGAAACCTGCAGAGCTCTGCTCTCTTCATGCTTTTATAAAACGGTACAGCGGCGACTTTACATTAGAGTGGCTCATATAAAATCCATAGTGAGAGGGTGTAAGGCACCTTGAAGGTTAAAATGCAAATAAACCCGCCAGTGCATTCACTTTTTTCAAGTTTTTCAGTGTATTCAGGCTTTGAACTAAAGTGATCAGACATATTTGGATGGTATAGAGGAAAATGACAAAACACACAGGGCCAATCAATCACTTTCTGTGAGGGAGGAATTTATTTTTCACCACCTCTATGACAATCCCTCCGTGTTGTAATCCACTTCATGATTATAATCAGCAGAGCAGTTGAGCTGGCAAAGTGTGCTATTAAAAGACTGCATTATTAAAAGAGGGGAGGAACCATCTAACTGCCTGACGCTCAACGCTACCCCAAGACTATGTCTGAGAACCGACATACTGTTGACAAATTCAGCTCCTGAAGTTAACAAATCGAGTCCATCATACATGTCCCTTATACTCTGCAAACACTGGTGCTAACTGGGCCATATGTGAGGCAACGATTCCTATCAATCAAACCTGCTAACTTGTCTCAGTGTGGAAAAAAAAAAACCCACAACCAAACAATAAAACCTGCCCTTGATCAAAACACAGTGATGCTGTTTTGTTTCCAAAGACCGAAGAGTTTGTAGCTGTGTAAAAACAAATAGATTACATTTCTACATTGACAGAATATAAAGCTTTTTAGTAACTAGTAAAAAAAAAATGACTGGAGAGACGTAATCTGAAGGCACAGCAAGACAGTGGTGACGGAGCCTGCTCAGGGAGAAGACTGTAAACATTTCTTCCTGTTTGTCTGAGGAGAAGAAGAAGAAGATACCAGGAGGAGTTTGTGTGTTTACAGAAGGCAGAGTGGAGCGTTGTTACTCCTGGAGTGGCAGTCACTTTAAAACTGTCAGTTAAAAACAGTGCTGTAAGGCTAAAAACATGTAATTTACGAAACATTGCACCAGGTACGTAGGTGGCAGCAGCAGATACAAGGCTCTTTCTCTGCAGGTCATAGGGTTGATTAGATTGAAGTCACCCATGCACCAGAAGAAGAAGAAGAAGAAGAAGCGGCGCTCCATTATCACTGATCTCATTCAATCTAAAGGCGTCAAACAAGTTAATTAAATTACATGTCCTCGCTTAAACGAGGACAGTCAGTCCCTCAAAAATGTGGCCAACGCACAGAGAAACCTGGGTTTGGTAGAAATGACTGGAGCAGAATCTCCTCGAATGTTCCTCCCTGCTGGATGAGCACCATTCGCAGTATGTGCTGTGTGCGCCAAATCACCACTGGCCGGCTGAGGAAGGTGCACGGCCACCGGTCGCCAAGCGTCTAAACCAACAAGCCAAGACGAGCCGCCTATTACGCGTTGTCATATTTCTGCAGAGCCTCCTCCAGCTTGCCCGTGATTTTCTGGAAGAAGGATATCTGCTGCTGTAGGTAGTACTGCATCTGCGCCTTGAAGTCTCGCACACGGATCTGGTGGAAGTGCTGGATCTCGGCCAGCGTGGCGCAAGAGATGATGTTGCAGCGCTCGTTGATGCCTTCTGCCTGAGCTCGGTCCATCTTGCCCTCCTCCACGTGCTTCTGGCTCTCCTTCACTTTCGTCAAGGCCCCTGTTTGGAGACAGGAGAAGAGTAAAAGTCAGTTTTCATTTGGACTGTAAAGTTCTAGTCAACTGGTCGACTTATTAGTCGGTACGTGCTTAGTCGACCAAAGTTCTGATTGGTCAACTCGATTTTTTTCCACATCAAATTCCACATTGTGTTTTAAAAGCACCCCCATTTCACAGGTAACAGCCTGTCTTGGAATATCCCCCATGTTTTCACCATTTAGGATTTGCCCAGCCCACCGGAGACAGGAAGATTGAAGAGCTACTCTGGTGGTTTGCTGAGTAATATTTGTGTTTATTCTCTTTTTGTGCTAATATCAGCCGCGTATTAGCCCCCCCCGCTGCAGAAGGGTTTGAAGTCAGAGTTGGAAAAAGTCGATTTTTGGTAAAAAATTTCAGGGTTTCAGTCGATTTCTTGGTTGATTACAGCCCTAGGTTTCATCTGTTTTGCTTGTAGGCTAACTTTAGATTTGTTTTGATTATTTAGAGAATGCTTCATGATGAGGAAACACAAGATACTATTTTAATCTGTGTGGGAAAACCAGCCCACAACTGGGCCATGTTCTCAACTACGTTTCCTTCTCAAGACATCAGATCTATTCCCTCATACTGAGTTTTTAACTCCGCACAAAGACAGACTGACTTCCAGAAGAAGCCTGGAGAAACATTTATAGCATCACAGTACTAGCTAAAAATAATTAGACGAGCTGGTTAGAGAATGTGAGGGGGCTGGACTCTAAAAAAACGTCTATTAGATGATGTTTTTTCCCAAAGTCTGTGCTGAACAACCATTTAAGGCAATTCTGTTGGCAGTCTGATACCATCGACCAACAACTGCTGGTGATTTCAGGGGCATAAAATAAACACAGAACACTTCCTTCCAAATGTGAACAACCCCGTTTTGTTATTCTGAGCTTTTCCTTAATACTGATGTCATGGTTAGGATATTATAAACCTCACCACAGAACAATTGTCCAATTGTAGCTTAGCAACGCTATCAAGGATCGCTCCTCAAGTGGGAAACAATCAACATAGAAACTGGAGCACAGATGGTTCAAGAGATTGTTTCCTCCTCACCTCTCCAGAGTCTAAAATCACACTTTTAAGAGTAAAGATGACAAGATCCAGATGTCCTGCACTGTCAACAATAGTAATGTACTAATATTAACAGATCAGTTTAACTTTATTTGATAAGTATCTGTATCATTTAACTTTAATATTGCAGTTTAAATCAGTGTGATTTTCATTTTTCACTGTGCAGATTATGACCAAGGTTATCTCACCTTCACAGCACATTTCTCACGTGACTATGCCTTGCAAAGAAGAAATTCCCACATGTCTCACTTACGCCCAGACTACAACACCTCTGTGTTTCCACACTGCCAGAGAGAGCTACACGCTGCCGTCACTGTGGTGGGCTTGTGGCAAAACAGGGTTGAGTCATGTCGATTCACAAGCCTGCCGTTTTGACACATATCAACTGTCACTGCTGCCTCTTCTTCTTCTTCCCGTCTCTAGACCTCTGCTGAGTTTTTCTTGCTGCAGAAAAAAAAGCCTTCAGTCAAACTGGTGCTGAGACCAGAAATTAGTTGCAGACAGATGCTTGAATGAGAGCAGAAGGCAGGGTCACAGCACCATGAGCTCATGACAGATGACTTCTTCAACTTTTGACATTTCCTGACCGAGTCAAGGGAGAAACGTCTCCAGCAATAAGAACCGAGGAGAAGGGAAGGTGGAGTGACAGGCCAAGAGTTTCTGTCTGATCCAACTACTTTAAAATGTTTACATGTCTCAGCCAGATTCCTAGAGGACAACCAGAGAGAGAGAGTACACTTCTTAGAGACGGGGCATAAATGTGAATAAATGTGTTCTTTCTTCATGTTTTAGTGTTACTTTAAGATTAGCTCCTGTCAAAAATGATTTCCAGATTTACAAGATGATTTTTCTGGAAACAGAAGAGAAGTCCAAAACGTTGAACTCTACTTTCATCAACTCTGCAGCCTTCCAGGCTTTTTTAACCAGACACATTATTGCTCATCAAGTCATGTTGCCAAATATGCTGAATATTTCCTCATTCCAGTTATAAATTGTAAAAGGTTGTCACTTCTCTGTGTTCAAGGTGTCTTACTTTCCAGTTTACAGAACTGGGACTGTCATCTCTGACATTCCTGGACGGGTAACTAATGGAAAAACCTGCAGCAGACGTACTCTTTTTCAACTCAATAGACCAATTTTTCTGTCCTACTTCTTTGTCTATGTGACAGAAACCAATACTGGCCTGAAATATAGCGAAATGTTGTCATATAGTGTTGAGCAAGTTGTTGTACTCTCTCAAAAAGACAGAATGTACCAAGGTAAGTTCATCTTCATGCATGGCGTAACTAGCTGACAGACGTCATCTCCATCTCCGGCTTTGAGGCAGCAGGGGAAAGCCAGATTTGTGCCGTTAAAGCATGAAGCTGAACTTCCACTACTGACCTGTCATGAGATTTCCAAGCCATTGTGAGTTTAGACACCAGCAGTCTGATTCAGCCGAGCTTGTTTCCTGAAATGTGACCACAGAAGACTTGCTGACCTCAACCTGCACTTGTCTTCAGTCTAGCCACAAAAAAGCGCCTCACAGCCCCTTTCCACTCGCATATAAGGCAATTCAGAGCAGCACAGAGACAAATTTTGCTGACAAAATCCTCCCAAAGAGACATCCACATGGCCCTTCCCCCTTTAAAACTGGCCCAGTTTGCCTTCTGGCTGTCGCTCCCTCAGCCACAGTTTAACCCAGATCTTTGAAATTCCTCTAATTCACAGCAGATTGGACATGACAGAAAGAGACACAGAGATAACAGCAGAGTGGAGACGGGGGGGGCGGAAATGAGAAAGACAAGAACAAACACAGCTGTCCAAAGACTTAAAGCAGATCCCCACGGTGTTTACTGTACCTTAAAGGTCTCTGACTTCCTGCACTTTAAGAGCACACTAATGGACTAAAGGGGAATCATTGTTGCCGTGGAAACTTTATATGAAAATACAAAGACTTCAGTCATAGCAAACTAAATTGAGACACTTTATTATAACAGCTGCTGCAAGCAGGGCTGAAAATGTTAATTATCTGCTTTGTTGGTTATTTTCCGCTGGATATTTTTCAATTAACCACATATTTAGTCAAAAATGGAGCCTAAATTTATGAGATATACTGTAACAAGTGATTTCAGGAACTTTGTCATACTTGTCCCATCATAAAATATTCAGTCATAAATGTGTATTTTTGTGTGCTTTGGCCTGAGGTTTAACTCTCGTACTATCCTGCGTTTGATCATCTCATGCATGCTTACTCATCAGGATCGATAATGGTGCTTTTTCACATGAACCGCACCTATTTTGAACCCTAACCCTTAGCAAAACCAATGCTGCTCAGCATTTCTGCACCAAGTGGCTTAAGCACGGAAAGACTTTGAGCAACATCTCCACTCTCTGTGTTCACGGTGCTCTCAGTTGAAAATAGCTCAACCAACACTCATCAATGTCACTTCTCCATCCCCACCTCAGATACCAGCTTGGTCAACAACGATGGCAGATGTCTATACAGAAGAGAAAGTAACCACATGAGTATTCTATTCTAATCTATCTATCTATCTATCTATCTATCTATCTATCTATCTATCTATCTATCTATCTATCTATCTATCTATCTATCTATCTAGATATATAAAACATACATATATGTATTTGTATGTAAAATATCGCAGAATGAAAGCAAGTATAGCGCATTCAGAGCAGCTATAAAAGAGTTAACAGTGATCACCAAGAGAAGAAGCGTGAGAGAACTGTTGTAACCTCGCAACAGGAAGTGTCAGTGAAAAGTGCAAGAAAAGGCGTTAATGGACACAGGCCCTTATTTCCTGCTGTCATGGTCAGAGGCTGCCTGTTGAGATCAACCATCAGTTAACCTGCAAATACTTCTTTTTTCTTGCATTGGTTGTTCAAGCTGCAGAATTATCAGCATGATCACTGAATCAGCCTTCAGTCAGCCATGGGGGGTCTTGCAAGCAGTCCAAAACCCACCTGAGAGTTTGAGAGGCAGAGATTTTCTGAAAGAAGTAAATCATGTGTATCCCTTTTGTTCCTCTTTTTGAACAATAAGAATGTTAATAAAAGTGATTTTATGCCCCGGTAGACTGTGAAAGTACGACTGAATCAAATCTGAAACTGCTGCTTTTGCTTCTGCCAGCGTTACCTTCATTATTTACAGTTACTGAGAGAAAAACAGAGCACAGAAAGAGACACATTATGCTGAAAAAGATTAAAAACACAGGCTCTGATTCATCTTGGAAAGCAGCATCATCTACAGTGATTAATGAGGCTTGTAGCATACAGCAGTGTCACATTATAAATAAGATATAACTCCTCTGATAGAAATCCTCCCTGGCTCTATGGAGGTGGCAGTGAATCCCCCTGGACTCCCTGCAGGCTGCAGCTTCAGCTCTTACGTAATCCTCCTGTTACACAACACGAGCTGCTGCGAGCCGCTGACCTGATCAACCAGCGGCAATCCCCACCTCATCGCTGCACCACCTCTGTCATCCATCTGTGCACCACGGGGTGTTTAAATAGCCTGTAATGACATATAAGACAGTCCTGCAGTGCGCTGCGCACAGAGGGATCATCAGCCGAGAGTTTGACTTTTCTTAAAACCATCATCGTTTGCTCATTGTTTCTGTTGTTGTTTTATCCCTTTAAGTGATAAAAGTTTGATGAGATCAGAAAGAAGCTCTGTATGTAAAAAAAGAGAAGATGAAGAGTGGATTAAAAAGGCACGAGCTGAAGGCACTTCACCAACTCCACGACTTATTTACTTAACCTTAATTTACCACAGTCAGTCTTTTCATGCTTAATGTTCTGTACACAGAACAAACCGATTGAATTCTGAACTCCAGTATGCAAATGTGATCAAACACACACCTCTTCACCTTTATGTAACCAGTTTGTTCTCTCAGTAGACCGTTTTCTCAGCCTGCTATAGACCTAGAGTCTGAAGCGTTTCTCTGACCTGATAAGAACTTGATTCTATTTCTGAAGACGGGGCTGTTGCTCTTTTCTTTTAGCTAAAATGATAACATGCCTCAGTCTAAAGTTAAAAACAAGTTTATCCTCTAAACAGCACTGCAGGCAAGGTCAATATTATCTCACTGAGAAAGTGTTTGAACAAGAACTTACAGCAGCTGATCTGTCTGCATCTCAATATTCACAAGATGAAATAAGCGGTGTTAAAAAAGGAGACGTGCGTTTTTTCACCCCGACAAAAGCTGCAGGACTATTCAAAGACTGTATATACAGTAGCTCCAATAATGCTAAGTTTAAGCATGTCTCTTCATGCATAAGAATAAATGTAGCTTCTTTGGTCTCATAACAGACATAAACTCACACCAGAGTTCACTCAGAGTATGGACTATTTTTATGAAACCATCTCCCTCCTTCCTTTCTCTTCTTAAGAGCTTCAAATAATAAAACACAACAAAACCTGTCCTAATGCCGTCAAAGGCTTTCTGCCAGATTAGGACGGAAATAAAACCGTACAAAAATAAAGGAGGAGACGCTCAATATATGATATCAGTGCTTTTGTTCCAGTGTAGCTCTGTGCTATAGTGGCTAATGTTGTCCCTGGGGAGCCAGGGATCGATCGGGTGCTGCTCTGTGTCCTGATGTGGGGCTGATGGGATCAAATAAAAACCTGTCTGGTGCCTCAGGTTCTAGTGTGACTGATATAGGGAGCTAAAAGTGGAATCCAGAGCTGATAACACTGAATGCTTATTTGGGTTTTCCCCAAAGAAAGCAACAGTGGTAAGTTATCAGCAGTAACTGAGCAAGCTCCTGCAGATTTCAATATGCTGAGTTTAAATCTTCAGATGTGAGCTTACTTATAACTCAGAAATGATAGAGTATTTCTGACACACATTTATCAGAAATGTTAAAACTAGAAACACAAGATAGACCAACAGAAGGCTGAAAATATGAGGCTGTTTCAAGATATGTGACAGAATGCAAAATATGACATAAGAAGACAAACAGGGGCCAGAAAAAATGCTGCTCAAAACTGGTTTAAGCAGTTTTTTCTCGACACAAACATATACGTGTAAAGAAAAATGCTGATATCTGTTCTTATGGTTGCAGTAACAATTACACATTTGTAGTTTTAACAGTTATTAAGGTCTGAATAGTTGTGCAAAACCTCCAGCAGAGGAGGAGGGAGTTTAAACTGGACTTTACAGCTTAAATGTCATGTAACTCTGCAGCGGGTGTTTGCGTTGAACGCTCCCTAGAAACATGCAGGCAATTTGGGTAACAAGCAGCTATTCAGCCGTCAGGTCAGGATGGAGAGAGCGGCTGTATTTAATGTACCGCATGGACATTAACTGTGTCGTTACATCACTGTCACTGCCTTTGCTGCATAATGGAGCCCTGTAGGTACTGGCAAACACAGACAAGGAGGCGCATGCTCGGCTTTGAACAGAAGATAGGTTGGAGTTTATACTGTGTGTAATCATGTTTCTTTAGGCTGCACAGCTTGTGCAATAGTCTCACGGTGTTCTTAAAGGTGCAGTGTGTAGATATAGATCTTTGTTTTGGTTAAATCTAGACATCAGGTTTTAGTCTGAAACCTGCCCTTGCTCGCACGGGTGTGAAGAAATAGTCAGGGTTGTCATAGGGGACAAGAAGCTCCTGTAATGCACGATTATACAATCAAATTTGACGATCAAAATCCACCATCAAACCAAACTCCTACGTGTACAACGACAATAACTACTCTGTCTCCTCCTCTAAAAACTATACACTGCACCTTTAGCAGCTTATCATCTTAGTTTGTTTATGTTGTCATGTGCAGATATTGTGCACTCAAGATAGCGTGGGATAAACTGTGTGTTTATTATGTTTTCTATGGTCAGAACTTCTCTGGGGTTTCTTTTTCGGTCATATTTTTATTTATTAGTTTTTAGTACTACTGTAGAGACAGTTGAGCGTAGGAGTGGGAATCACCAGTGGCCCCACTAAAAGACATTATCGTGATACTTGGGCCACAATACCATATTATTGCGATTTTAAACATTTTGCAGAACAGTGAGTACTGCAATACAATATATTGTGATCTAAACAATTTTTTCAACTGTTTAGCTAATTCAGCATTTGTCTAAAGGTTCTTTCACAACGGGACCGTTTTGTCGTGGGATTATTTTGGACGTCAATATTTTTTTTCGAACCCGTATCCTGTCAATACAAGCGTTCACATCAGTGACGTTTTCCCGTCTCGTGATATTGCGGCATTTTTTTTTTTGGATCATGGTCAATTTTTCTTAAGTTTCACATTCTGTGTGTCCACTTCTGACCAACCAGATAGCATGTTGTTGCGACGTCTGATTCACTGGTATATCCAACATGGCCGACCAGCTGATTGTTTACGTGTTGGAGAACAGAGTGCTTTTTGATAAAAGACACAAATATTACAAAGAAAACGACCTGAAGGACAACACAGCGTTGGATCTCTCATATGATGATGGTTTGTGTGCTTTAACAGTTTGCTTAACGTCTTTGTTTTAACTTTCACCTGTGCTAACGTATGCTAACGGTTGTTACCATAGTTTCATGTGCTTATCTTATTGCCTCTGATTGGCCATAAGTGCTGACCATTTAGCTTGGGCGTGTGATGACATTTCCAGCTTTTCTAGCCAATCGGCGAAGGAGGCGGGGCTTTCCCCGGGATGCGTCTTTTTTCCCCCCGAAAGTCGCAAAATCACATTGGGCTTGATGTGTTTAGTCAGGCTCGTCAAAATCCACCTCTGAATATTTCTTAATTTCATGTTCTATATTCGCGTCTGCCCCGGTGTGTAAGGACCTTCACTTTGTCCTGCTCTATGATGTCACCTCTGCCAACCTCATTGGATAAACAGTTGATTTTATTTTTCCATTATCATAGATTTGACTTCATATTAACAATTAATTTGAAAAAATCCATACATGGTAAATTAGACAACACGATATATCACTAGACAAAATATTGCGATACTATGCTGTATGGATTTTTTCTCCCACCCCTCGTTGAGTGTGTGCACAGCTTTAGTTCAAGACAAACTCGCCCAAGAGGACGCTTATCTTATCTTATCATCTCCTAACATACCATACTGTCTCGTATTGTGTCGTTACTTCCAATTTCTTCATAAGCAAAAATGACATAAGGAACGATTTTGTTTCTTTGTCAGCGTAACTGCATGAAGAAATCATCCGCTTTAACCTACATCAAAATAATCAGAGCGACCCAGCAGCCTCGGTTCCCCTTAAATCAGGATGACATCAAAGCATTTCCAGATTCAGTATTCTGCGTACAGCTCTCCCATCAGCTTTGTTCCCAGTCTCCCATGTGGTGTGGTGTAACTCTGTTTCACTACGCTCTGTCATCTTTCCACTGCGCCTGCAGCAAGGTCTTCCATGTGTGGTATCAAATCAGAGTTTCTTATCTGTGGAATTAGGCCAGGCTTATCACACCGCGCTGTGGAACTGACTGCGTCACCTTATTTGGGCTGTGTGCTGCCTACATGGAAGACTGGATTTGAGCTGACTGGGAAGTTTGTGTCCCAGTGTAGCCTAAACAGAGTCTGTGGGGTTTCCCCTGCTGTTGTCTACAGTGGAGTGAATGGCTCAGTGTTTGAAAGGGGATGAGGATGATAAACATAGATGGACACAGACAAGGTGTGGAGTTTGGGGGATGAAATTAGGCTCACTAGCAGCTTCTATTATGCACACAGATGGCGTAATGTAGTGGTGTTTTTCTCAGGTAATGATCACTCCCATTTATTTATCTAATTTGGAAGAACAAATCAGCTTTTAAAGATGGACACAAGGAGGTACCAGTAGTTTTGGCACCTAAATATTGCATGTTTGTGGCCTGCTGAGGTCACAAAGGTTTATCCTTACACCAGAAGTTTACACAGACAAGAAAAAAAAGTCTTCCTTAACGGCAAAAACGGATGTTAGGGTCTTTAACCTTTTAAGCACAGAAAAAGTTTAAAAAGCAGACAAAGTGTGAGACAGCGTCTGCACCACGAAGAGCTTGTGTTGTAACTTGACTATCTGATGATAAAAGTGTGTATTTCTGCTTAAATTTCGAAGACAGGGGAAGCTGGGACAGTTTGTGTGGGATTGCTTTGTTAGAATATTTTTATGTAAGCTTAATGTGGGCCACTAAAACAAAACACGCCTCCCTCCAGAGATGTAATTCATTTTTCCTCATAAACAAGTTCCCTGTGAAATATTTAACTTCAGTGGCCCGACTGTTTTACCATTAAAAGTTGTGGTTTAACAGTCTGTTTCTGGACTTGTATCTCTGATTGATTAGAGACCAGCAGACGCTGCAGGGGGGACTGTGATTGGTGGGTGAAAAAAAGCATTACCTCACTTGATCTGAGAGACAGTGGGTTGGAGCAGTGGGACTGTCAATAATGCGTGGAATGAAAGGATTAGTTCATCCTTTAGTCTTGTAAGCATACACAGACCCATGTCTAATACGGTGCCCTACATGGTGATGTTTCAGTTTCATGTGATTCTAATACGGATGTTCTATCTGGCAGCCATTCACCGCAGCACAACCATTTTCAGGAAACAGTCTGCTGCGGTGAATGAAACATGAAAAAAAGCAATTAAATTTTAGTTGCGTGTTAATATTCATTTCTTTCTTGCATCAGAGGGAAGTGATTGTGCTGAATTTCTACACATTGTAAACACAAGTGAGAGCTTCCTTTTTACTGCCATAATGCCGGGCCTCTTGCGTAACAGTGTTGGCTCTCACAAGAGTGACATTTAGCCACACAATGAGAACAATCGTTGCGTTAGGGTCACGTAGGAGGATGGCCTAGATTGGACGGTATAACACTAGACAGACATTTGGGAAGGTTCTGCTGCTAATCCTATTTTGCATCCGTGTAGTGATTGAAAAAGCAGGTATGAAATTCTCCATCTCCCGGGCACTGACTTGCTGTACTTCCTCTGCGATGGAAAATGAAGCACAGCCAAACAGGAGCTGCTTGTTTGATTCAGCAGGTGGACAATCAGGGGCAGGAGCATGTGGACCGATTTCCAAATGCAAACACGGCTTATTTGTTTAGCAAAGTGGCAAGAGCTGTAGTTGTAACGTGACTGCTGTCTGCTGCTGATTAAACTGCCTAAAACAAATGAGGATGTTTATGTTTGTAAGGCCTGCAAATAGACTTATGTCTTTACTTTAAAACCTGTTGACTGTGTGTGAGCAAAACTTGTGGCTTGGGGGGGTGGATTACCATTTCCACGGGTTTCATGTTGATTTATTCTATACATCATTTGTTGGGAACTGAAATACTAGTTTATAGAGAATTTGTAAAGTTTAGTGAGATTCTCCTGGTGTTTCAATCTTTGAAAATTTGTTGTGTTGGACATTTTAAAGTTGAATTTCTGCTATAGCCATAAAAATCTTTTCTATTATCCAATATTTTGACGAAAAAAAAGGCAAAAAATACCAAAACATTCACGACAACTCTTAAACCCTGTTGTCATTCATGGAAAGCTCTTGACAAAGTGTGTGACAATGAGAGAAAAGTGTAACAGTGTTGTTGTTGTTGTTGTTTTTTTTTTTACCTTTCTGGACATGGATGATGTCTGGGTAGTTTGCCAGATGTCCTTGGTAAAGAGCCAACAAATCCATAATGGGGTCTAGATCCCTGCTGGGCTGCTCAGCAAAAAACTCCCCGATGGATTCAAACGCGTCTCCGGTGAAAGAGATGGCCTGGTTGAGCCCAGCTGAGTACACCTGCTGGTCTATTTCAAAGGCTTGGCTGAGGACTTTGAAGGACATCCCCACTTTCTGATACTCCTTCTTGAAGCCGCTGATCTGCTTGCGGGCAAACTCGTTGACAGTGGCGTTCAGCTGCAAGGTGCTGTCGTCCATCCTCTTGGTGAAAGTCTTGAATCCATCTATTTTGCTCTCCACCTCCTGGAAGTCCAGCGGAGACGCAGGGGTGCTAATGGTGAGGAAAAAGTTGGCTCCAACCATCTCGTCCTTCTCCGCCTTCCTCTTGCCCTGCTTCCAGGCTTTTTCGTCTGCGCTGTTACAGGTGAGGAAGTGCTGGAAAACATCACACTTGGACAGGACAGGGTGGCTGGTCATGTGGTTCATCCACCATATGAGGCCTTTTCTTCTCTTAGAGATGAAGTCCTCCTCAAAGCGCCCCGTGGCCTGCTTCTCAGGGATGTGCGGCACTGAGATGACAGGAAACTTCTCCACCAGTCGAGCATACAGCCAGTCAAAGTGCTTATACCTTCTGTTCACCTGGGTCTGCGTATGTGTGGGGGTCAGCTTGTAGGAGATGTAGCTTTTCATGCCTTTAAACTTGGTCTGCTTGGTCGGGTCATCAATGGTACAAGAAAAGGGGTAAGGGTTTTCCTGCCATTCAGGACCATACTGACCCATCACCACACAGATCTTATCCCCATCCTTTACAAATCCTGCTGCCTCCCCGAGCACAAACGCCTCTCCTCCTGACTTCACGAAGGTGGAGAACCTGTTCAGGTTTCTGCTGACTGTGGCTGAGCTCTTGGCTTGCTGTGCGTTCCCTCTGGACATAGAGGATGTCGTGACTCTGTAGGTAGATGGTCCGTTTCCTTCATAGTCGTGGTACCTGCCTCCAACAGTTCCTGGCTCGTCTGCAACAGTGGAGCTGTCATCCCAGTCATCATCCCAGTCATCATCGCTGCCTGGACTGGGCTGGTAGATGGGCTGCTGCTGCGGTGGATGCTGCTGTACTGGTGGTGGTTGAGAGAAAGTGGAGAAAGCAGGCGGAGAGGGTTTAGAAAAGTTATTCTGAGGCTTGTTTGAGCCGTCAAAACCTCCGGATGGGATGTTGGCATATCGAGAGTCCGGGTAAGTGTCCCCAGATGTGCTGCAGCTGTTGTTGTTGTACGTGGAGGCGGCGTCGTTTCTTAGTATCTCCACGTAGGAAGCGGGGAAGAGACCCCTCTCTCCTTTGCTGTTCGCCCCCTCAAACCAGCCATCAATGTCTTGCTCGCTGTACAAAGTTAAAACCTCATTCTCCCTCACTGAAACCTCTCCGGGGTTCTCCGAGTTGAAGTCGTACAGCGCCCTGGCTCTGAGCGCCATGATTCTCCACAGCTGGAAGCAGACCAAAACAGCGGGCTAACTCACGGCTGGCTGACCGGGGCAGGAGGGGAGAGCAGCGGGCAAGCCAGGCTAGCTCTAGTCAGCCCACAGCCCCAAACTCCTCCTGAAAGTCCGCGTACAAACTTCTCTCAGCGTGAGAAAATACTGTTTCAATCCCTTCCTGCGCTGTTTTTATTCCGTATACCAGCTGTGAGAGGTAAACACGGTTGCTCTGACTGCAGCGGTGGTTGTGTGTGAGTGTGGAGCGAAGGTTTTTCCGCTACAACAACATTAATCCAAGCTCTTCCACTCTCCCTCCGAGCCGAGAGTCGGACGCTTCTGCTTTCACGCGCTGCGCAGCAACCGCACGTCGACCAGGCTGGATAATCGAGGGCGGAGCTACAAGATGCTGCAGTCCACCCAGACAGCACGAATCAACCGCCTGTGAGCGCAACAACAAAGCCTCTCCACACTGGCTTCATAATATGAAACATACCACAGACAAGCCTCATCAGCCTATGAGGACTTTCTGTCCTGTGGAGGAGGAGTTTTTCTCTTCACAGGGACACCAGAGAAGGTATTAACTCGATGTTAAGTGCTGATGAACCTTACACAGATAGGGGAGAGTGGGGTAAGTTGAGCCAGAGGGTAAGTTGAGCCACCCCCTGTTGCTTGGAAATGGTTAAAGAAATGAATCATGTGATCAAATATTTATGAGATGGGCATCAATTCATGGAGTCTGTGAAGGCTAGAAGCACATGGGTGAAGGGGCTAGACATTTATTTACAAAAAAAAACATTTTTCACTCTTGAAAGTGAATTTAGTCTGTCATAATTTTTTATTAGAATAGTGTTCGGACCAAAAAAGATCATTTAAATTTGTTTTCTACATCAATTGTGGTATCTATGAGCTACAACATGAGGTCAAAAACCGAGCGTAAAATTCCACCATTTTAACTTAGAGGAATAATAAAGTCATAATAATAGTTCATAATAATATAATAATAGTTCAACTTTCTCAGTTGAGCCACTGGCTCAACTGAGAAAGTAAAGGAGTCCGATGAGAGGATCAGAGTTTCAGTTCAAATTGTTGAAATGTTTTACTTTTTTTTTATCAAAAATACAGCTGTGACTGTCCTGAATCACTTAAAGGCATTCTCATGTCAAAATGACTTTTTTACAAAACAGCTTTTTAGCAGTTATATACAATAATAAAAAAAAAAATATTGTACCATTTGATGTGTGTATGTGAAGAAGTGACTGCTATTTAGGGAGAGATAAGGTGAGGGAGGGCTGGGGTGGAGAGTGGGGGATAGTAGGGATACGGCTCAACTTGCCCCACTCCTATGGTCAACTTACTCCATACACGGGGTAAGTTGACCATAGAAGACCACTTTTTTTTTGGCATGCCATATTATCAAACAGTTATGTTTACGCTCAATCTGTTGGTTTGCAGGGATGCACAACATCTTGAAATATATGCAGATACACTAGTTAGAGACAAAACTATGATTGCCTTGATGTAGTGATCCAAAATATGAAAAATGGCTCATCTTACCCCACTCTCCTCTACACCTGCTTAAGTCCTTATTATTATTATTGTTTGAAAAATCAGATTTTTTTCCAAGAAGGAAAATATTAGTGCCAGATTACTTTCGTTTTCTTTGTAGGGTTGATGTTCATACTGAGAGTTTACCGTTACTTTCCCAAATTCTAAATTGTTCATCCCACAGGTCTAAATTTCAAAATGTGATTCAAAGACATCAGTGTCATCTTTACTACAGACTTTCATTCCCCAAAGTTCCAGCAAAATTGTTAATTTACTCTGACACTCCAAGAAACACCAAAATCTACAGGTTGTTTGGTTAAGCAGTTAGAAATACTACAGCTAAAGTTGGAATGTCAGGTTAACCTGGATTCCTGCCAGCCTTCATCATCATCATCATCTGGAAGGAATGTCATCCAGAATACGCTGACATCATGCTGACTGGGGCACAGCATGATGGGTCAGCCCTCAAATTGTTTTACTTCAAATCTGAACAGTAGTACCACTTGGTCTTTTTTGGGACACAGTGTTGGCTGATAAATGATATACCTTTATAGATTTTAGATGCTTCTATTTACAATTTGTCAACTTTCCTAGACATGGACTGGATGTCTCTTCTGGTTTAGTCTCTTTAAAAAACTTTCATCACCATATCTGCAGCCACTAGGGACATGTAATCAACACATCAAATGGTTAAATTGTGAACATTCAATACTGGAGAGCAATTCATTGTTTGTGTACACATACTTGGCCAACAAAACTAATTCTGATTCTGAAATTGTCCTGAAAAACAATATGTAATTTACTTCTCTATTGCCTGTGATTCTGAGGAAGTAGCAGTCAGTCCGGAAATATATCACAGATCACTCAGATCATTGCTTCATCAAAGTAAAAATAGAGTTTTAGAGGGAGCCAATGTTTTCTACATCCTTTTTAATGGATCAATGATACGGTGTGGATACTCCCCACTTTAACAGGTGTAGAACTTACAGTCAGTAAAATCTGTGGTGAATCCTGCCTTTAGGAGTTTCAACTAACTCATATCTATAATTATAAACAGAGAGTAAGTAAACAAGTAACTGTATACAAGATTTCCTCAGGATAAAATGAATATCTTTTGAGACTTAAGTACTTCAACTCTACTGAGACTCAGTTTGGAAATGACATTATTAAAATAATTTGGTTTATTGTTATCAGACACCACTGTTTTTTTTAGCTTTCATGTTATGTTAGGATTACACCATAGAGAAAGACTAGGTTTAATCCAGACCACCCACCCCAACCTCCGCAACCCAGAAAAGAAAGAAACACAGACATTTTTTTTCTTGAAATTTCAAGAAATGAAATTCAAAGTTATATAAACCTATTTTTTTAGATTTAGATATATTATGAGTTAACGGTGCTCGGTGTTATTTACTCCAAGAGTAGAGATAAGCAACTACCCACAACCCGTAAAGCTGACATTCTGTGAAATCAACAAACTATTTCCTCTGGGAAATATGTGAACTGCAAAACACAATGTGGCCCTTAATCATGATGTGCCCTTTTGTCAGGTACATAGTGCCCCTTTGTGGCTGATTCTGGGACTTCATTTAGAAAAAGGCTTCAAATTTTAGTTCAAAAGCTGTCAGATTCACTGGCCAGGTGTATGTGCTCATAAAAGGAATAGGACTTTGTTGTTCTTATCTTTTTGTTGCTCTGAATTTTCTTCCACAATGTGATGTAATCATGTGAATTATAAGAGCAGGAAGAGGAGTGGATAGGCCGACAGTGATCCCCAGCCTATTTTGTGAATTTGTTAAAATGTCCTTGAATAACAAACATCTCCTGATGTGTGTGTTTGTGAATCACATATGTAGCAAGCAATGTGGATCAGAACTTGGAAAGGTGCCTCTTCTGAACACTGAGTGTTCATCTCTACTGACATCAAACACCTTGACATTTTACTTTAGACCACCAGAGGTCTCTCTTCTCACAAAAAAAAACCTGAAGACAAAACTATTCCATTTAGGCAACACGTCCTTGGATATTCTGATGTAAGATGCAATAAGTCCCCCTGTGTCTTCTCAGCATCCTCCATACCTGTCAGAGCTCTGCAGAGAACATCTAGTCCATCCTCCTCCTCACAGTGTTCAGGGAGATTCCTTTATAGCAGAGCACATGAAATATTAAAGAGGTGTGTGGTCTCTGGGGAGTGGGATTACTTCAGTATGCAGCTTGCATCACATTAGCAGACTTGTTTGAACACTTTCTCTAATCAGGAGGAGGATATCTGAAAACTGTTTGTCTGTTTTTTTTTTTTTTAATTTGCAGTCAATGTGTTAATAATATTAAATAAATGTTGCTGCATGATTACTGACATACTGCAAATCTTATCAGTTCAAATGAGGTGATAAGAGATAAGCATATAAGTGCTAATCTTTTACTATATCCACCCTGTTGTGTCTGTAACATCCGGGGCAAGGCTCTCAAGCTGAAGAGGAACCAGTCTTTGACTTTGAACTGTTTTTGCACAAACTGTGTCATCCACTTTCATTCATTATGTATTGTGTAATGGATTACGTCAAGGGCCACTGTGTGACATGCAGCTTCAAGCTTCAGAGTGTGGAAAATAGCAACTGCAAGACGCATGTTCTTATGTCTTAGCCTGGTGTTGGTTTACTGATTCTAAAAAACAAACTGAGTCAGTTTTGATTTAAAGTCATCAAATGGTGCTGTGGTTTTGTAATAAACTGTAACGCCAGTTTTACAGTTGTATTACAAAATCTAAATGTAAGAGTCCTTTGGGAATATAAAATCCTTTTGTAATAATTTCATCTTCTAGAAAAAATGTGAATGAATCTTGTGAATATTTTAATTTAAAAATGTAAATACTTAACACTAAGGCTATATATATATATAAACGTATAGAGGGAAACATACTTCAGTGATGTTCTTGGTTTCATCTCTTGAAAACCACTCAACTGTTATGCTAAGATTTCACCTGTTTGGTGTCATTTCAATTTTATGGAGACGTAATAAAGTCATTTTTACATCAATCTTGGAGTTAACGTGAAAGCTACTGTAACGAGGTAACAAATAAGAGAACACATAACACCATTAATCAATTTCTATATTTTCAACAAATAACGACAGGCTATATCTGACAAAAATCACTCAATATAAACCCCGCTTGAGAAAGGAATGCCCCACAGAATGAAAATAGCCACCATGTGTTTGGTCATGTGACCACAGTACGTGAACACGACGACGTGCGTGACGTAGCGTTGTAGGCTTCGCCTGTTTCCTCAACCAAACATTCAACTGATAATTGTGTGATAAAACTGGAAGTCAGCCGGTCGACGAGGGGCTACTTTACCGAGAAAAAGCCCACGGACCCTGTTCCCCTCGTCGTTACAAACACATTCAGTCGTCTGTGCACCGAGACCGGTCCCATTTAGGAGGAAGACGGCGAAAATCCCACTTTTAAACCCAAGCAAAGGCTGCTTTTTATTTTGCTCTGGCTGTCGAAAGGCGGGGAATACAAAGCGACGTGTAGCCAAATCCGGTGAATTTTGGACTCATTGAAGCAAAAACGGGATTACTACAAAGCCAGTTCGTGCTGCAGAGACTGGTCAGCGATAGTACATGGATTATCTGGTGAGTAAATGAGCCGAAATGCTGTTTAACAGCGTATTTCAACCAAAGAATGCTCCCAACGTTTGGTTTTTGTCGGTTGGACTTCTAATTAGTGCTCAATTTCAACCAGGTGTGTGATAATTAACACTTAGCTAGTTTTCAGTACTAGTGTGTCAGCTCTAGCCTTTAGCATTTTGCCTATCAGTGTTGTGTGAACAAGGTCTAACTGGTTGACCCAGAACCCTATCTGTTTACATGTGAAACAACTAGCCAACTAGCTACACTGTGGAAACACTGCCAGCTAAGTTATGTGACAGTGTTAGTCCACAAAACCCACTGTGGTATCTCTGGGTAAAGCTGCACTGTTAGCTGGTTAAGCTGTGTGGGAGTGAGATAATGCTCATAGTTTTTATGAATGTATCAGTAACTGTGACAAGAAGGAAATATAACTGTCCAGGCACTGTCTGTGTCAGCTTTAGCCCAGGAGATTATGGCTTTTGGGCCTTTGCCCACATTGTAGGGACGGGATGGGTGCTGTTGAAAAAGTGTAACAATAGAGAGGAAGCTGTAACTATAAGCCATCCCTGGGAATTTATAAAGCCAGAGGGGAAAAAAAAGAAACTAGTTCACAGACACTGTACTGTCACCTCACAGGAGGGGACATAGTGACAGCGTGAAATGCAGAGGAACTTGCCCACCCAGTGTTATCAGCTTGTTTATAGTGGGCCTCCCAAGATGTGAGACCTAACAGGAACTTTGAACTTTGGCTTCACTGGGACATTTCTTGAATCAGACTAACAAAGTCCTTTTCCTGTGACTGGCACCACAACAGTTGCACTATAGTCAAATAAACTGATATGGGTTTAGATAGTCTGTGGCTTCCTGCCTCGGAGTGAGAAATTTAATGTGGAACAAAATAAGGAACAAAGTGGTGCATTCATAGAGAACATGTGTAATAGTGCAATACCAGTCAGTGTTTATAAGCATTTGTTGGTTTAGAAGTAAAAGGCATTGTTGTTTAAAGGAGCAAACTTGTGATATGAGATGATACAAAAACAGCTTGCTCTCTCAGCTCTTTTCTCTCACTCAGTAAGCAACATTCACACAGTTTTTGTGTTTTGCTCAGTTTTGACTATGTTTAGTCTTGGCCTGCACTCTGGGTTAACAAAAAAAAGATAAAATAAACTCCATACATAACTTTCTGTGACAAATAGCTTTCTGTGGAAAGCACAGCTGTAACTCTGCAGACTGCTGGAGCTCAGTGCTTTGCTGTCCTCTGAGGTCATGTGCGCAACAGGCACCAGGCCCCCTAACATGCTGTGAAACACCAGAGACCTGGCACAAAACGCAGGCCAAAACTCTGTCTCTCTTTTCCATATAAATCAATAAGACCTTGTCACATTACTTGTTCTTGGTTTTTCTCCCGTTCTTGCTGCTTGGGTATGCTTGAAATCAGGTCAGGGCTAAAGAGCCAAATTAGTATTTGGGATAAACAGAAATGAGAGCATATAATTATTGCACACTGCTTGGTAATAACTGTGGTTTGAATTATGACTGCCTGGCCTATGGTGGAGGACTGTGTGCCAGAGCAGTCAGCACAGCGTTAAAAACGCCACTCAGAACTGCTGCACTGATAGAGGACTTTGGGGTTAGCGCTGTCCACAAAACAATCTTTCTGGGTTAAAAGGGCTCTGTTTTCTGAACCTGTACCTCTTTCTTTCTTAAAATACATCTACTCTATAAACAGATGACAGCTGTTTGTATGTGTTAAAATGATATTTAGGTTTGCAGGTATGGAGCAACAACTATAGTTTATTTCAATTTAGATTATGTCAATAATTCAGAGACAACAGCTAGCAGCCGTTGACTGTGAAAAGTGTAGTACTGGTGGGTGTGGCACATAACGGAGTAAAGTCTCCTTTTCTAATGCCACACCTCCACTTGTGTGGCTTTGTAAAAAAGAAGGAAGAAAAACACAGAGCATTGGAGTGATATTCTATGACTTTGTGAAGTGTAAAGGTTAATTTTTCACACAACACTAACTTGCATTTTTGTCACTTATCATATCTTAACATTAGGCTGTGAATTGTGCCAAGTTTTATTTTAGAATAATGTCAAAACATTAACCTACTTGCATGTGATGACAAGTTTTAAGCTGTGATTGTGACAGGGGAAACAGTCTGACAGGTAAGAGCTTTTCCACTCAAGCCAAAACATGCCAAGCCTGTACCTGGCAATAGCATTTTTGTGCTGGTCATTTCATGATTGTCATCGATAGAGCTGATGTGCTGCTGACATTAAAGCAACTACACCCACACAATACCTCTGCAAAGAAAAGAAGAAAAAAACATTAGCTACACAGGGATCAACTAAGACAGCAATTATCCAGCTGTCATCACTATTAATAGTTTTGTCAGGCTTAAAAGGTTGGCTTAACACCTGTTTTAGTGCCTTACCCTGACAGTCTGACACCTGTCTATCCGTATGTCTTCTTTCTTGTATGTAGGAATGGTTCAAATGGGGGATATACACAAAATTATTTAAAAAAAATGAAACATCATTTAACAACTATAATTTTATAAGTTGGATCTCAGCTAATGTTTTCTATCTTTGAGCTGAAATCATTTTAATACTCGGTTTGATTAAACTACTATTTGGCAAGAGGAGATGATTTCAGATTTTTATTTAACCTTCATTTAATGTGTCAATAGTGTCTCTACCAAAATAGACAGCAGCAGCACAGTTTACAAAGTTCCAAAGCAAAAATTTAAAATATATGACACAGGAGAATTATTGTTATTTGTTTCTGAGGGAAATCTATTTAGGATGATGTTTATTGTATTAAATGTTAGAGTGATTTTTTTTTTTAAATACTCTTTTTTTTTAATTTTTGGTCTTCCTTCAGAGGCAGACAGTACAGAGACAGGCAGGAAATGAGGGGAAGAGAAAGGCCTGGCATGTATCAAAGGTCCCCAGTTTGAATCAAGCTGAGATGCTGCTGTTCTGTTGTACATCCATCGACTCTTTGCAGATCTTAAGAGTTCCTATTGCTAATACAGCCTGCAACACGATCTCGCCTAATGAGAAGAAATGGTCCTAGTAGAGGCTTGCATGTGTTTTCAGCTGACTAACTGCACCGAGCAGAGCAGATCTCCCTTCCAAGGGCACACAGCAGGCTGTAGCACTTTGAATTCTCACCATTGAGCAGAGAGGAAGGAGAGCTGATGGGAAGTTCTTGGCAGCATCTGAATACAGCTTATTAGCCTATGTGGGATACTAGGCTGGTATACATTTCCTCTCAGTGTTGTCCCCCATCTGACCGTGCTCCACACCTCACTGGTGCCGGACAAGGTCTCCAAACAAAAACGACCTATTGTATGAACGTAATCAACAGTCCCACAAAACAATGTGTGTTCTTTTTATATGCCAAAGAGTCTGAGGCTAATCATTGACTCTATCCGTTGGCAGGTCAGGTTTACTCAGGTTTCAGCTTGAATGGGTTTGATTTGATATTAACTTGAAGTTTGGTACGCTGGTAACAGTTTCTTAAGCTTTCCCTCAGCCTCCAGCAGTTCAGCGCAATACCATTCTGAGCACTGCATTCCTGAACCTAAGTCCCTGATTTTAACCTGCTAGCAGAATGTCAGCTATGTTTTTGTCTGCAAGCTGGCTCATTGCAGTGATTCCCCGATGTCTGTGGAGAGTGCTAGTGAGTCAGCATCTTAGGCTGGAGCTTCATCAGTGTTACAGTGGGAGATAAGGGAGTATTTGTGGGATTTTATAATGCTGTTATCGTGATCAAGCACAAGCACTTTAAGCTCCTTTTACATCAGCATCCACATAGCTTTATGAGCTCCCGATTTAAAGAGGCATCAGTGAACTGTTTTCATAGTTTTTATTGCTTTTCATTTTCTTCACTCTGTCTCCTCTATCATTGCTTTTCTAAACTAGATGAAGAAATCTTAAAAAGGACAGGGATATTTGGAGGTATTTGTTGTCAGTTGTTTTAGTTTGGTAAAAAGTTTTGTAAAAGCCATAAGCAGATGTGGTTTGTTCAGCAGAGCTTTACCAGTGGCTATAAGTTTTAGAAATAATGATTTGTTGATTTACTGGCTAATGAATGAACTTCTCAATGCTGAAAATTTTACTTTTTGTCTTCTTGTTTCAGGAGTGATTCAATAACACAAAATATCTGCTGTAAAACTTGTAATGCATGTGGCATGCATTTGTTGTTGAGGTCTGTATTTATTTATTTATAATTTTAAAAAGAGAGAATAAAAGCATTTTCTTTTCTTTCAGAGAAGTGGTCCTAACATTTTGCCCTGATTCTTACCCTTAAGTCCTAAATAAATTATATTAGTCTGTGGCAAAGGGACCACAATGATGCTGAAATGCTCTAGTTTTAAACCACTGAACAAAAGATATTTTGCTTTGGGAGTGACAATTTGTTGTGTAGCAGATTATAATGTGAGACTTCTTTAAAATCTGAGATTATAATCTTAAATAACTTTAATTTCCAGCAGTGTATTTCACAGCTGCTATAATTTACTGCACTGTGGAATGTGTTATTTTGCTGAGACAGAAAATACCAACTCATATCATAACTTATTTTTTACTCCCCTGCTAAAACCAGACCAGATGGAGTAACACTCTGTGGTCAGAATGTGTTAATGTTTTCCCGCAGCTGTACACTGACGACTTGTAAATACTAATCCGAGTTACAGTGAGTACCTTGCCATTGACAGTCGTCCCATTGCCTGTTATTGTTATTTTCATATTCAATGACTGTAGTAGTAGACTATGTGGAAGCCAAACAGATTTGTTTGCTGAACAGAACATTATTCAAAAGCATTACACGTTACTTTGAATCTGCAGACTTAGCAGGTTGTGGCAGCGACCACCTTTTGAGAGCTGATCTGACCAAACAGTCTACTTGAACATTACTCACCTTTCTCTATGAACAGACCGGCTTCAGACAAAGCATCCCACAGCAGCTGTTCAAATCCCCATGACCACTGTGAACTCAAATGGTCGGTGTCTTCCTCCTCTTTTATGCATAGAGAGCAATGGTTTCTTACTGCATGGAGCTGAGCATACAGTATGGACAGTGTGTGGGTGTGTAATAGTGACTAATCCAATTTGTAGTCTTATTCTAGATCCCTAGTTGTCACTGAGTGCTTAATCTCTATGTAGAGATTCCCACAAAGTAATCTCAAGCTTGTGTCTGTCGGCTGATCCTTGTGGCGATAGTTTTTTTTTTTTTTTTTATCTCCTTTTGAAGAATTTTGGGAGTAAACGCAAGACAGCCTTCTGCTGGAGTTGCTCATCTATGTCCTCATAAAACCCTGTTGTAAAGCCCTGCTTAGAAAAAGAAATGGACCTTTTGAGCTGCTGATAATGACACGACAAAGGGCTGGACCCGTGTTGATGACCTGACGCTGTTTTTGCTTCTGATCCTCCTACATCCATTCACTTACTCCAGAGGCTTGGCTTGTTTGTTGCCGGGGGTTACGCTTGTTGCTGAGCACAATGTCGGAGCACATGCAGCTCTCCCTTGCCTTGTGTAGGATTGGGTTTTACACGGTAAGAAGACTCACGCACGTTGCTGTCTGTTGTGTAGAGTATAGCATGGATGTGCTGTGTTTTAGGTGTGTGCGTGTGTGTGTGTGCTTGTTTGATTTCTGTCAGTTTCCTTGTGGTTGAATCTTTGCTTGACTGTTTTTAAACAGATTGTGTCCAGTGGCTGCTGCTTCACTGTTGCTTGGTCACTGAATGGAGAGTATGCTCTGTTTCATTCGAGTGGGTGTTCACATAATATAAAGGTGGAACAGGTTGGTCGTCTGTACTGAGAGCTGTAACTGAAACCTACAGAGAACAAGCTGTCTTTGAGTGCTGACAGTTTCACTGAGAATAGAAATAAAGATAGCTGATGTTTTTGCTGCAGCTCCTAGCAACTGGCTCAGTCAGTGGTTGTAGTTCAAGCTGCCTTAAGAGCTTTCCACTCTGTAACTAATTGTCAATTAATACTATGTTGAAAAGGAGTATTTGCTCGCAACACAACAGAAAAGAAAGCTTAAAAAATCATTGCCCAGTGAGATTATGGTATGTAGTTATATATTTACTTTAAATGCATGTTTCAGATTGATGACAGTGTGCATTCAGTGCTGAAATCACCTAAAAACTGTTGCTTAAAGACACTCTTTAATTTCCTTGTATTTGATGACAAATGTTGCCAATCGTCAGATCTCCTGTTATTCCCTTACCAGCTTATGATCTCTCTGAAAGAACATTAACAGAGAGGCTTTTTTGAATTTTTAACTTAAGGCTTTGTGTGCAGCTGCATAAGCCTTGCCTCTTTAGTCCTATTTTGGTTACTGCGAAGAAATTTTTAAAGACAGTGAAGACTAAAAAGGAATATGATAATAATAACTGTTGCAGCTGGTGACTCTTGCAGGTTAAAGACCTACTGTGATAAGCTTTTTTGAGTGCCATGTATGTATCATAATCTGCTGGTTCCCCTGGGGACAAAGTTTATCTGAACAGCAGAACCAGAGTCAAGCTGCTATCTCCAAAAATTTGGTGGTTAAATTTGACCAGCTTTAAGTAAGCAAAAATAAAAAATAGTTTCAGCTTGAGTGAACTTAATGTGGTGAATAACAGATCAACTGTAAATCTTGTTGAAGCCAAATAATTTTCACCACTTATCTAATATGACGCTTTAAAATGTGTTCATTCAAGTTAAATTCTCTCATGCCACTTTATAAACCGCTGTGGGATTATTGAGTGCTCAAGATGGGGGTCAGTGAACATGTAAGGGTTGTAAGGAGTGATGGTTTTTATTGGCTGTTAGTATCGACATTCAAACCCCCGCTGAGTCACCACAATATCCTGTACAGTGGTGTGCAAAATCCAACTCCAGTTTGCGCTATGCTGTGTTTGAGAAATGATGTGATCCATTCCACGTGTGTTTGCATGTCTTACTATATAAAACATAGCCAGAGATGAAAATGTCATTTTTGAACCTATTACCTGCAGTGGTGGTGATGCTACTGGTGGATTTGATGAGAAGATCAATAAAATAGTTTTTTTTTTTTGTTTTGTTTTCATTCTGACCTAATAACTCACTGTTTAGCTGTTAATCTGTGATTAGCCTGTGATTTAAAGCTTGAGCTTCCTAACCCAAACAGAACCCACTGACACTGTGTACACTAAAAATAGAAGGACATCAAATCAAACTGTTTCGCAATATTATATTATATTACATTACATTATATTATATTGTATTATATTACAATCTCATTAATTCTCACCGTAATTTATCAGAGGTCTTGGTAATGTTGTTTTTGTTAAAGAACCACAAGAACTATGAACTACAGGCAGGGTTTGTTTCATCTAGTGTCTAACTCTTTTTCAGAGATGTGACCCCTTGAAAGGTGCCCTTATACTATATTTGCCTTTCATCATGCCAGTCTGGGGCACTAATACAATTGCTTTGATTTGCTGCTCAGATATCTACTTTTTATTCCATACTAGTGCCTTTGAAAACCCTAATTTGAGCAACTCTTCAGCCTCTGCCTAAAACACTTTGTTTTGGCGGCTTTTTCAGTGATAAGTTGGATAATTTTGGGGTCTTACTTGAACAGTTTTGACCTAAAAGTCATAACTTCAGGTGTCTAAGGCTAGACATTCACACCTGCTGAGCTCTCCATTTAGTCCTGTTAGCATACGTTTGCTATTGTTATAATGGTACAGTTTGTGGCCCCAAGTTTTTACTAAAAGTCTGTATGGATGAAACAGCCCAAGGTATGACAGTGACTGGCCTTATTTCATGAAGAAGTCATTGGTGATGTAGGGAGCACAAACAGCTGTGATCTGGCTGTTAAAAAACTTCCCAGTGTTTCCCAGTGTCTGTTTTTAGAGAGAGAAAATAGCTGTTGCTTTCCTTTTATAAACAAGAGAACGCTAGCAAGAAACTTTCTGAATCTACAAAGTGCAGAGTGGAGGAAATGCCAAAAGGTGGAATAGATTTTCTAACTTCTGGTTTGGCCTGTCCTTGAGGACATGCTCCTCCTGTAGTATTGACCCAATTGGACACAACCTGATGTCAGGTTAAGGCCATGTCTTAAAACAGGCTGTTTTAAGAGGCTGTAAAACCGGTTCAGAAAATTCACAACCATCCATATATGTCATTTTTTAAATTTTTCACCAAGGTTTAGTGTGGACAGCCAAAATTTAAACACCATGTACACTCACCGGCCACTTTATTAGGTACACCTGTCCAACTGCTCGTTAACACTTAATTTCTAATCAGCCAATCACATGGCGGCAACTTAGTGCATTTAGGCATGTAGACATGGTCAAGACAATCTCCTGCAGTTCAAACCGAGCATCAGTATGGGGAAGAAAGGTGATTTGAGTGACTTTGAACGTGGCATGGTTGTTGGTGCCAGAAGGGCTGGTCTGAGTATTTCAGAAACTGCTGATCTACTGGGATTTTCACGCACAACCATCTCTAGGGTTTACAGAGAATGGTCCGAAAAAGAAAAAATATCCAGTGAGCGGCAGTTCTGTGGGCGGAAATGCCTTGTTGATGCCAGAGGTCAGAGGAGAATGGCCAGACTGGTTCGAGCTGATAGAAAGGCAACAGTGACTCAAATAACCACCCGTTACAACCAAGGTAGGCAGAAGAGCATCTCTGAACGCACAGTATGTCGAACTTTGAGGCAGATGGGCTACAGCAGCAGAAGACCACGCCGGGTGCCACTCCTTTCAGCTAAGAACAGGAAACTGAGGCTACAATTTGCACAAGCTCATCGAAATTGGACAATAGAAGATTGGAAAAACGTTGCCTGGTCTGATGAGTCTCGATTTCTGCTGCGACATTCGGATGGTAGGGTCAGAATTTGGTGTCAACAACATGAAAGCATGGATCCATCCTGCCTTGTATCAACGGTTCAGGCTGGTGGTGGTGGTGTCATGGTGTGGGGAATATTTTCTTGGCACTCTCTGGGCCCCTTGGTACCAATTGAGCATCATTGCAACGCCACAGCCTACCTGAGTATTGTTGCTGACCATGTCCATCCCTTTATGACCACAATGTACCCAACTTCTGATGGCTACTTTCAGCAGGATAATGCGCCATGTCATAAAGCTGGAATCATCTCAGACTGGTTTCTTGAACATGACAATGAGTTCACTGTACTCAAATGGCCTCCACAGTCACCAGATCTCAATCCAATAGAGCATCTTTGGGATGTGGTGGAACGGGAGATTCGCATCATGGATGTGCAGCCGACAAATCTGCGGCAACTGTGTGATGCCATCATGTCAATATGGACCAAGCTCTCTGAGGAATGCTTCCAGCACCTTGTTGAATCTATGCCACGAAGAATTGAGGCAGTTCTGAAGGCAAAAGGGGGTCCAACCCGTTACTAGCATGGTGTACCTAATAAAGTGGCCGGTGAGTGTATATGATTAAGCCATCACTACCAGCATCACAAGTCTTATTCACAGTTGGTATAATTGACATGTAAATGATATATTTACCAGTAGAGCTTTTATTTCAGAAGTAATTTTGAATTTTTTTAAATTATGAAACAGGTGCAGATGCTGACTTGGGTCAAGAATGAGTTCATTGAATATTTATACCAGACTTGGATCAAATGTCAGTATAGCAGCATGTGCTCGTCCTTAAAGAAGTGTGTTTTTTTCTGAAAGAGTCTCCTCAGTGTTTTTGAGAGACGGACCCGAACCAGCTGCTGTCCACTTAACTGTGAGCTACACACTGTGGCTGGCATTTATTTTCTTCAACATGTCAATGAATGTCAGATGAGACTGAAAGATATGGACAAAATTTCACATCTTGGTATTCGTGCCAGGTTTCGCAATATCAATACAATACGATATGATTATGGGTTCAGTGAAAATGATGCATTTTTAAGGAAACTAAAAACATCATAATACAAAAGGATGTGGAAAGTGCAGTTTCATTGATTAGAACTCGTGAAAATCTATATGGTTGATATAATTGATTTGTGGATATCAATATCTGAAATGTTCATGTCTGAATACAGATACGATAATGATATATCTCTCAGCCCTAATCTCAGAGTCACTGCAACAATACATGGAGACACCATGTAGAGAAAACAAACCTGTGATTGGTTGTTTGCTTTATCTTTTACACATGGGCAGACAGCATGAAACTTCTTCTACTTTTCACCATCACTTGTTTCAGTCATCTTGTCTTCATCTAGGCCTACTGCTTACTCCACTGAATAGACCAACAGACATGAACTAATACTAACCCAACATTTGACCTATAAACCCAAGCATCAGGTTTCTTCACCTCTCATAGTCCTTCTTTATAAGGTGACTTTACGGACTACTACAATAATTCTTCACCTAACTTCAGATTGTGACCTTTTAAACCCAAGCATCAGGTTTCTGCAGCTCCCATCGTCCTTTAAGTGTAAATCCAGCTGAAAAGCCAATCAGATCTCTTTGGTTAAGTTCTTGGCTACAGCAGGTGCCATGTGACTGTAGTGCAAGGGACCATGTGTGTAGCTGCCGTAGCTACTGCTCTTGAGCCCCTATCTTTGCAGGATGTCTTAACCATTAAGGATTTAAGTGATCGCATTAGGCACATCATGGTCACCTCATTATGTTATTAATGGAGTGGAAAATGGCTGCTCCACCGAATACTGGCTCTGACCCCCGGGCCCAGACCACATCATTTGGGCAGACATTCTTAAGGCAGGGTCAAGCTTTATTTGGAAAGAAACGCTGAGAGAGTGTGCCGAGAGACAATTACCTGATTGAAGTTAAAATGCAAATCAGAACCTTACTCTGGATTGCATAAAAAAACTAAACGTGTCAAATCCTGTCTCAGAACCTCCATGCAGAGTTCATATGAGGTTGTGGGTTCAATGATGAAATGTTTCACAGTTGTTTTTTATGCAGCTGGAACACTTAATTGTTAATGACAAGTTTTGTGAAGTTCATGTTCTCTTTGTTCTGGGTTTTGAGGTCGTATCATCGCACATTTATGAACATCACTGGAAAAAAGCAGTACGAATAACAAAATGATTAGGTGTTTTCTCAAAAAAACATTGCATTGTGCCTTGTGCTTCAACACTGGGGTCAAAAATCAAGGAGGCTGCTGTATTGTCTGTCGTTTGTTTGTCATTTGTCTGTCATACAGTGTGCAGGACAACAGCGTGTCTCTGTGTCATTTTACTTAATCCGTGTGTCAGTCTCATGCTGAGGGCTGTATTTGACACCTGAATAGACAGGGCCTGTGAAGTTGTTTGCTCCTTTGTGTCTCCTTGGTTTCCGTGCTCCGTCACTGCTTGGGTTTAGCCTTTTCCTGTTCGCACAGGGCTGAGCACCGACAGCCCCCTCCATCAGCTGTGAGCAGCCACATCCTCCTGCTACTTTTTTGAAGCCATTCAATCACTTTTCCATTACTCCCAGTATTCTTTTCATTCTTTAATTTTAAGTTGGCTCTGAGAATCCAAGTGCGAATATTGCTGTGTGCAGCAATCCTTCAATATGTTTTGACAGTCAGTGTATCATTCATGATGGTTCATATCAATATCATCTTCAAAGAAACAGTCAAAAATAAATTTGCTCATCATTCAAGCAGAATATGTCAACAAGCTTCAATAGCAGTAGAATCCTGCCTTATAGCTGCTGCATTTACCTTTTACTCTGCACATTTGTTTTTAAATCCAACTGCTCTTCTGATGTGGGACGTGACCTAGGATCTGTCTTTGTTTTCTGAGTTAAGGCAAGAAAAACAAATGTATTTGTATCCCACACATCCCATCCTTAGGCAGACGAAAGTGCTGAAGGCAAGAAGGAAATCCTTAAGGCTTAAGCAAATAAGAACAGTAAAAAAAGCACACAGTAATCTCACAAAACAAACAAATATTTTTGATTTAAAATGACAGCTGATTGAATGCAATGCTAAACATGATGTTCTTGGCTTGGGTTTGAAAGTCCAGCTGTGGGAAGCTTCTGTACCATGTTGCTCTGCATGCCTGGTTTTGAATAGATAACTGCTAGACCTTGCTAAATGGCTACAAAGTTCGAGAGACCCTGTGCCCTGGCGAGGGACAGTCTGTGATAACTGAAATGATTGACCACGAGGCTCCACACCAGAAATGAAACATCCAACTCAGAGTTATCAAGGGGTAACAAGACTTTCTGTCTAGCCATTCCCTCTTTTAAGCAGCTCATGTGTATAGCTGCTACAATGGTTTTGTACCACCCTTTTTGGTGTGGTAACCTGCCATATGTGATGTAGTTTTATTAATTTGTTGGGGTTTGTGCCTTGTAGCTGCAACCAAACCCTGCCTAAGAGCCAAGGGAGTCATTGTACAATTTCAAAATGATTTTAGCCTGTATGAAGAGGGTCATGACAGGCACATAGGATTGCTTCTGAAAGCCTGTTTTATTTTGTTATAGCTCTTATAAATGTATGAATGATTATTCAGCCTCCTCCCCAAACATGCCAGTGAAGTGATAATCAACTCATATCCATGCATTTATTTCCAGCAGAGTATGTTCGAACACCTGTAGTTACTGTGAGTGCAGCTCTCAGTATGCTGCACCTCGAAGTGAATGTGTGTGGTCTGAAGTTTAGTGTCTCTGCTGTATCCTTGTTGAATATTTTCAGACGTAACCTGTATTTTTACTGTTTAAGGAGCCCTATTGAGTTCCTGCTGCAGCTGAAGACATTTGTAATCACATAGTAACAAAAGACTCTTACTGCAAAGACTGTGTTGGAAATAATAGTCCTGTGTGTTAATCATCAAAGGAAGTGGGTTTTTCACAAACGAACTTCAGCTGTGTTTTTAAAAATGCCGCACACATTTACAGTATTGGTGGTCGCTCTTTTGACTACAGTCCCTACAGCCTGCTTCCCTTTGTGCTTTCTGGCTTGAGGTGAGCAGGTCTTCAGTCCAAATACACTTCATGCTGGTAGAACTACTATAATGGAACTACAAGTACCAGCTGTGCTCAGTTCAGGTCAAACCAAGCTGAGCCAGTCCAGCGCATAGCTGCTGTTCAAACCCCAGAAAGACCCAAAGGGAGGCAATGCAAGCGAGTACACCCACTTAACGTTGCTGTTATTAGCAGACATCCAACTTTGGGAGGAGAGCAGGCAAGATAATCCAATGACTGAGCCACTGTGCACTTTCATTGTAAACAGTAACAGCAGCTTTGACACCAGGCGGAGGCGGTGCTCTTTAGTCAGTGAGCGTGTGAGCCTGCCTGGCTCTGCACTGCAACGTCACACTTCATTGCATCGCTATTTCACCGATATTGTGATGAGACCTTTTTCTTTTTAGTCTATCACTGTTGGTTTCATCAGGAATAATATAATACTTTTTCATAACAAATTTACCTGTAAGTCAAAGAGCCTTTTAATTCGCAACTTATATTTTTAGCTCCTCTTATCTCAAGATAGCACAGGAACCAGGTGTAATCCACTCATTATTTTAAGACCTGATCTTACCGATCATAACCAAGCATCAACCTGATAGTGGATTGTTTACTAAGTGCAGCAAAGTGCAGCAGTTATTTGCAGACAAAGTGTATCTGGCTACGTCAGAATTCATTGATGGGTCTAGAAATTTGAAGCCCTGGGGACTCATCATTCCCCGAGAGTTATTGTCTCTACTGCCTATTATGTCAGAAAGTTTCTGCACAGTAAATAAAGCCCTCTTCCCACAGTGAGTGAGCAGCATAAATTTCCAACCTGCTTCCGTGATTTTGAAAGGCAGGATGGGAGCAGCCATTCCCCCATCCTGGACCACGAATATCCCACACTTAAAATAACCACAAGACCTGATGGGATGATGGCTGAGAGATCACACAGGGTTGCCCACCCACCACCAAGTACTGTTTTGTGAAGTCTGGCTGCCAGTCACTACCTGTTTTTTTTTCTTTTTCTTTTTTTTGTCAAGGACATTTTAGGACGGAATTTGGCTCTGGCTTTTTGTGAAATGACAAAGAATAACTTCCTGTTGGAGATGTATTGGCTAACTGAGCTGGAGAATGCCGTGTTTCACCTTTTGTAGCACCATGTATGTATACCAGAAACTTGAAGCTGGTTTTCTTTAAGACAACATGCCTTACAGAGGCACTTTTTACATAGTACTCATGTCTGTTGAGGTGCAGTACATGGTGTACATGGACTTGAATGATTTTTTTGTGTGTTCATTAGGTTAGACTATATATCCAAATTTCAGCTGTTTGAATATGCGTTGGGTTCTCCACTAACAGTGAAACATTAGGAACCAGGCTAAGGGGCAAGCAGATCAATGAACAAGGATGTCTTTATTATTCCTGAGGGGCAATTTGCTCCACAACCAGCAGTACCATACACACAATTCACACAAAAGTTCAGACACATAGAAAAACAATGGAAGACATTTGAAACAATGCCAATAACATCGTAAGAAATAAATCATAGACAAATATTTATCTTGAACTGTTTAAAAGGCTGACCTGCGTTTATTTATTTCATCTTGATGTTTATTGTAGTGTTTTTTCTTTTAATTTTATTGTGCAGCACTTTGATAAACTTGAATGTTTTTTTTTAATGTGCTATATAAATAAAGTGGATTGGATTGAAATGGATTGCTTATGGCAGTCGTGATAAAAGACATTTTAAAATCCCTTCGTTTTACATGGATGGTCTGATTCAGCAAGTACAGACTTTGTTTTTTTAAGAGTTCTGAGTTTGAATAAGTCTGTCAGATCACTCAGAGTAGTGCCTGCAAATTTGCAGCAGGTTTTAACTAAGCCGAAAAGCTGTCTGTTTTTGTTTTTCAGATTAAGTGAACTACAAAAACAGATCAAAGAAAATGTAAGAAGGAATTTGATTAAAAAAAGAATAAAACATTTTCATAAAAACACTGCCCACATTAAAATTCCTGAGCTCGCAATAAAAGTACAGTCTTTGTTTGACTTTCTTGCAGACAGCGTCTACCTGAGACTCAAAGCCTATTTTGTCATTGACAACAGTACCCAGGTATTTATACTGGCTCACTTTCTCCATGGAGTGTACAGAACAAGAGTATCAAAGGAAACAGCAACAGTTCAACTATGAAAGACTGTAACTGCAACAAAAAAAAGATACACCAGAATTACAGAAGAGGGGCAGTGGGACAGCAAGCTGAACAGTAACAGCCAGACGCAAAATTAGGGAAAAAAAACATAGATGGTGTATAGAATGGACGCCGTCCGCCTTCTCTGGCTGCAGTATAGGTCATAAATCCCGCCTCCTCCAGCAATCCTTATATTCTGTGTAATAAATTTCTAAAGTTTGTCCACAGCTCCATAAGTTTTTCTCCCCCCTGCTTGCGATGTTAACATGTAGTTATTGTAAGACTGGTTTGTGTTCAAGTCCTCTTTTTCTGTACAGCTCAGTTTTTGAAAGTTTTTAGGGGGTTCATGTTTTCTGTGATTGACACTTGATACAGCCAATGGGTGTACGAAGACTGCGTAGCTCACCTGGGGGATGCGCTGATTGAATACAATTACAATGGTACTGCGCAAGTGGTGGAGTGCGTACAACGCTACTGCGCAATGTTGGTTTCAGGAAGTGAAGAGAAAAAAATTGCCGTTACTGTTGTTTATTGTACCATTGCTTGCAAGGCTAATAGCAGATGGCTAACTCTAACTTGCATATTACATGGTGCTTCACCGTTAATTTGGCGTGACCGAGACCAGCGTGTGCGTGCGTGCGTGCGTGCGTGTGTGTGTGTGTGTGTGTGTGTGTGTGTGTGAGAGAGAGAGAGATGCCAGTTGCGTCCCTGAGTTCTGCTGTCGTTCGAAGAGACTGCACCCTTAGGCTCAAGTGCATCATTTGAATAAGTATGGATAGTGTAAAAGATTTTTTTAAGCCCATGAGCAATTCTTTTTGCTGTATGAAACAAGAAAGAAGAAAACATAAATAAGCATGTGCTTTGAATAATGAATGAACATCTTGATTTAGGAGTAGAATTAAACATTTATTCCTGTTACAGCACGGAACATCCTCAATCTTTCTTTTCACTGCACTACTGGATAACAACATGTCTAACTGCCTAAAGTTAATCACAAACGTATGTGCAGGTGATGTTCATGTGTCCTGTTCTTAGTGGATCATGATCGGCCTCTTAGCTACTTCAAAATGTCACAAAATCATCTCCTGTGTACATGTCAAAACTGAGGCTAGAGGTGAGCACATCGAAACTCTGCACAACACAGTTCTGCACTAAGGGGTCATTCATCCAGATGTTGTTTCAGTGCGTGTTTGAACCTGATCTGTTGGCCTGAATTTTCTGAGGCCTCTCTCACAATGCCCTTAAACGTGAAACCTCTCTTGTTAGGCTTTTGTTGTGAGACGCCTCCAAGCGTCTTCCGTTATACAAGAGTCTTTGTCCCTGTGACATGACGAGGACCCATCTTCACACTGAGCTCAGGGCCTGACGCACATATTTTAATATGCTTATCCAGCAGACATTGTAATACACAAGTGGGCTGCAATCTCCTTTGGTAATCCTTCAAGCCAGAGGGCCTCATGCTTTTTACTACCAGGCTTTAACCTACCAGGCATTGTTGATCTGTGCAGACCAAGTGAATTTAGATTTTTTTCAATGCAGTCTTTCACTATCTCTACAAAGCAAACAAATATTCCATTATGGATGAGCTTTATATGTCTGTTCTACATGAGTATGTTGGTGTCTGTGAGCTGAACACAGTAGCTAGTGTTTGTTTGCAACAAATCACATTTTTTCCTCAATCCCTAAAACAGCCGGAGCTTCATTTTGAAGCAATACCCTTCCTTTTTGGATAAAGTCAACTTGGAGAAACTCCAGCCATTAAAACAAATCCTATAAATTTTAAATTCAAGATGAGATGTCGTGAGAATAACCATGGATGGATGATCCCAAAATTTGACAGTCATTTGTGATGGCTTTATTCCTTCAACCCAGCTTTTGTCTCTGATCTCTGCAATGAAAAAGGGTCAGTGAAACTGAAAACCAAAGTGAAAGGGACTGTTGGACTGTAGTAGTTTTGCAAAGCCTGCTTTCAACAGATTTTGATTCAGCATGAATCAGTCACCGTAAGGATCAAATGTGCGAAATTTGAAAGGATTGTCTTCAGAGGGTTTAAAAACAAAATGATCCTTTATTTGTATAGCACTTTTCAATCAAACAGAAACAGTAAGAAACTGCTCTGGGTTTTGAGCTGGGTCAGTACAGTCACAGATGCATTCTTGGAGAGAGTTCCAGAAGGAGGAGGCAGCAATCAAAAACACTGGGCCGCTGCATGTTTTGCGCTTGGTCCCATAAATCTGGGACAGAAGGTTGGCATCGGGGGAATGGAGACTGCAGGGGAGTATGGGGTGAAACTGGATGGTTAGGTAGGGAGAGGTCAGGTTATGAAGGGCTTTCTAAGTTAGGAGATGGACTTTTATTGGGGAACAGGGAGCCAATAGAGGTTCTGGAGGACAGGGTAATATGTTGTAACCCCCTACTACTGTGTAAAAACTGGAATAAAAAATAAATAAGAGTATATGTACTGACAGTTAAAGTACCATAAATATGTCAAAGTGCATTATATGTGCTGAAGGTGGTTTGGAAAACTCAGACAGGTTTCAGAGCAGTGAAAGAGCAGTAAAGATGTTCTTCATTTGAAAATCATAGACACGAATATTCACTTGTTTTCTCCGTAGCAGTCATTCAAATAGAGGCTTGGCTTACATTTCCACAGCAGAGAACAATTTTCCACCTGATGCTGTCAGCCACATAGTCAATGCAATCTCTGAGGGACTCCTAATTATGACAATGGAGCTGTGGCAGATCGTGCTCCAGTTACTATTTCTGACAGCTCTATTTCACAGCAGCATATAAAAGGCATGTCAACCTGTTAAAAACACAAGCATTGGAATGAGTCTCCGTTTTTACTTCAAGGAGCAAATGAGGTCCAATGAGCTTTTTAAAGAAAGCTCTCTGTTCAGATTCGGCTGTGGGGACACAATTGTTGAGCAGAAACATCTGTTTGTTGTATCTGCTGTTTTGCTTGTGTGATGAACATATTAGATAACACTTTGTGACCACCTCAGTGCAGAGCCTCTTCCCTCCCCCACTTGTAATCCTCTTTGATATGAGTGATGAGAGCAAGACCCAATCCCACAAAAAAGGGTTTCCTTTTTTCCATTTTTTCAATGAGAACATTTATTTTTGGCTTCCTGTGGAGGAGGTGTGACAAGATGTAATGTTAGCAGTTGTGCGGTTGATCTCTGCATGGATATGCCCAGATGCATACACCCACCCACGTTAAATCATTTATGAACTACAAGCTTCCTTCTGGATGTATATGTAACTCCGTGTTAAAAATAAACCCAACACTGACAGTTTGAAGTCTTCACGCCGGTTTGCATGGACATCCTGCAGGCCCAATTTTACAAAGATATTTATGGTCCGGATGAGGAGGGTTAATACCAAATCTTATTCACAGCATCAGGATCTGAAAACGGTTCGACAATGCATGTTGGAATAAGGTGCTGAGAAAGATTCACAGAATTGTTATGTTTTAATTAGACTTTTGGGGTTTTAAACCCACTTTTAGGCAATTTCAGAGTCATCTTTAAAAAATGTTTCATTTCAGAATTCAGATTAATTTTAAAATTTCTTAAATTGAAATGGGAATTTGTTGGAACCAGTCATTTACTCAGAGTAAGGTACTAAGGGAAGATTGCTCTTAACATTGCTGCTGGCATTTATTTTCTAGTGTCAGCAGCACTAATGTTGAAACACCAAACAGTTCCAAGGCATCAAAGTGACATGTATACATAACAAGAGTAGTACACATATTTACATTATTCCTTTATTTTGAGGTAAGGACAAACAATATTTTGGTCTTACGAGTATTTCACGTCCTCTAAAAGAGAATAATTTAGATGTGTACTCCATTAGATGGTTTCCGTTTAACAATAGAAACAGATGTTCAAGATAATGGAATAATTTGCTGATTTGATAAAATGTGAAATGTGAGTCAGTAAATGCATCATAAAAGCTCAGCGTGATCTATTAACAGACTTCAGGTAGAGGTTAAACACCAGTGTTACTGGAGTGAGGGAAGGATTGATGTAATTGATTTGTTAGTGAGCTGCTGATTTTAGAAAAGTGCAGTGGCGCCCTCTGTTGTTGATGAGCAGGTACTGTTGTAGCTGAAAGGAGCAGGTAGGAGGGTGCTGAACTTATTGAGATCATCTGTCCATGGAAGTCTTGTATCTCTCACTTTAGGCCTCTGTAGGCCGCTGCTTTAAACACCTATAGGAACTTAAAAATTATTTTAAGTGCAAGACGAACTGAAACATTTACTGATTCTTACTTTCTTTCTTTGATACTGAGATATGACACTAAAAAGACCATTGGTTTTTTGACTGTGGAGGATAGTTAAGAAAGGAGGTATGGCTTTCAACTTTGGGAAATAGTCATAAGCATTTTTATTGACTTCTTTGGATGAAAATATTTATCAGTGTGTCTGTCAGAGCATTCAGTCGATCAACTTATAAGGAAAGTTTGTGTACCCATGGAATAATGGCTGTTGCCCAATCACTTCAGTTCTGAGACTAATGGTCAAAGGCTGTTACATATTAGGTGGTTTTCAAAATTATTACAGCATTTTTTGAGGAGATATTAGAGCAAGACATGAATTTTGCAAAAATCATCAAAGGATCAGGTCTATTTAAAGTCTTTACAGGGTTAGACGATTTTCTCAGAAACGGAAAATTGAGCACTTAATAAATTACCTTAAATCTTCATTGGTTGATAAATCGCAGGGAGTGGGAGAAAAATCGATACAACATAGTATTGCAGTATTTTGTCTGGTGATATATCGTATCGTCTCATCCACCAAGTATTGAATTTTTTTTTCAAAGTAATTGCTAATATGAACTCAAGTCTATAGAAATGGGGGGAAAAAATCAATAACTTGTTCAAGTTGGCAGAGGTGACATCATAGAGCAGGAAAAAGTTAGCACAACAAACAGCACCTGGGGAGGGACAATAGGAATGAAATAGGGTACAAATGAGATGGACATGACACAAGATTTGCAAGAAGTGTTACATGAATATAAAATACTGTGTAAATAAGACAAACATAGAGTAAAGACAAATGCTCTAACAGCTAAGCAGTTGAAAAAAATTGTATAAATCTCAAGATATGGTATCGCAATACTCAGTGTATTGCAAAATGTTTAAAATCGCAATAATATCGAATCATGGCCCAAGTATTGTGATAATATTATAGTAGTTAGTAATTTCATACTTGCAAATCATGATCAAAAGAAGACGGTGTTTGGTCAGTATTGGGTCTGCATTTTTGTGTCCTTAGCTGAAATTACTGCTCATGAAACAAACACAGTAAGGTTTTCATGAGATTTAGTCTTTCTCTCTTATCTTTCAAATACATGGATGTTTACTGTGTACACAGACTCTAATAGGGGAAGTTGTGTTGCAATGAGTAAACACTTGGTGTTCAAATTCCTCTCATCTATCAGGGAATGAAATTTTCCCTCTTAAAGAATTCTATAATGTCCCATCAGACACAGCTTCACACAGAAAAGACTTTTACTGATTGGTCACTTCTAACCACCAGAGCTGTACATTAGTTTTTATTTTTGTCCTTAAATTGACTTGTATTTATGTATTTATACCACTTAGCTACTTTTAGTCAGATGTCTGGACAGTAAAACATGGTAGATTAAAATTTCAGAAGTCAAAATTCATATTCCTCAAAAACCAAACCAAACTGAAATTCCCCTCAGTGTCCTCTGGGTGGAGCCATATGGCCACTTACCATCTCATCAGTTCACCTGGAAAACTTCTCACAACCTACTGAAGTTTTTCAACTGATTGTTTCCTAAAGCAAACAAGTTTTGAGATACTCACAGGAAACAAACATAACAAGTCAGATGCTCAGGTGTCAGTACAGGAACATAAATACATTAGCTAAGAAATAAACCCCTGCACACTTTAAAGTCACAGTGAGTTCATCTATTTTGCAGTGGTCTATTTCTCAAAAGCTATAACTTTGATATTATGGACTCTTGGATGTCTCATTGCATTAGATCAAATTCAGATGTGCCATGCAGAGTGAATCATATACTATTGTGTTTGGGGGTCAACTCATGTTCCTGAACTCGGTGAAGGAAATGCCTTCAGTCTTTTGATAGTATAGTATATCACCTACTTATGTGGTTTGTTTTAAGATGCATTAACTATGCTGGCCATAAGACAATATATGAAAAACCTCTGGGCAGTTGGAGGCAAACTGAGAGTGGAGGGTCTTTCATGGTATCTGAGGCAATGTGTAAGAGTCTGCAGAAGCCACATCAGAGTTCACAGTTTAAAGGCTTTCATATGGTGAAAGTTTGCCGTCTTTTGCTCTGACTTGTTTATGGCGTGTAATCATTTTCACTCTTTTAAAACAAGAGTGAAGGGGTACCAAAGCATAAAAGAGTTTCCTGTGTGTCATCCGTGATTTCACACGTGAAGTATTTGCTTGGATTCAAATAAAAAACAGTCACCTGTGGATATTTGATCATGCCCCTTTTTGTCTTAATGTATTCCTGATACATTTTTTACAATAGTTCCTTTAGCGTGATTCACTTTCCATGACGATTTAACACAGCAGAGTTTAGCGAAATTCAACCATTAAACTTCTCTTTCAGCATAGTGAAATTGTTGCACAAAAAGCTGCTTACCCAAGGGGAGTATGAGAATGGAGTCCTAGGTTTAGAACTAAATAAAATAAATTTACAAAGGACTATTTTCACATTTTCAGATCAAGTCATTTCATCGCTTCAGCCCAACACCAGTTAGTTAGTGTTCAGGTTCTGTCACAAAGATATTGTATTTTTTAGCAGCTGGCACACTTTCCTTTCAGGCTGGTTTCTTGAGCTGTCTGTAGCACTCTCTAACATGCAGGCATTTTCCTGGTTATCATTCACAGAGAATCCCAACTGGTAGGCTGGATTCTCTCTCTGCGTCTCTCACTCTCAATCCCTCTCTTGAGAGGCAAGCCTCCAAGACAACCCCAGAATCAGGTTGCACTGTATAATGTCATAGGTAGGCCTGTGATGGATCATGGCACAGTTTGCCTCTGTCTGTTCTTTCCTGTCTCTGACTAAGTAAACGTTTCCCTCTGTGCTCAGCCGTTTATGAAAGCTCCTTTGCGCAGTACTGCCATAGGCACCTCTATCCATCAGCCTTGGCTCTTACCCTCTGTGTGTGCATGTGTGCGTGTGCTTTTCTTTTCTCCCACTTGTCTGGTGTCCATCTCTTCCGGTGTGTATAGCTCTGATTTTGAAATGTGGAGCTGTCTCTTGTTCTGGATCACAGCAGGCTGTTGCACATGGTGTTAATCTGCTGTGTGTTTTAGTTTTGATAGTTCACCCTCTACCAGGACCAGTTCCAAAAGTATCGTTTGCATTATTATGCCATGATGGACAACAGTCTTGCTCATGTAGCTGAATCAACTGTGTTTTACTGTGGGAGTAATGTCAAAAGAACAAAACGGTACCAGCTGTGTGTTGTTCCTTGATGATGTTGTTTCATTACACACCTCAATGACAGTGGGATGTAGCCATTCAGTAGGTGTCAGAGTAATACAGAGCAAACACAGGGATGGACTCAGTGTGTGATTCCTGAAACATCATGATTTTACTCTTCACCATTTCCTAAACCGATGATATCCCACAGCTTACTCTGTGTTTCATCTACAAAAATCAGCACTCATGATAAAACACTTACAGTTCAATAGTTAAAATTGGTGTGATAGCAGTGTGATTGACTTTTATGTCTGTCTCCTGTCTAGAAAGAGGATGGGCTTGAATGATGTGTTACATTTCTGTCCCTTTGATGTAGAAAAGACATGTGGTGTCCATTGGCTGTAGTCAAGTGCTCCCTGTGTGGGATTTAGCTGTATGGTTTGTGTAGTGGTAGCCAGTGCACACGTGTTCCTCTGTTTCAGCCCGTCGCCTTTTCACATACATGCACACACTGCAGTTAAAAAGTATTGTTTCACAGTGATGGTTTGAAATGCTGAAGATGTTTACAGACATCACCTATTCTGTTCAATTATTTGGCCACATTAGCATTTTTAGACACTTGATTTCTGTCCAGGTGAGATCTTGGATTCATCTTGTCGGTTGATAAGTGTCAACACATAAATGCTGTGTGTTTGGCACTGACCTAAAAACCACAGTCAAGCTGTGGTTTCCAAGCTTGCTTGTATTTGAAACCCACTGTACCGCAGTCCTCCTCTACATGCTGTCAGCATCCTCATACTTTTGGCAAAAGCACATGTACAGGTCAGTTTAGTGCAGCTGAACCACATTGACCTTTTTATGTACTGGGAAGAGCTTTGTCCCCGCTTGGCTGCTTGAATATAGCTATACAACAGCTGTTAAGCATTTTTCTAAATGAAAACCAGTAATGCAAGCATCATCACTCAGTTTGAAATCAGTGCATCGTGATACCATCAATGAGAAGTAGAACTGTGCAGGGCTGAGAGGTTGTTGCAAGATGTTCTCATATGTATCAAAAAACATGAGACACCTGTATCCCACAGAGAAGAAATCTAGTCCTGCTCCCACAGCTTTACTTGGGTGGGTTTTTGACCAGTGAAGGCAACAATCTGGTCCTGATTTACTATTACATAAGTGCCTTGAGAGTGTTGTTTTTGAAAAGTTTGCTTTGTGGGGAAAAGACTCTGGAAAATAAAATAACAAACAGGAGAGCAGTTCCAAAAGCAAACGTGGTGTGTAAACAGTTCTCAGGGTGGTGTTTGATTGGTTTTCTCTCACAACCCCAGCCATTGCATCCATCCATCCCCCAACAACCCATTCTCTCCACAATTAGCAAGAGGTTAATGGGTTTAGATGGAGGGTTGAGGGGGAGCGGGTTAAAATTGGTGCCAATAACATTCCCCCTACAATGGAGATGACCCCCCACCCCCCAAATGGTGGGTAAACAATATACCTGAACCAAACAGCAGGCAGCGATAAAGGCATTTGCCAGGGAGGTGGACGTATACGAGCCCTGATGGGGTGGGAAGAGGTAGGTTAAAGTGGATTTGAGGTTTTTGAGGCTGGCCCTACAAAGAATCCGCCAGTCACAACTGAGGGGCCCAAAGCGTGTGATTATTAATTACTGATGGCTCTCCAGCCTTTGAAATCAGGGGGCCGCAGACATCAGATTTGTGGAAGAGGCAGAGGAGCGAAAGGCCTGTCATTACCATCACAGAAACAATGTTCGAATTTGGCTGTCATGCATTTTTGCCTAATTGACTGTTTTGATGCTGTTTTTTTTTCTTTATTTTGTTTTTGGGGGGCACTGATGCCCCCCACTCCCCAGTCTTGATGAGGAGAACTTGGTGGGCTTTCAGCTGCACCCAGCAAGAACCTTCCGGAGGTTCTTTGATGGCAAGAAAAGCCACTGGAGATCTTAGGGGCCTCATCGGCCTCCATTTATGTATCGGCACCATAACACCCCATTTCTGATTCCTGACAAGAAATGAGTGAGGAGGAAAAGTAACGTATGAAAGGCATACAGTGTGTGTGTTAGTGAATGTATGTGCTATATGGACCGTGTGTGTGTCTGCAGGGTGGTACTTTTTGTGTGAGAGTCTGCAATGAAAAGGGGGAGGCCAGGGATCCACAATCCACATGAGGGGTCTTCTTATTTGCATAATTAACTGTTGACACTAACTGTGCTTAATGAAGGCCTATTGAAGTCACTGACCCTTTTACACAGCCAGCCCCTGGGAATGGGAGGCTCCTCTGGCAAAGGTTAAAACAATGTGTCTGGTTAACTTCCGACAAACGCGCCGAAACGCCCCAAAGTCTCAAAGATTCATGCTCAACGGAAGAGGTTATGGCACAAAGCGACCCAGGTTTTCCCAGACCTGAAATATCACCAGATGTTTGGCTTTGCTGTTTCAGCCCTTATTATGATTTTTGTTTTCCATAAGTTACAGTCACTCATTTTTTTATTGTTATGTGTCAGGAGAATTGTGTTATTGTACAGAATAGTGCAATTTTAGATCAGTGCTCTGCTCCAGATAATGTTGCTTACATCATCTCCCAGAGAAATCACGGAAGAAGTTACACAACCGTTTAAAAATATTTTTGTCCTACCACAAATTACAAACCCTATTGTCAGGGGAGTGGCCTCTCTTGAAAACTTGATGACCTCCTGGTTAGGTTGCTGTTGTATCCCTCCCGTAAGAAAAAAGCCACACAACAGGATGACAGAGTATTTATTTGTCACACTAGTTTAAAGCATGAATATTGAAACTAGCAGGATTATTTAAAAATTTTTTTTAACAATATGTATCTATTAAGCAGGTGACAAGGTGTTTTAATGTGTTTATGGAAGCTGCTGTGATAGACATTGTAGTATTTAGCGTGTGTAAGTTGATTATCAGAGAGGGGCGGCACCAGCCACTTTTGGACCATTAAAACACCAGACATCAAGTGAAAGCCGACAGTGTGTAAAGTAGAGGTGTGTGGTCAGAGTGCCGTGGCCTGTGTTTCGGTTGTGGAAAACACACTAAAACACTGAAGGACCACTTAGTGTACAGCTGTGATCTCTTTATACAGCCTTGTAAATAGGCCCATTCACTGCTTCTGGAGAGGAGTAAGAGCAGTAAAACCGAACTGCATTTACGCACCATGACACAAATTTCTCAAATGATTCTTAGATAGATTAAATTTTGATCATCTAAACACAAGAAAAGCTCAATATTGCAGTTTATCTTTGGAGTGTTAGTCCTTAGAAACTGTCAGTATGTGTTCTGTCAGTAAGTCACAAAAACACTGTTGTGTGCTGCGGTGGAGTTCAGTTATCGCTTCATGTTGAAAACGGTATCCTGTAATGCTTCAATGTTTTAGACCTCACAGACAATTTTAAAACAAAGGTAACAACCTAGAGATGGAGATGTACAACATCACATTCCCTGCTGACAGTGGATACTGTACATACAGTCTATGTGTGCTTGATACTCACAGAGTTATTTCTGAGGAGTAAAACCAAACCGACCTGTGGAAGTTCTGGTTCAGGTAAGTATAACTGATGGAGATGTGAAGCAATAAAAGTTGTTCACAAGTTTGGTTTTGCTATTTTGTAACAGCAGATGAAAGGAAATCTGTTCAACAAGTGGTCTTTAAAGTCATTTGAGGCTGTCTAATACCAGGTGTGAGCTGGAATCTGTCTCAACTGGACACAGACCAAGTCCATCTGGGTACAAGGTGCCGAAAAGGTCTCCCTGTCCAAGAAACATACAATATACTATAAAGGATGCACACATGTCAAATGTCCTCCCGGCTGTAGCTCTCTGCATGAACTGATAAATGTTAAAAGATACGTTCAAAAAAAGGTGAGCACACATTTTGTCACAGTAACTACATTTTTGGAAATTCTGAGCTGTCTGGAAATAAAAACAGTCTGTTGAAGGAAGTTGTCAAATATTTGAGCACTTTAATTGCCGCTTCTCTTACACCCAGCTTTGACGCATTATGACTCATTTCTCCTTTTGCTGCAGACACCACTGGGTGTTTGCTTATCATCCAGCAGTACTCCAGGGTCAAGAATCTTCTCTTCCTGTAGTATCCCTCTGATCTCTTCTTGACGTCACTGTTTGTGGTTCACTCCTATTAATGGCTTTTCCATTTCGTTGGTCTGAAAGGCCTCAAGAGTCTGATCTACCATCCCTGTTCACCATTTGTAGAGCAGACAGATTCTCTTGTTGTATCTTGTATTTGTCATAGATAGCCCAAAACAGATTTCCTTCTGTTGTTCCTGTTAATCTTCATGCTCTGACGTGTTTTACAAGGTCAACAGGGATATTGTGAATGGGCATCGTGGTCAGGCCTTGTTTTGGTGGTGTGAGGAGAGGAATAATCCACTAAAAGGAAATCATAAGTGTTCTGTTTCCTGTGAGAATCTCTGTATTAAAAAAAAGTGTTTTTTAGACCTCACTGAGCTCTACTCATCAACCTAATTCTGGACTGTGTATAAAAACAGATTTATTGTTTGCTTGGTCCCCGTCAGGTTTTGTGTCTCAGAGGGGCCTAGAACTAGTTAATGGGGAGGGGTCTTTTACATTTAATGACGACTCTCTTAAGCTTGAAACTTTCCCACACTTGTTTCAGGGCGAAATGGGGCCCTGGGATTTGTTTTTTGAAATCAGAAATTGAGGTGGTCATCGATAGATAGATGCTGTATGAAAATGTGCCATAACTGATGTAAGTGGGACAAGTGCCCTCCCATCCACCGACCCTTTTTATGTCTATAAGATGGGGCGCCCCCCACCCCCCTTGGTTCTTGCACACTGGTTTCAGGGCCTTCAAAAGGAGGCCCCTAAAGCTTTGATCCTCTACATGGGTGCGGAAAAACATCTTTTTGCCCTACACTGTGCCCAGGAAACCAAAGTTTTTGCCGCCGCCGTATGCTAATGTAGCCAAGCTAATCACCCTTCCCAGTTACAAGATTTATATACCATAATGGCACCCAGTGGTACCCCCTCATTTCTGTGGCCCCTTATCTAGCCTCCGGATGTCCCATGGAGCAAAGGTGTCCTCTGTCTGTGAATGCAGCTGCCTTGCCACCACCTCAGCCTCTTGCTTTCTTTTACAAAAAGAGAGTGACATGAAAACAGTCCTGTGGGTGGGCCCCTTAATGCTGCCCCTCTTATTCTCCGCCTAATGTACTTTTCCAGTAAATGTCATGAAACACACAGGAGCTGCAAGGTGGACTCCAGACAGATAAATGTGTGTATGGGGGGCGGAGCTGTGGCCCCTCAGTCCCCCTTAGTATGTCTAGTGGACCTGCTGCTCGGACTGTTTTTGTGTCCTAACTTACTACCCCAAACCATTTTGTTGTACTAGTCCTATAAGCAAGCTTCCTCAAGGTGACTGATTACAAAACACATCTTCATTAAGTCCTCCTATCCTCGCCTCCTTTCAGGCTTTTAGAATTTAAATTCAAACGGTGTTTTTGGGAAACGAAGCTTATGAACTTTGTTTCCTACAAATGTACAAATGTCCCCTCACCAACAAAGCGCCAGCAGCAAGCTATAGGGAAACACTATTCAACCTCAGTCTGTGCTGTGGCCCACTCCGGGCCCCTCTGAATGGGACAAAGTGGAGCTCGTGTAGTGCTGGCTGAACTCGCCGGAGCACTTGGATCTAACCCAGGATTTCCTCAGGTGAACTCTAGTCCTGCTTTTTGAGAGGAAAAACATGTTCTTTCCAAGAAAATGGCAATTACTCAAAAGGAAATTTATTTAAATTTAAAATGTAGATATTAACAGTTTTAAAAGTTTACTTTGAAATTATAAATGTGAGAAACACTGGCTCAAGTATTCAACTAAAAAGAAACATATCCACACTTACAAAGAGTTATGGACTCTTCTTAAAAAGTTCAAAAGGGCAGTTTCCAGAGGTGTGATGTGCTGCTCTTCAGCTTCTGCAGTAACATTAGTTTTGGTTCCCTTTAAAGCAATGGTTTAAAGTGACGTCCATGGAGTGCTGGGACCTGACATAGATCTGACATTGTGCAGAATTTGTACAACCCCTCTCCCAAAAATCATATAATCAGTGTTAGACTTCAGCTCCAGTAATAATTCAACAAACAGTCTAGTTTTTCCCCTGCGTGTGTTTGATGAAATTGTTTGTAACATTAATCTAGAATGACATAAAACAACAAGTGGTAGGCAAACACAGTTGGTATAGTATCTGTTTTAATGCAGCGGTGTGTCTGAAGATTTTATGAGCAACCTGTTGTTCTGGGGTATGTCTGTACTAATCATCACATCAATGAATTCCAGTTTGTGTTTGTGTGTCAGCATGTGTGTGCGCATGTGAACCACAACAGCGGGTACTTACTGCCACATCCAGATGGTGCTGAAACAAACAGAGCTACGCTGTAGGACCCCTCAATAGGAGCGTCTAGACTGGTCCCTGACCAGACAGATACAGCCTCCCATCAAATTAGCGTTTGTCAGATTTATGGTAATGGTCCGCAACAGTCTTCCTGTCAGTGACATCAAGATTTACAGCACTGACACCCATCCCCAACCCCCCCCCTGCTGCAAGAAAACACACATACACATGTACACAATCCTCATTCTGAGCATTCTCTGGATCTTACTGGCTCCTACTAAGACACCCTCCCCTGGTCCATCCCTCATTTCTCAGACCCTGCTCACTGCCATCGAACAACTCGTTCTAACCACCGTGGCCTTGTCTTTTCAACTCATTGGAGAAGTTGGGGACGTTGTTGTGTGTGTTTGTACATTAGGAGGTTAGAAAGGAGGTTAGGCCATGACGTTCCACAGTCTCCTTCTCTAAAGGCACCACAAACCCCAGGGGAAAAAAAGACCCACTCGGGGTGGCAAAACCACCCAAGCCCCCTCTGCCTCCCTAACAATGGCTTGTGTCAGGGTTTCCTGTTAATCCTCTGTGATGAGGCTTGAGTGTTTTTGGGTGAAGGAGTTGGGGAGGAGGGTGAGGTGGTGGTGCATGGAAGCCTGCAGAGGGGGGTTTGGGCATGCTGGGTTGGTGTAGTTTGGGGGTGACCCGATGGTACTCTGCGGTGAAGGTTATAGGGAAGGATACATTATAGGCAGTGCAAGTGAAGGACGAACAGAGTGTCCCATGTTTTTGGATTAGCGTCGCCTCCTCTTTCATGTCGGCGTTTTTGGGTAGTAACCTGATCCCCGTACCCTAGCACAAGTGAGCCCAGTGGGAAAGGCTTCCTGACAGATATCCCATCCGTTCTCAGCCCAAATGTTTTTCCAAGGCTGCTCCACCGCCTTTGATCTGACCTCCTCCTCAAACACGCAGGGTCACAAGCTACCATGGCAGGCCAGATAGGAGAAGGCCAACACTGAAGCACTTACTGACAAAAAGAGAAGAGGGGGTCGGGGGGCTGCTGGCTGTTGTACAGAAAATCTGGCCACATAGTCTAGACAAGTCTCTAAAAAATGGACTTTACTCCTCAAATATTCAGTGTATCACATCCTCTCAGTCAGTCAGCTTTTATTCTGCCATGCACAGTTATTCCTTAGACAGTGCAGTGTGTTCTAAGAAGCTGTTTTCAGAAAGCTGGAGGGCGCTCTAACTTCAGCCTGTGGCTGCTTCTCTGTGTGTAATGTAGTGTGTGCGTTTGTGCGCGCGCGCGTGTGCGTGTGTGTGTGTGTGAGTGTGTTTTAGCTTGTCTCCTTGTCCAGACACCTTAGCATCAGGGCAATAGTGTTCGAGCTCTGAAACGAGGGCCAGACAGACAGAAGTGGGATGAATGAATTGGGTGGCGGGGGTGATAGGAGAGAGAGGGGAAGAGAGAGAGAGAAAGAGAGAGTAAGAGAGAGAGAGAGTGAAAGAGGGTGAGGCAGAGCGGGTGTTATTGCTTCAGAATAAGGGGATGATGTGCCTGCAAAACAGTGACAAGCAAATCAGCTTTAAAACCGGGCCTCCCCATACACACACAGACACACAGGCATAATGGGTTGTTTTGCCGACTTAAGTAAGACACGGTCTACTTCACCAGACTGGATGTTGAGCTGTTGCAGACAGGGTCATCCTTTTATCGCTGAATATCTCTGACATCTCATTCCAGTAGGTCTCTATGATGTCATGTTTAAGACATTGAAATTAACAGTAGACACATTTAACATTCACTCTGCATCAAAAACATGATGGATGTGTGTTGTTGAGGCGTGGAATGGGACTGACACAGTGAGCTCTTTCTGTGTGTGTGTGTGTGTGTGTGTGTGTGTGTGTGTGTGTGTGTGTGTGTGTGTGTGTGTGTGTGTGTGTGTGCGTGCGTGCCTGCCTTCCTGCGTGCGTGTGAATGTGTGTGCGTGCGCGTGTGTGTGGAGGTGCCTGTGTTTGTACTGGGATCTATTTCTGATGTCGGGGTAATGAATGGCACCTGTTTAGTGTCCTTAGTAGGCCATCATTTTGGACGTGCAGTAAATCTTGTATTTCATCACCTACAGCTCCAGTTGAAAGCGTGTCAGAGCGTTTGCCTCCTTCACATTTTGTTTGTTCTATCCCGCAATTTCGGTTACAACTCCATCTTTCCTGTTGTGACAAGTATCCTGCCTCCGGTATCATGCAGCCTGCAGCCTTAGGGACTGAGATGCAGCGGTGGTGATGGTTAGAGCGCCTGAGGAAGTGCTATCAAAACAAAGAGGACTTGTGCAATCAAAGGTTTGGTCTAAATATGTGTCATGTCACAGAGCAGAATGTAAAGTGCTTTGTGGTTTGGCGAGGTGGACTGGTGCCCCAGGCCTGAAACCATCTGTGGTTGGCAGAAACGGCTCACCATGGGAAGAGTCCAGTGAGCTGCCTTGTGTGTCTAGCATGTCTCTCTCACCCCTTAACGAGAATGGCATGCAGTGCGCCCCACACACCCCCTCTCCCTCACTGTACTGAACCACTCTGTGTCCCACCGTGCACCCCCCATCCTGCTTCAAAGCGGCAAATAACAACAACAACTGAAGGGAGGAGAAGATGAATGAGGATGAATGAATGTGCCCCTTCCATCCCCCCTTTTGCCCGTGCAGCCCCTCCACCTTCCTGCTCCCCTCTACACTCCTCTCCTCTCTCTGACAGACTGCCTTCCTGCATGCCCTTCCCCTCTCCCGCCCTCTGCTTACCCCTGGTCCTGCAGTCCTGTGTTATGACTGTGGCTGGTGTGTATTACACACATATCTGTTAGCGCCACTCCTCCGCTGGGACGCCCATATAAAGGACTGTCATTTCCAAAGGTCACGAGTGAGCCCTGAACACAAGTGTTGTCCCGACACTTGGTCTGGAAAAATAAAAACGGCCAGCTTGCCAGTCCCTGTCCTGTGTCTGTCTGTGGCCGCTATGACTCCCAGAAGCAAGTGTCTCAGATGTCCTTTCCCTTTTCTCCTCCTCCTCCTGCTCCTCTCTTCTTTCCTTTATAAGCTGAGCTCCACTCTTGTTGGGGAATAAACATACCTACGCTGTGTTAACTGGCAGGCACAGAGGAAGTCGTGTTTGCATTTCTTGTGCCTGGCAGTCAGAGATGACTGACATTAGCATCCCTGCTATGATCAGTGTGAACAGTTCAAGCACATTAGTCGAAGTGTTTGCTACATTTTAGGAAGTAGTACGACTGCGCTGAGAGAGGACATGAGCCTCAGTACATTTTTAAGTTATTCTTAGGGACATGGTTTGTTTGTCTTCGTCAGCCAATCTACATAGAAGTCATGGTAACAGATTTCCTTATCCTTGGTTTTCAGATCAACACCCTTTTTTATGACTGAGTGCTAAATGAGGTCAAGATGTATTAACAGAGTGGCGAATGAGTCATCAGGAGCTTACTTCCTGTTACTCAGGGCACTTAAATTTATTTATTTCCCCGGTGTTTTAAGAGTCTCTGGTTGACCCCGAGTGGATTTCCTCCAACAAGATGACGATCATCTGTGTCTAATTTTTCCCTCACTGAACATCCCATAAAGAGTTTCCCTTTGGCTGTAAAGATGGTGTGGAGAAAATCCTTCATTATTAATCACTGTCAAACCAATCACTCAATACAGCAACACAATTTCCCTTCAAAATGTCATTGCCACTCACTGTGGATCAACCACACAGATTGTGTTTTCTGTTTTCTGACTCTAGACCACAGACTATTTAACATTGTTTATTGCGGCTGCACCAACAGTGCAAATGGAACTTTTTATGGTCTCGTCTATCATTAGCAACAGTTTTCTCTTTGACTCAGCCACACATATTTAGTATTTTGGGAGATATTTGTAATATTTCGCCTCATTTAGTGATCATGAAGTATGCTTTTCTTTTGCGAAGGGATGTTGTTGTAAGAAAAGTCCTCTTCTAGATCACTTCTGTATGACAAGTGTGGAATTTAAGTTAGGAAATGTCAAGTAAACATGTGGACAGACACAATAAACTAATGATCCATAAATCTGCTAACCTTCTTTGGACGAGACCTTGGGCGTGTTAAAATCTAGTCCTGAGTGTTCCAGCTAAAACATGAGTTAATGCTGCACATTAATGCAGCTGTTTCAAATGTATTAAATCTTACATCCCACCAACCTGCACACATATACAGTGTACCATTCTTTCAGAAAAGTCAAAGACTAACCCTACGAGAGCATATGGTGCTCACATGTATGTTATACTGACCCCAGTTTCTAATATTCCTTTCATAAGTGAAGCAGGGTGATCACCAGTCCATAGACACTGGAGCTTGTTGGGGTACCATCACGCTGTTCTCCTGTCCTGTGGTGTCGTCACAGCAGTCAGAGAGTAGGAGAGTGAAACATGAACTAGTCTGCTGTGGTTTGAGTGGCTTCCCACTAACTCCCATTTATTAGCTCTACAAATGAAAAAGCGGTTTTGTAAAGCAAGCCCAGCTCCTGTTCTGTCCAACGACATCAGGTGAGTCTGTCACATAATGGGTTGTGACTCATTGACATTGACTAGTTTTCTACTAAATATTTCAACTCCAACTGAACCTGTCAGGTTGAAGTAGTCGAACCCTGTGCCTCAGACCATCTCTATTTATGTACTGTTCAAATAACCATAGAAGGGTCATGGGTTAATTGTATGCAAACAGAAGGTCTCCTGAGCTCAGCGCTTTATGATGGTGATACTGTAGCATGTGGTATGATTTTGAGCAGGGTTTTAGGGGGAAGTCATTGAAGGAAAAGGTCACTACTGTGGTTCAGTTTCTTTCAAACAACTGAACTATGAATGTGTGCTGAATCTTTCCCCTGAATATGTTAACATATGAGGTTAAACTGTATTAAGCTCAGCCTCTGCAGATCACTGGAACTGCACTGACCTCTTCTTACACAACCAGTGGTAGATCAGCACTAGTGTCCTTCGCTCCTTTTCCTGTTCGAGCCTCGGTCTGCTGCCAGGAGGCCCGGTTATGTCACCCATAAAATTTCCTGACATCTTTCTCAAAATTGAAGCCTGGGGGACTTGTTTTTTTTTTTCTTCCTGTCTGTCATGCATCTTTAAGGATACTTTCATCTGAAAAATGCAGCCTGGCTATGTCCTTAAGTTATATTTCTATCAGACAGTGTTCCTCATTTACATAAAGCCTAGCTAATCATCTTTCACGACATCAGTGAGGTAATGTCTGGGCAGGTCTTTCAGGGAGGCACAATTAAAACATGTCCAATCCTATAAGAGGCAGCCAATCAATAAAGTCGAGGAATGGCAGACTTTTTATGGAGGGTGATTTGGCACAGAGTTGCAAAGGTTTTTATAGTTTTTTTTCTTGAAGATTGCCCTCTCTTTGATGCTTGTAGCTTGATAGTTCTTCAATTGTTCTATTATAAAGGAAGCATATGTGATTAACCTCACATACGAGGAGCTTTTTTTTCTGTGTGACTGTACATGTGAGAGTATTTTGAGTTGTTCCTAGTAGGTAAGAACACACCAGCCAGTATCATTTAGGGATCTTTAGACTGTGTGCATCCAACTCAATTGCCAGTTTTAATCTCAGCTGTTTGTCTGGATGCCTTTCAGATTTATGGAGGTAGTCATCATCATACAGAGCACACATTCGAGCTCTGCATCTCAGTGACAGAGCACCCGGACTCTCAGATCATAGACTGTGGGGTTTGACGGGGTGGGGCATGTCCTGAGGTAAGCAAAGGCCTCTGGACATATTTATTTTTCTCCTGTGAGCCTTTTGAGCAAGCTCTCCTCGTCAATCTTGCGCTGTCAGAGAAGGCCCAGAGGTGGGAGCTCCCATCCCTCTCGATCTCACAGGGGCCACTGTGTACACAGAGACCCCAGGGTCAGGCCCTGGATGCTCCTTTCTCTGTTGTGAAATACACACTGTACAAGAAGAGAGGGGTGCTGGGAGTTGTCCTGTCTTTCTGCTCCTACAAAGCCAGGAAGCCTACTTTCTTCTTCAATTTGCTCTTGTTATTACTTCATCAGGATGTGAGTAAACAGCGAGCATCCAGCTGAAAGAGACTTCAAAGCTGCTCCAGTTCTCCCATCTCACCTCATCTCAACCTCTCACTTCCTAAGAACAACTGTCAGCCCAGGGGATTGACAGCTGCAGGACAGATTTTACCTTCTGCAGAAATCTTTACATGTGGCTTCAGAGCATGTTGGTGGGGGGCAGAGGCAGCAAGGGGAGAAAAAAAAAAGCAAGACAGAGAATAGAATGACCTCATCAAACCAAGTTTTTACATGTGTTCCCCCATCTGACACGCGTGTGTTTCTGATCTTACCTTCTTTCTGGAAGAGGAGAATGTTTCCTGTTTGAGCAGTCTGGTGGGTTCACAGAGGAGTCGGGGGGGTAGGGTTGCTCAGCCGGCGTCTGGTTCTGTTGAAGTAGATTCCCCACATCTTCATCAAACAACAGCTCTGTTTTGGCACGGCTCTGAAAACTGACCCTGGTGGTCACTGATGTCTTAGGGTATGTGGAAGAATCAAGGCGGCAACACTGCAGTAGTTGTATCTCGCAGCGATCAGGGCTGCTGGTCCCGTGAAAAACATGTGCGTTTTTTCTAAATTTATTAGCTTTAGATAAAAAAAGTGTTGATGGATCCTCCTGTACATGTGAAGGTGGCCCTGATCTTGAGCATTTGAGCCAGAGATACTTGAGTGCTGATACTAAATATTTATTTATCCTCTCTTTTTGTTTATATCTGCACCTCCCTGCTTTTAATGGTGAACCCAAGCACACCTGGAGTATGTGCACACAGATGTGAAGCAGTTCGCGTAGACTTGCGTGCTTGTGTTTTCCTTCCTGTCAGAGGCTCTGACCGAACAGAGAAGCAGTGTGTTGAATGGGGTCGTCCCCTGACAAGAGCAGTAAGCAATCTTCTGTTGATGTTCTTCCACATGAAATGTGATACAGTGGATGGGAGTGTGTGCATGCATGCGTGTGTGTGTGTGGATGTATGTCTGCCCTACCTTGTCCAGACTGGTTCCTGTTTTGCTAATAAAAGAGATCTTCTTTTAGTTTTGGATACTGATCTCTCCACACAAGTTTAAAGACCTCATTCACGGTTCACACTGCATTTGCCCCTTAATGTCTCACAGCAGGTCCTCAGTCTCAGGCCGTGATTCATGGAGTGACAGGTCTAACTCTGACGGCCATAAGGGCCCAGTCAGACATAGTCGACTTGCACAAATGCCCATGCCGACACCGCAGACAAAAACATGTTACGCACCAGGGCCAAGATACTTGCAGTGAACAGTCCTGGTCCCTGTCATGTAGATTTTAGCCATGCACAACATTAAGATATTAAATCGTCTTGTGGTTTTACCCCTTATTGTTGTACTTGTGTTGAAACATGTAGCCCTCTGACATCAGCATATCAATCTGGAAATGTTTCGAGGATTCCTCATACGGACACAGCTGTAGAGTTTTGAGAGTCTTCTTGCGGAGTCAGAGGGAGATGGAAATCCAGACCTAAGATGTTTAACTCAAGGGCAGAACTTGATTTGATGTCCAATAAAAAATCCCAAATCCTAATCACGGCCTGATCTGTCCCAGATCACATGGTCCTTTTCTCTGATGTTTTCATTTTTCTCTCTTTGTTTATTTTAGTGTTTCCGGGCACTGTGCTGTAAAGGACCTCCGCCGCCAAGACCAGAGTATGATGTGGTGTGCATTGGCCTGACAGGTGCTGGGAAAACCAGCCTGCTCTCACGCCTCTGCAGTGAGGGCAGCGACGGCATTGTACCTACAACAGGTATGTGATCATCAAAATGTTGAAGAGAGACACAGAGAAAGAACAAAGATGTTTGAAGAGGAACAGGGTTTGCCCTTAAATAGAAGCATGCACTGCCCTTCCCTCACATCTGCACTTGAATGTTTTCAGAACACACTGTCCTCTGGATTAGACCCACAGGTAGAGAATCTTATCAAGGTATTACTGCTGCCCAACAGGGGGAAGCATGTCTTCAGTTTATCCTCCAAAGTCCCAGTGCTCATGCCAGAAACGCTCTGCTGGATCTCACCAGCTAACACTCGGCTTCTCCCCTCTGGTCAAGAAGGGAGGCTGATTTTAAGTATGTCCAGAAGAGGAGGCTTTAGGGTTAGTTCATCATTCTCTTGGTAGTCCACGCTCTGCTGCTTTCCATATACGCAATGCAATCCCTCAAGGAAACTGACATTCCTTTTTCCACCCTTGGCTTTGTCAGCAGTCAGTTCTGAGCTGTTGCAGGAGTCCCGTTTTAGATTTAGTCATTGTGTACTTTTACAAGTCTAAGCTAAATATAAAGTGGTTCCTAAATGTGCGGTCCATAACTGTGTGTGTACATTCGCAGGTGCGTGTGTGTACTGCTTTGGCAGGGGTTGGTTAAAGGAGCACCTTCACCTGCCTGCGTCTGCCACAGAGTAGGCCTTATAGGATAGAAAAAAAAAGTTGATTACTTACCTTGGCAGAGTAATTTGAGCATACTTATCTGAGCGAGAGATTTAGCTGTCAGCACAGACTGTGTCTGCCAACATTTAGAAAGGGAAGATAATGAAGAGCAATGAGGGGGAACTCTTCAGTGTTCCTCCTCCACTTCCTTCCACTTCATGATTTTCTTCTGTTGTAATGTGCTTAAAAACCACATTTAGCATTTAATTCATATGTTTATAAATCATAATCTGTTGTCTCTGCCATGTCTCCTCCTGTTTGTGAATGTTTCCAGGAAAGGGATTCCCACATTGACAATTGAGCATAATTTGTGCAACATTAAATCTCTTCCTTCATGGGTTCCTTTACTATTTCCCACCGTATGTAACCGCAGATACTCACCACATAATAAATATGGTAGCGCTTTAGGCATGAGTTCTATCCTGCACAAACTCCAACAATACTACAAAAACTTTAAGCTTCTTTTGTCGTTTTTATTTTCTGGTGTGTTTTGCTAAGTCGGACCACACAAAGTGTTTCTGTCTTCCTTTAGTTTTGTGATACAGATATGTTGTCAGACCCTGTTGTGTTCACCAGATGATATTTTGGAAGAGGTACACCAGATATCCCGAGGACACTAGAAGATAGATTGGAGGGTTTGAAAGGAGACTTTTTCTTTATTAAAAGGAAATCCAGGCAAACATCTCTTAAACTTGACTGTTCTGTGTGCACATAAGCTCTCCACATATACCACACACGATTCCTTAATGTCATTGCGGTTATTGATTTTTCATTTTTCTCTTCCTAGGTTTCAGCATCAAAGCAGTGCCATTTCCAAATGCCATCTTGAATGTAAAAGAACTTGGAGGTAAGAAATCAGTGTCCTGTAAAGTGTTGAGCATAGATAATGACATCCTGTTTTAGCCCAAGAAATCCTCCATGTGGGCGAATCTTCATTAGGTGGAATAGAGGAGCCCCACAGTGTTACACTAAGGTGAAGTTTAATAGTTTTCTTTTGTGAGCAGTTTTCTATCCACCATAAAACAGTGAACTTTTTTATTAGATAAAACAGCAAGCAGCGTGCAGAGTCATCACTGTGTGTTTTTACAAGCTTATTTCCTTTTTAAAACATCAAATCTTTACACTGTCTTCTTTCCAAAGTCCTGGTGAAGAATGATCCTCTTCAAAAAACAACTGCTGTGCTGAAAATCCCAAATCTAAATAACAGGAATAAGTGTTTTTTCCCAGTCGAAACATGCTCTGCTCCTTCAGCTTTTACTACAGAAAACTCAGTCGGACGACACAATCTCATCTCATGTGCCTGAGATGCAGATGTTGGTCTTTACCTCCAGAAGTCGAGCACCTTTCAGTCACTGACTGTTATGTACAGACATCAGACCCACTCATGTGTTTTGAAGTACTCCTATCATCCCCACCTTGTTATTCCTGGAAATGCGCAGTACTCTAGGAAGTAGTTTACTAAGCACAGATGAGGGATCTGGAGGTGGAGACACGTAAACAGAACAAATGCCACGGGAGACTTCTAGTCCTTAAAGGGAGCCGTAAGAGAGGGATAAATCAGCGCTTTCCCCTCTCCCACACGCCACTTAGTCACACAAGGAAATTCATAGTTTTGTTGAGTTGTTAAGATAATTTATGTTGTTTTCTGCTCACCATAGGCACATGACAGGTGCAGTGCATGTTTTCTGAGGCTCAACCGACCTAGTCTCCTGAAAAGATGAAAAACATACACTCACAGCCACCAACACACAGACTTACACATACACACACACCACAAAGAGGCACAGAGGGACCACCAACGATGGTGCTACCAAATTTGGACAGAGCGCACCAGGGGCTTTTCAAAAGAGGTTTTTCTGGATTGGTTGAAAGCCAGTCTAGTGGGACATTATTGTGGCTGGAAAAACGATGGTCCCACGGATGACACTTTTGATTTAGATAAGTTAGTATAGGCTGCTACCACAGCAAAGGATGATGAAATCACTTCCCTTCCCGTCTTATTCCCCCTGCCGAGACCCTTCCACGACAGCTCCTTTTCTCGTAAATACACAGAGCGATTTATGGTGCCATCCATTCTGGATGAGTTGGAGATGGTAAAAACAAGCACGTGATGTTTTGACGCCTCTACGGACCAGTTCTTTCACGGCAGATTCAAATGTCGGTTTCTGACAGAGGAAAACTTTAGACTTGCTGCTCTTTTGTTTGGGTGAATGAAGGATAGTCTTTATGATCCAAACGCTTGTGACGTAAATATGGAGTCAGGAGAGTTGGTGCTCTTGCAAAACAGCCGTAATGAGCCTTTCAGATCACTCTGTGATCGGTACATCAGATCATTCTTAGTAACATACTCAACACTCCCAATTTCTGTCAGAATTCTTTCCTTTTCCCATAGCTGTGAAACAAGCAAACATGCCCCGTTTAGTTTTATGTTATTTTGTACTGCATCAATGATGCAGAAAGATGATACAATATGTGACGCACAGAAATCAGCACTCATGAGCCCAAAGGACTTGTGTTTGGGCAATACCTCTGCGGCTGACTCTCTTCACTCAACATTGACCAAAGCGAGGGCAGAGGCATGGAGTAATGAGGCTCCTCCTATGTATTTCCCTCCTCTCCCACTGGAAAGATCATTAGATATTAATTGTTTTTCTATTTTTCTCCCTTTATAAATGGGCAACAAAAGGTCTGCAGGTGTTAGAGAAAAACAAAGCAGGGTTAAAACGTGATCAGATTTTCACCTCATAATCACAAAGTCCAAATATTTCACAGTAATGATATTATTCCAATGTTTATAGAAAACTTAAAATGGAAAAAACACCATCGGTAAAATTAGAAAAAAGCCAAGACAAGACCAGACATAACTAAACATATTTTTTACTTTATCACCATCCATGTCTGATAAGGTTTCAAAACTCACCACCCTTCTCTGCCTCCTCTGTGATTTAGTGCGACACATTGTCCACTTCCCATCCTTACAAAATCGAAAACCCTCTCAAACTGGTAAGGAAAGGTGTTCCTCATAGAAGCCCAATCCTTACTCCTTTCAGCCACAGTTTTTTTTTTAACCTTGCTGTTGGCTTGGCAGGCTGAGCCTGGTTATTGCTCAACCCGCTTCATCTGGGAGACAAACATGGTTCAGGTTTAACAGGAGGAGGGCACATGGGAAACAAGCAAATGTTAAGGTCAACACCTTTGGCACACAGAAATCTCGCATAGAGCAAAGAGCAGAAAATGACCCTAACATGGCACTTGGAGCTGGTTTAGGAGCCAAGCCATTAAAATGTTGCAGACCATGAACCCCAGAAGGTGTGGTTGACTCACAACTGTGATTTGTATCGTTGCTGCTAAGCCTGATAATGCATTTTTAACTCTCCTTGCCTTGAGTGCACTGGGCCAGCTCGTCATAAGCACAAGCTGTCCTTTAAACCAAAGGCCCAAAGCAGCTTATGTGCGACTGTGAGGTATGGTGCCGGCAATGATTCAGACCGGGATATATATGTTTGTATGAATGCACTCATGCAATCATCACGGAGGTCCCTGTTGCCCTGTTTGACTTAATTCCCGTCTTTTCATCTCACATTCTGGTTTGCATTTTTTCTTGACTTCCCCGTCTGCCTCCCATCCTGTCTTCACTTTACTGTCGCTCATGATATTTGTTCCATCTTTGTCTCTTTTCGCTTCTTTTAATCTTCAATCTTGTCAAGTTCTCTTTGCGTAATGCTTGTCAAGCACTGCCTGGTCTTCATAAAGCTCACTGCCTGACAGTCATTATCAGGCTGGAGTTGTTGTTCCTGTCATTATATGCCCTACATGCTCGTAAATACATCAGAGTTGGACAGCTTTTTACAGGGTCCGGATTTCTCGAATACAAAATATATTTTCTGAATGGTTGTAACTGATAAAGGATGAAACACAGTGCCTTTATTATGGCTGTTTTTTAAAGATGAAACTTTATGTTTTGTTTCTCAATCTGGGTTTGTGTTCATGTATATCACAACAAATCCTGAAATGTTGTTGAAACAGCACTGTGGTAGGACAAAAAGTGCAAGAGAGTCCAATCAAAAATCAGGCTAATGTTTGAGCTGAAGTGAATCTTAGAGATGCACCGATCCATTTTTCTCCGATCCAATCCAATACTGATACCTGGGCCGAGCTTAGGTATTAAAGTTATATCCGATACAGATCCAATACTACTGTTGAATGAATGAACTGTATACCTTGCCATGTGAGTGAAGGCATCAGGCTTCACATTAGTCTTGTTAAAAAAAAAGGTCACAAATTAACACAGATATAAAATTACTTAATATTATTTATTAACAAATAACAAATTGCACATTAGCACACAGCAAAAAGAAGTAAGACTTCCATGTAAACATTTAGCGCAAAAGAATAGACAGCCATGGAAAATAGAGCGAACAGAATCGCTGTGTTGCTGTTTATGATATTAATTAAAAGGAAAAAAAAGAATGGATCGGAACACTGCATCAGCGTCATTCAACAGATTTCCTATCCAATAATTTGTCAATATCTGAGCTGATATCCGATCCAAATATCAGATCGGTGCATCCCTAGTGAATCCATCTTAAACAATACATTACCAGAGCTGAGTTGCAGACTAGCTGTGTAGATGAGACATCTGTTTGCTAAGGAGTCTTCCCAAAACAGGGAAAAAAATCATCAGGCTGTACTGTCATATGGCATAACTGTACTTCATGTCTAATAACCTTTGCTTAGTAAATGAGTTTAGTCAGACTGTGTGTGGTATTACAAAGAATGATTCTTATCAAACGTGATTACTCCCTTTTTGTTGTAAAGCTGCCAGCACAGAGAGATGGATGAGCTGTTCTGTAAAACAGTGGGCAGTAACACTGCAGCAGAACTAATCATCCACACCTCAAAACAAGGACTACTTGTACTTATCAGTATAAAGTGTGAGCGAGTCTTGGCCCCTATACAACATGGAGAATTTAGCACAAGGCGATCTATAATCTTCCAGGCGTTTGCTACGCAGCTGGTGCAGGTATAGGGATTAGGTGGGAAGGGCACCTCTGGGGACACAGGGAAGAATCTATTTAGTGTGGTTAGGAGTGTGTGAGTGCGTGTGTGTGTGTGTATATGTCTGGACAGTGACATGACGTCAAGTCTAGACAGGCCATTTCACAGTGTGAATTCATGCCACGCGATGACAGCTGATGAAGAGGTGGTCCTAATAATCCCCCGTCTATGCTGTTGTTGCTTCTGATTCTAAGTCGAGAGGTGGATATATTAACACCTGCAGCATTCTCCTTGAAGCTGTTGTCATCAGCCCTTTCTATATTCAAGTCCAATCGTAATCAGACTACTTCCATTAAACATGCGTGCTTCAGTGGGTCGGCTGAAGTGCTTTCATTTGCAGATCAGATTGGGTGTCTGCACATAAGACTATTAATGAGTACTACATGTCCCCGCTATGTGTGTAGAATTCCTACAGAGTAAGTATGCGAAGACATCACAGCACATAAACCAGTGTCTCCACCGAGCAGCAGCCAATGGCAGTCTGTGAGCACATTGAAGAACAAAACCACTCCATGTTAGTCATCACAAACCAAACGTGGTTCTTGTTACTATCAAACAGGACCACAGTGTGCGTGAGTTTGCCCTGCAGGGAAGCCTTTCGTTTGCGTTTGGAAAAGAGCGGACCAGAATCTGAAATAATTTGTATATTGTCTTTGGGGTTTCAAGCAGATGTGCAAGTGACAGACTGTTCTGATTTTGGAGCTTTGAGGACAGCCATGGAACCAATATCTATTTCAGGGCCTGATTGAAGGATATTACCCGATTTGTTGTCAGATCACTGAACCAGCAGTCACCTGATTTTATCTGCAGGAGTTAGGAGAAAGGAGGGATTTTAAATAAGGGTTGAAAATGGTTGCACTTATTCAGAGATAGAGATCCAGAGTGTCTGAGAGCCTGAATAAGCTCCATTACTCACACACACAAAAGATAACTCCTATGATCGTGAATAATCGGAAATGCTACATCTCTGTAAACCAGATGGAAGAAAATCATAAGCAGACTGATCAGACATTACCAACAGGTTTGTTAATTATGTGCATAAATGAGAGGGCTTGACATGGGTTGCAGGCCAGGCCTCACACAGAAACTGTTTACTGAAAAACAGACAGTGCTGACACTGCAGGCTGATGGGTGTATCAACAGCTGAAGTGTTTTCTACCTCTCTCCAGCTCTAGTCTGGGCTCATTCCTCAATGAAGTAAGCAAACTTTATTATGAGAGGCCCAGCACTCCCTCCCATCACTGTATTGTAGCTGTTTTGTTCCGAGAACTGTCTGTTTTTCGTTAGGTACACTTCAAAGAGGGCTGCTTTCAGTGTTTCAACTTTAAAGAGTGAAAAAAGACCTGATTAGCAACACATTTGTGTTTTGTAGAAGATAAAAGCTGGCAAAAAGCGTGGACGATTGGAGGCAGAGATCTCTGAGGAAGTATTGTTGGAGTTGCCTGTGAATCTGTAACCTTACCTGCATCTCTGACCAACAACAAACACAACAAGCCTCAACAGTAGCCTAACTTGAAACAATATATGGTAGTAGGTTTTTTCTACAATGACTCATTCCTGAAATGTGGAACATCACAAGCTGTTTGAATCCCTGAATGAATTCACAAACACCAGCCTGTAAACACAGCTGAGAGACAAATTGAATTAAAAGTGAGCACAATCTGCTTTTCATTTTTACTCTCTAATTGTTTGCTTGTGTTTTACTGGCATTTGCGTCCCAAGATTGATTTATGAAGTCAGAGTCACACTTCGCTAAAGAAGTAATATGATCGCTCAAACGCAGATCGCAGCTGTATTTGTGTAACGAGTAAATCTGTGCTCTCGCCGTTCTCTCCTCGTCTCCTGCGCTCTCAGCAGCATCACCTCACAGAGAATTGATTTGTGCTGTCCACTTTTTTCATAACATACTTTACTTCTTGTCCTCGAACTATAACCTCTTCATCACTCAACTAAATGGAACTCTGCCTAACTAAAGCTAATCAAAACCACAGCCAGCATCCCACCCAGCTCCTGGGCTGACTCTTCTCCCATTAGCCTTCCTGTCAAGACGCATTTTTGCACAGAGTGTCATTGTTTGGTCTTTGCTAGGTGAACACATTATGTCTTCTGGTAAATAAGATGCAGAATACACAATTGTGTTTATTTCGAAGTTTGAATATTCAAGCGTTTTATTGAGACAGTCTGCTCTTTATTCTTCTGATGATACAACAGAGAGCAATGTAGCGGTATACGTGTGGGAAAAGTTACATACATAGCTAATGAGTGGTAGCTCTGGTATGCTTTTCACCTAACAGTTGCCTGCAGCACTCAGCTGTGCATACACTGAATCACCACATGTCTGTGAAGCATAGCACATTCATGAAGATTCATGTCTCTCATCCCCAAATCATGTAAACATGTTCATCATTCATAGATCCTGTACATGCAGGACTTCGCGTCGCAGCCGCTCTCCCTTTTCCACGAAGGGAGAAAAAAAGGTAGCATGTTTGAGTGAGGGGGAGAAGGATGGGTGGGCTGGGTGAGTGTTTTCCTCGGATCAGATTTCCATCCGTTTGACATCACAGACCTACATCACATATTTGTTTTGTCTGCAGTGTCAGAGGGTCTGAAATGTTGAAATATCAGCTTTGATCCAACACCTTTAAAAGTATAAAATATGATCTGTTTGTATGAAAACAAAATAGGTAGATGTAAAAACTGTCTGGTACAGGAGAGAAAGTTAGTTCACTTAAAATTCTAAAATAAAAAAAACTATCAATCCTGGAAAAGCTTGTCTACATATTTCTGCCATCAATCTTTACATTGTCTGCTCATGTTGTTAATCTATGTGCTTAAATAAAACAAAAAAAAAACCAGCAGGATCTGTGAAGCCAAGGACACAGGAAAAATCAACTCTAAAAAAATGCAACTCATGTTTGAAGTTAGAGTAAAGTAAAGAAACAATGAAACCACTGAAAGAATTAAAGCAGAGTATCCAGATCTGGAGCCCTCATGTTGTTTCTCAGACTCCGATCATGTTCCATTCAATACATTGATTTTACAAAAAAAAAACATCCATTATTAAGTTAACACAGTCAGAACTCAAACTGTGAAAAAGTTAGGCAAAAAAAAAAGTCTTCTACATGATGAGTCAGCGCTGTACAGGGTCAGGAAGAAACACACACTTGAAAGGCATGCGATGTGCATCAGTCCTGCGGCTCTGTTCATCTTCGTGCGCTTTTGCATGAGTAGAATCCAAAAGTGCAAAACATCTTGTCTGTAATTACAAGCTGGATTTGCACCAAAGTGGGAGGAAAAGTTGAAAGTAAAGAAGAAAAAACAGGATGTGAAAGACCTCACTGGTGGTGTGCTTTGATTTCTTACATATAGCAGAGCTGACAGCATCCCCGAGACTCATGATGTCATTTCTGTAAGTCCTCCTGTTACACCAATAGGTGGCAGGAGTTGCCAACGAGACCCAATGAAACGTGACGGACATTCCACCATTTCCAGGCAAAGATGAGAGAAACTTCCTCGTCAATCTCTCAAGTGCCACTTTGTCTGATAGCTTTCCACTCCACTGAGAGGTGTGAGAAGAGAGGGGTAGGGGACAAGGAAGGGAGGGGAGAGCGTGAAGGAAAGGAGGTAAATGTCAGTGAGAGCGCTTTGGGATGTTTGAACATTGTCCAGCCTTGTAGTTTGTTTCTGCATGGCATTAATCTCACTGTAAACAACAATATCAACAATTCACAAGATTGTGATGGAAACTGCAGCAGATGGAGGAGGATGGATTCAACCAAAGAATAAGACCTACAATTTAAAACAGAGCCGTTTTTTTCACCTCAGAAAACAAAAATCTATTCTCAACAGAAAAGTGATGCATGAATAGAAATATGATGGCAACTGAACGTAAATGCTTTTTAAAAATCATTGAATAATTAAATTAAAGAAAAGGTCTTTTCTGTTTATAATGCCACACAGTGAAAAAGAAAAAAACTTTTTTAAGTCAATTTCTTTTTCTTCGTCATACTGCCTTTATATTGAGGCTCAGCCTTGACTCTACCTCACCCTCTGTTGGCTTGGAATGTTAAGTTTCTCAGTGAAGAGTGTTAACAGCCTTAGTCAACTTTTCTTTCATCACTTACAACTAACTCCAGCTTTTACAAGTGAGATGCATGAGTAACACAAAGTACAAAACAAGCGTTTCATGTTTTAATAAAAGCATATTTTCTCCGTTGCTTAATCGGACAGCTGAAGAGAGAGAGGACATGTTGAGGGTAGAGACTGGGAGAAGACCTGAACCAGTGACCACAGCCCTTCTACACATACTTCAACCTCTAGGCCAGCTGGCACCCCTGTGCGCTGTTGTTTTGACTGAGTTTTCCCACTGCAAGAGAAGCAAAAGCAGGAGTTTTAATTGAGCATTTCTTTCTGACTTAAAAATAGTTTGTTTTTTTTCTTACCTGACTGAATAGTGAGAATACTGAGAATTAGCCAGAGCAGAAACCAAGCTTTCTCTTTATAAGATAAATACGAGTTAAGGTTTAGATGAGCTTTTAAGAGGTGAAGCCTTTCCATAACTATGATATAATCTTTGAGTAAACATGGGATATGATCTCTACTGTCACTCCAGTCTATACCAAGTTAAAGGTTCCTGACAGGATTGTGACATAGAGGGAAAATTGAACTAATACTGCTCTGAAATTGAATTGTTAGAAAAAGTCCCAGACCATGACTTAACCCCGGCTAAGCTCTGGTAAGCACATGACAATGTTATTCTTCTGGTGAGATATTGATAAGCTTACAGGGTGGTCAAGGACGTGGGTGAGTTTAGAGTCGATCTAATCCTATAAAGCAGATACATACCCTCAGTTTAAGCAAGTTAAACAGGGGTGATAAAACAGGATGGTTGTTTCATTTTTCAATGACATGAATCCTGCTCAAAAACATCTCTCCTTCATTTGTGAGGTAAGAGGAGTTGGTAGGAAAAGAGACAGGTCTGACTCATGTTGTGAATATGTAAGTCTCTTCTTCATATTACTCACTTCAACTACTAAAGTTTCTTGAACTTAACCACTGTGGGCAGACTTTTGTGGTCGACATCGACAAACAGAAAGGAACCATGTGTTTTTCACTGTGAACTCGATGTCAGCGTGGCCTTGAAAATCAGCCCAGACTGTGTTGAAATGATGAAGTGAGTGTGTGTGAATGGGGCTCACTCCTTTGTTTTTGCATTTAGTCGAAAAAAATCTCAATGTGTTTTTTCTTGGTTACAAAGAATCTGCTGTACATTAATCTGCTGCAGCTAATAAAAACGGAGTGGATGGATTAGATGGATGTTAAGCAAGGAAAAATGATGAATCATGAATGATCATTTATTGTGTAGTGCTAGTTTTCATTTTTTGACACATGCTCTGTCATCTGGCCACAGGAGCAGACAACATCAAGAAATACTGGAGTCGTTACTACCAGGGCTCACAGGGTGTAGTCTTCGTATTGGACAGTGCCTCGTCGGATGAGGACCTCGAGGCAGCGCGCAACGAGCTCCACTCGGCCCTGCAGCACCCACAGCTTTGCACACTGCCTTTCCTCATCCTTGCTAACCACCAGGACAAGCCTGCTGCAAGGACGCCAAACCAGGTAATTTGACCTGCTCAGTCTGATATTTGTAAATCACACACATTTGAAAATAAACTTACATATAAATCATGAATATATCCACAGATGAATACCCTTTAGACATACATATACACAATTTAGGACTACTACTGAATAACAAGCCAGCGGCTGAAGACAGTGGGTGCATGAGAAAACACAAGTGGCAAACATGCACCTTTGTTGTTATCTCTAGGTTCATGATAGGGAGTTTTATGACTGGGAGGACTGGCAGTTTGAGGAACAACTGTTCCCTTAATTTCAAACGGCAATTAGCTTGAAAAGAGGAGAATGAAAGGATAGAGTTCGACGGAAGAACCTTAAGTTATCGGTGAAGCTGATTAATCAAGCTGAGAGAGGATTCCAGGTCCTCGTCTCGATCTAAATGTCCATCCTCAGACAGAGATGTCCCCTTCTCCTGTCTTTCTGGATCTGTATTTATGGATTTAGTTATTTCTTACTTGCCATCAGCTTTTGCTGTTCTGCTCCACTTCTTGTATTGAATGCATCAGCAATGTTAGCTTGCAAACCTCAAATTATCTCCCGACATGGTCAGTCTTTGATGCATGCATATTAGTTCCAGTAATATTCTCTGTTATTCCTCAATTATAAGGGGAGTAGTATGAACATGATTATTTCAGATTAATATCTGACATGACGATCAGCTGTAATCAGTAATCATTTTCTTTAAGGTGTAATGGTTTTCTTCTGTCCGTTCTCTTTTTGTGGAGCATTCATCTGTTTCACAGGTCAGGGAACATGAGAGGCATGTGCTTCCAAGATGCTTGCTTTTTATCTTTGCAAGTAAATGGACCATGAAAGAGCTTTCTGGCCCTGGAACACAGATCCTCTAAATCTTCATGTTTGCCTGTGTTTTCTCTCTTTTTGTAGTAAAAGATTTGATTGTTTGGAGTTCAGCAGACATTCGATCTTTAAACTGAAGATCAGATTTATTACCACTGAACTCTTGATTTTTAGTCAATTTCGGTGATTCAGACTGGAAGACTTATTTCAGGTTATAACTTCTGTGGAGTCCATATCCATATTTGAAACCTGTTCATGTTAAAGGTTTATTTAAAAAAGGGCTCTGATATCAGTCTGCAATCCGGCCTCATTTGAGTTTGTCTGACTGCAGACTTCATAATGGTCCAGGCAGATCTTGCACCTCTAACCCTCCCTGCTTTTTGGATCAATGTACTCCTGACTGAGTGTCTTTCCATCAGCTCCCAGCACAGAACCTCCTGAGAACACTCTTTTGTTGAGGTGATTTTTTTTTACTATTCAGAAGATAGTAGAAATGTCATGTAGAAGCCAAAATGGTAGGTCATGTCACCACCTTCCCTCAGGACAGAATTAATCACTGCTGGAGGAGTCAGCACAACTTTGGGAGTATGTCCTCTCTCTCTCTCTCTCTGTCTTTCTTCTTGCTCCACTCTACCTTCTCAGCAGAAGTCTCTTGGTGTGGGAGCTATATGTAATGCTCGCAGCGCTCCCTGTGCACTGCTCACTCATGTTTTACAGTCCTGGAACCTCACTTTGCGGCACGCTCTCAAAGCACTCGTACACAAACCTTTGCTGTGGCCGATTTAATGACTAAAGGATAACAAAGATGGATGCCTGGAGAGAGAGGACCATCTGCATTTTGGAGCATGGACCACCAGTGTTGCTCCTTGTCATTGATGTTACATCTGTAGTGGGAAATGATTGAGAGAAAAGCTCTATACCAGATTCTGCCGTGACCCCGACTGAATGAATCTAAGAGAGAGAGAGAAAAAAAAAACAGAACTTCAATCAATTTAACGTAGTTTAAGTAATTAGAGTGGACTGGTTGCACTTGAGCACCAGCCACTACAGTCACGTTAACCCACTAATCTTATTGATATTTTAAATGGCCACTGCTCACCATGAGCCCGACAACACTGGTCTCTTTGTTGGCCCTCATAACGTAGCCAATTAATCCAGTCTGTGAGCACCATTTGCCCGCAGGTCGTAGCGTGATGTGTCCTCTGCCATATTTGACCCATCATTGCATCAGTCTCAGGTTGTATTGACTCTCCTGAACTGTTTGCAAACACTGGTGACACGTGAGACTGGCTTATGGGGACGGGGACATGAGAGGGATGTCCCCTGAAGGCCTTTTCATGTGTCGGGCCGTTACAGTTCATCATGAATGACTTACATAGACTGAGAGGAAGCTCATGTTAGCACTGGTGCAGCTCAGTTGTACTTGCTTTTATTTCTCATCAGTTCGTTCTTCATGCATCTAAACTAACATACAGTGCCCAGCATAAGTCAGTACACCCCCTATTCAAAGTAATGAATTACTCAATATCTAGATGAGCAAAAGTACAAAGTTTTGACCAACATAAAAATGTATTTACATAAGATAAAAATAAGGGTGGTCTGGTATTTAAAATGTAGCTTTGCTCACAGAACTTTAATTGGGGTGTACTCATTTTTGCATCCTGATTTAAAATTGAAAAAACTACTTTTTTGTCTGCAACTTAAAAAATCTTGTTTGCAATCAATGGCCTACATTTGGAGGAGTTTTTCGTTGTATAGTCAGACATAGAATATGTTGATTCTTCTGACAACTCTGAAGGGGTGTACTCATTTATGCTGAGCACTATTTATTTGAACAAACATTACATGCAGATTAGTGACATTTTAAAGCGATCGTTTTTATATCCTCCCTTTTCAGATGTCCTTTTTTATTTTCTATTCTTGATTTACAGCTTAAAAATATTGTGCATAGGTGGTAGCTTTTCCTAATTCCGTGAAGTTCAACAATCCTTCTAATAATAACCCCTGATAGGACATTATCTGCTCCTCCACCCGCAGCACTGCACACGGCTCAAAAGAGAGCCCTTATTTGGTTTGGCTTCAAGTGTGGTTTTATTCTTCGGAAGGCATTTGTGTATCAAAAATGATATTGTTGTGACAGTGAGTGCATATTATCGTCTGACTCATTGCTGTGTCACTAAGGGAGCTTAGTGTTCAGTGACCCATGAGTAATCACAAGGATGAAGCAGAATTTCAGGCTGACATAAAATTAGTCATCTGCTCCACCTCTTTTCTTACATCTTGTCTTTCTGCCTCGAAATCGTTTGTTAAGCTTTTTTGGCGAAAGCAATCAGCCTTACTTGACGCAGCAAGCTCCGGGTTATATCATTTTTCACACCTTTAAAAATAAAACTAGAAGTCTTTGGAAAGGGTAAGTCGTCTCAGTCATGGGGAAGTGCAAAGGGGCAAACCCTCCATACGCTAACCAAACATTTGTTCAGCATCCACAGGGGTCTCTTCCTGGTGTTTATTTTCAGATCTCCCCAGGTTCCCATGCTTTCCCTTTCACTTCAGTGTGGAGCAGCTCTCTCCTCTGTAGCGAGACAGCTTGGGAATATAAGGACCAAAATAGGCCATGTGTTCAGTAAGACAACATTTTGAAGCAGCGTGCTGACAAAAATGAAAACCAGGTACTGATCTTTCAAATTCACATAAATAACTGATTGGTACTCACTGTGAGTGTAGTGTATAGAGGCTCACAGGATGGCTCTGTTTAGCCTTATGTAGTATCCAGAGCACTGTGTGAGGATGACAAATCTAAACAGTTGTGCCAGTTGCTGAAAGCACTCAGTGACCTTTTATGAGAGAAAGTTTTTTGAGAGAGAGAGAGAGAGAGAGAGAGACAGAGAGAGCGAGCGAGAGAGAGAGAGAGAGAGACAGCGAGAGAGAGAGAGAGAGAGAGAGAGATGTGCCTACTGTTAGCAGACAACCCAAACCTATAACCCCAAAAAAAACACATCCATGCTGTTTATGCCCTGCTGGTAACGTCCATCATTCATTGGACGTATAACTTGTGAATGGTTTTGTCTTTGGGAAGTTTGGGAACATTTATGCGCTTACATTACTTATTGATAAAGGTTGTCAGAAGGTTCTGCTCTGGAGAGCGGTTGCTTAATATTAAATGAAAGTTACACTAAAAGTAGCGAGGTAGACGTCAGGAAACAGGTGACAAACCACTCTGAGCACTGGTCTGGCTGGTCCAGTGTAAGTGCAGTGTGTCTCCTCAGCTCAGGATAAAAGCACAATTAAAGATATGCCACTTCCTCTTCCAAGGATTTTACCACCCCGAGCAGCAGCCGCTGAGGCCTCAGGGTGAACCCTGCTTGTGTTCCATGTCTGAAACAACTCCCATACGGTCTCACTTTTATTTGAGTTAATGTGAATGTGTGTGATGTGAATTATCTTTCTATTAAGATTTAAACTATAGGGATGTGTTGTGTCTGGAAATATGTGTGAGAGAAGGAGATTGTTCGTGCTTTACGAGTTGATTTGTCAAAACACATAACAGGGCTATACCAGGTTTGGGTATTGGATATAGGATAAAGAGATAATAACATTTTATAGCCATATAAACATTCATTTGATACACTGAACTGCCATATTCAGCATGAAAAAGAGGCTCCATCAGCCACACAGCTTCTTCTTTCATAGCAGGATTCAATCTCGCATTCACATGCACCCAGCAAAGGTCTCCTACAGGCACCATATATATACCCAGTTTCTTATATATCTGTACATTATTTATCAGAACTTCCAAAAGCCTTTTCGAAAGTAAACATGTCCCACTAAGGGTCAGTGCACATTGCTTTGAAATCTTTCAGGCCAGTGGAGCGACTTGAGTGTAGCTCTTGCTGCAGACACTTTAAGGTCATTTCCAGGTTAGTAGAGTAACACTGTGGAAATACTGTCGATTTTAGGTTAGTCTCAACTGTAACATGTTTAATCAAAGATATATGGAGGGGAAAAGTTGCCCAATTCTATATTTTCTGCAGTCATGTTAAAGCAAGAGATGATTATAGTACATGTGTGTAAAACCTGATTGTTTTAATGACGATTTACATCAGAAACGTGTCTGATAATGTCTGTAATCTGTACTGTAATCCATAACCCTTTGAGTATAACCTTTTCAACCGACTTCACAACCTTTGATCCACTAAAACAATTTCCTCAGCATGGTTACGTCCTCAGTAATCCCTTTGAAACGTAGAAGTGATTTAAGCATGTCCAAATGTTTATCAGACAGGTCACTCTGCATTAAAACAAGAAGTCATGCGTTTGCTTTGTATATACCACATGTGATATATGGATATAATACGGAATATCTTAGCCATCGTGGCCCTCCCTCACTTTAAAGTGTTTCATAAGAGACTGGTTGGATTCTGGGAGTGTTTCCAGAAGCAAATCTGAACATATTTAGAGTTCATTTAGGCGTGAGTTTATTCAGTATTCTCCGATTTAGTGTCTGTGTACCCATCAAATCTAAAACAAGATAATATATCGAGCTAACTCAACAACGTGGACTAGGATAATGGCCGTGATAATAGCAGTTAATGTGACTCTAAACAGGGATTTTCTGAAGCATAACATTTTCATTTGAACTCTGTGCTTGATGGTTTGTTTTGAAAGTTCTGACATTTCGGAAATCCTAATCCTCAGTCTGCGTGCTTTGAAGCTTTCCTCTGTAAATTGTGTTAAATTGCCCAGATGGAATTGAAAAGGATTGTATGTAAATATGATAGCACACACTCCCTTGGACGGTCATTACATGGTGTATAATGTTACAGCTGTGGATGTCAGCCTGTAGAAAGCTGTGCAGTGAGTCAGTCAGTCACTGAGGGTCTGTACGTGATCGAGATTACAGAATTAAATTAGGCCCACAGATGGAGGTTGATGCACATGTCCTGCAGCAGACCCCTGAATCCTGCGGCTGATTTTTATCTGAACCCACAATCCTCCACAGACAGCAGCTGCATAACAAGTTCTCACTTCATGAGAAGTTTCGACAGACACCTCCCTTTAAAACTCCCAGCTAGTTAGTCTGATTTCGACGGCAGCTCTACTTCCAGCGACATTATATCCAGATGACATTTTGAGGTTGACCCGCGTCTCACCACAACCACTCTGTTGACAAACAAGGTGGCCCATTTCCTTACACACACACAGACACACACACTTGCATTTGCTGGTGCTGTTTCCAGGGGCACTCCTTGTTTACAGTGTCATGTTAGTGACTGAGGGTGTTGCTAACACTACTAAGGGGTGAGAGAAGGTGGCAGTGGGCTAACACAGCTGACTGGGCCTGTTAAGGCCGCACTGAGGCCCTCTGTGCTGGTGCAAGTGTTTTTCAGGAGCAGGGTGGGTCTGGAGAAGGTCGAAGGAAATGTGGGACAAAATTCCTTGTTGACATCAATCTCCTGCTGTTGGGGGGCCCAAGGAAGCTGGGGAGGAGTGGAGGGGAGGTCGCCCTGTTGATATAACACCTCAACAAAGCAGGTCTGTTTGGATGGATGGGCCTAATGGACTGTGCTACAATGGTGTTAGTGGGCAGGGCCTTTCTGGGGGTTCTATTGGCACTTGTGTGTTATCTGTGGGAGCGAGAGTTCAGAGTGAAGCAGATGAGACAAAGTAAGAAGAGTGCAAAAAAAAAAAAGAAGGGAGAATAAAACTGTCTCATGTGAAAACAGGGGGATGTTACTGAAAAAAAGATGAAAAAAAAAATACTGTGAACTGAAGACAAAGAGAGGAGCACTGCAATATCCAACCTTAAGAACTGTGACGATGACTCTCCAGAAACTAAAGCATTCAAACAATCAAACATTTAAATCGACTTAACGGGAAAAACACCTCTGCATACTCCACCACTCTCCTCATCCTCTTATACACACACAGACACACACACACACATAGTCCTCTTTCGGACATCCCCTCTCATGCTGTAGTCCACTGTGAGGAAAACAGAGCCTGGACTGAATTGGAGCACATCTGTTTTTAGTGTACCAAAGCTAAATCTGATGTTGCTTATGCAGTGTGACAAAATTACACTGCACAGTCAAGCAGCCATTCAAATGCGTCATATTCATTATGTGTGGCACACCAGTAAAAACCATAATATAAATTATAACATCTTGGTGTTTATCGTTTTTATCGCTAATCCAGCTCTCTCAATTTTCTGAAAAATAGAGGAGAACCACACCGAAGCAGACTGGAGGCTGTGACAGATTTTCACCTCCTCACCAAACTGTCTGTTTTTGTCAAAACAAGGAAAAATGATGATTAATGACAAACAGGTACACTGACGCTGACATTCCTCCATGTCTTCTACATCAGCTGATCCTAAAGGGGACATTTCTCATAGTTGTAGTTTACTGCTAATGAAAACACAAAACAGACCAAGAGCACCTTCACATTTACAACCAAGACCTGCAGAAAAGACAGCAGATTAGGAGAACGGCTTTGAAGAGGTCCATTTGTACCCTCTTTTTCACCATCTGTTCAGAGCTCCAGTTTTATACGGAGTAATCTGATTGTTTTTTTTTTGTTTCTTATAGAAAGTACCATGTCTTGGATACTTAATGGTGTAATTTTAGAGATAACTGGAAGCATACTTGCAGGTGACAGCTGATAAATGGGAACAGAGTGGAAGTCCATGCTATACTTCTATCACCCCCAGTGTACGCCTCTGATTTTCACCTCAATGTGACTCATTTAGATTCAACGTTGTAACACTTACATACTGTGTGTGTGTGTGTGTGTGTGTGTGTGTGTGTGTGTGTGTGTCAGAGAGACTCACTTACACATAGAAAAACACTGAGTGATAGACAGTGAGGGAAAGCATTACACATACACTGAAATGCCATCTGATGAGTGGTGAAGTAAAGACTTTGCATCTGCACTGCATCAGTGAAGTCACTGTTGGCCAGTTGCCTCAGATTTAACCCTTCATTCACACCTCCTCATCCATCTTTTGTACTGATTCCTCATCAGTGTGCATGTTTTTGATTGTCGCTGCCCTTTTTAACCCCGCCCTTAACATTCTTCTTGACTTTTGTTGGCTTCAATCAAAGATTGTGCATTTTCAGAATACAATTAATTCAAATCATGAAGCCCCAGAGACCTTTTTTCTTACCCAGACTCCTCTTGCTGTGTTAGTCTGCCCTTTTTCTCTTTTTATTGTGTGGTTCCATTTATCTACCTCACATATCACACCACTTCTTAGGTGTTGAGGCTGTGCCACCTGGTGCATTAATTATGGAGTGCATTTCAATGAAAAGAAAGGAGTTTTTAATCTCTTGTTACATGATGTGAGAAAACAGTTAAGAGACATTAGGTGCCACAAGTTCTTGGGGATGTCATCAGCTTGCTGAGAGGAAAGCTGTGCCTCAATATCACCTCAGTGTGACTCCGCCCCCTCACCTTCTTTAGGCTTCAGTTGAATTCAGAGCTCAGCTTGAGCTCAATCAGAGCTCTGTGTGAAAAGGTAATAATCTGACTATTACTGGAAATCAGAATTCAGGACACTCCTCCAAAGTGGAACATTCTTCCAAGTACTCTGTGTACTTGACCCTCGTCTGGTCCATTTTGTCTTAAAGAAAGGACAGAATGGGGTCAGTCTGCATCCTATCCCAGTGACACCTGAAGTCGGTTGCTTCCTTTCAGTGTCTTCCAGTCTCCTCACTAGTCTGTCCAGGCTTCCCATGTCTGAATCTTAACTAAAGTAATTAAAAGTACAAGAAAAAAGAGACGAGGGGATTAGATAAGTCTCTCATACCACCTCTAAGCCAAATGAGAAAAAAAAGAAAAGAAGTTTTGTTTTTTTCCACTTCTTTCAAGACCCTTAAATGTCAGCTGCTAAAGATTGTTGCATAATAGATTTTCAGAACCGTACATTGATGATTTTTTTTTATTTTTAATTTAAAAAAAGAAGGCTCTTTGGCAGAAGCAATCATCTGATCATTTTCACTGAAAAGCCCTCTGCCCCTCTCTGTGCTGCTTCTGCTCTGCCCCAGCACCAATGATGCACCAAACACCCAAGCCAACTTTTGTCATGCAAACTGTCCATCCCACTCAGCTAGTTTTGTCAGACTGAAAGAAGGGAGACACTTATTGCTGATCAATATACTTCCCAAAAATCTGGAGATTAGTAAATGGTGTGAACCCACAGCTGTTGTGCTCTCAGCATACTTAGGCAAGGAGCGAAAGCAAGAAACAGCTGTCAAAAAGCCACAATGAAGTCTGATGATGCACTTTTGTACGTAGTGGCTGTGATTGGCTGTGAAATACAAGGGGCGGGTGTTCATGGACACAGATCTGAAATGAATTATTTAAAGGAACATTTCAGTTTGACAGTGGAAGCAACCTGAAATGAGTGCATCAATACATGTTATGTTTACTGTCACTAATACTTTAAATTTACTTGCTTTTGAATCCATTAAAAAAGCAGACAGAATACAGAATTTCCTGTTTGTTAGCAGTCCATCTAGCTTCTTTATTAATTATAATCCAATTCTTGCTGAAGCTTTAATTTCAAAATAAGAACCATTCAAAGAGAAAAGGTTCCTCTGGTACCCCAAAAAAGGCAGTCAAAGGTAGTGATGCACGATATGAAAAATTTCAACCGATACCGATAACCGATAATTTTCTTCTTCTCATGGCCGATACCGATACCGATAACCGATAAATTCATATTTTTACGTTTATTATAATCTTCATATAATCTGCAGTTTGTGCAGGATGCAGCGATTGAAAACTGATATTTTTGTTGCTCTGGCCTATCTAGAACAACAAACAAAAGTTTTTGGCTCTTCAAATGTGGTCATTTGCTATAAATAACAATAACAGAACAAAAAGCAGAACTTCATTTGATCCCCTGAACTGTTCAACAGAACTGTAAACTGTAAAGGAGCTATTATGAGATGTTAGGCTTAGCATGCTGACCGGACTAACATCTGACGTCCATATGTCTGTGGTAAAACTCACGTGTAGTCCGTTCTTGTCGATCAGGTTGTGAATGTATGTGGCGACAATATCATAGAGTGCAGGAAGGGACACATCCGAGAAGTAGCGGCGGCTTGGGAGAGTGTAACGTGGCTCCAAGTGTGCTAATAACTTACGAAAACCCGGGTTCTCAACGACGGAAAAAGGCTGGTCGTCGACCGCTATGAACTCCATCACTTTGTCGTTAATGGCTTTAGCCTTTTCGCTGTCTCTTGAGAAGCTTTTGCAGTTTTTAAACGCCTGCTGAATGGGGACATCAATCCTCCGTAGTGTTGTTGTCTTAGCTTTAGTACTGCTAGCAGCTTCGGCGGCTGTCTCATATTCTTTTACTACCGCTTCGCCGCGATGGCGACTTTTCAGATGAGCTATCAGACTCGTTGTGTTAAAACTTGACGTCTTCTTTCCTCCTCTCGGAATCCTCGCTGAACAGGTTTTGCATATAGCAATGCTGTTGTCATCTTCTGCCACTGAGAGAAAAGACCATGCTGGTGAAGACATTTTATTATCTGTCAGGTAGTGACGGGGTCAGGCTTGGGACCTGCGAGTAAGGCGCGATAGATGACTTAACCAGCGCGTCTCGGACGGGCGGCTACTCCGCCTGCAAACGTTAGTCGTAATTTCATTAATATATCGGATCTTTCTATCGGAAAAATGCACCTATCGGACCGATAAAAAATGACGTAATTTCTCCCCAAATCGGCCGATATTTTATCGGTCCGATAAATATCGTGCATCCCTAGTCAAAGGTTCTTCCAGAGACCTTTAAGGAACCAAGGCTCCTTAGATATCTGGGGAGTACTTTGAGGCTCCTCTTATTCCAGGAGTTTCCTTACTTTGACTGTAACTGTTTCTCAGTCTGGAGAACTTTCTGACAGATATGTATAGCCCCTGTGACTAATGATACAGCGCTGTACTCTGTGTCCATACATTATACATAGCTTTATTAAAAAGATGCAGCCCAGGGGCAATTATTTTATCATCTGTCAAGCTTTGTGTCATTTCTTTCTTTTCATCTGTTTCCATGTCCTCCTCTCTCATTCCTCCAAATCAAAGTTAAGTATATTTTACTTCTAAAAATGTTGAACCCTATCCAGCATGTGAAAATGCTATAATTCACTGGAAGGCATGTTTTCTGGGGAGAACAGTCTCACTAACCCCACAGCTGACAGGATTTCTCCACAGCCTGCTCTGTTCTCCTGTGGTCCACAGGAATGTGGCTACACAGTGATGGAAAACCCTCGACCACCAAATAGTTTTTCATATGTAATAGGTCTCATTTGACCAGGGCTTTTGTACTACCTCCGGATGCACACAATACAAGTCAGAGAGCATTTGTACTGAAATAGATCTCTGCATGATAAGTGTGATTGCATGGTGTTTACAAAGTTTTATTCGTAATGAATCCAGTAATCACTGGATTGTAAGGCTGTAATCAACCAAAGAAATTCTTGGTCAACTACAACCCTGAAATATTCGACCAAAAATCGACTAATGTGGGGGAGGGGGTTCCCGACTCTGACGGCAGACCCTTTGGCTTGACGGGGTGAATATATACTGATATCAGCACAAGAAGACATTAAACACAATTATTATATTTAGCAAACCACCGGATGTTGATTAAGGTGGATGCTCTACAATCTTCCTGTCTCCAGCCGGGCTCCAGTGGGTTGGGCAAATCCAAATTGGTTAAGACAAGGAGAATGTTCTGAGACAGGCTGTTACCCGTGAAACAGGGTTGCGCTAGAAACACCCCCAGTAACACTTGGTAAGTTCCTTCTAATGAAATTAACCATAGAATGTAAATTGACGGGTAAAAAAATCGAGTCGACCAATGAGAATTTGGGTCGACTCAGCATGTATCGACCAATAGATTGTTGCATAATAGATTTCCAGACGATAAATTGATGATTTTTTTGTGATTTAACAAAATAAGGCTCTTAAGCAGAAACAAGCATCAGATCATTTTCACTGACAAGCCCTCTGCCCCTCTCTGTACTGCTTCTGCTCTGCCCCATCACCAATGATGCACCAAACACCCAAGCCAACCTTTGTCTTGCAAACCACTCAGCTAGTTTTGTCAGACTAAAAGGAGAGAGACGCTGATAGCTGATGAATATACTTTCCAAAAATCTGGAAATTAATAAATGTTCTGTCTGATGAAATAAACCATAGACTATAAATTGACGTGGAAAAAAATTGAGTCAACCAATGAGAATTTTGGTCTACTCAGCACATATCAACCAGTAGATTGTTGCATAATAGATTTCCAGAATGATAAATTGTCAATACGTCAATCAATACGTCAATACGTATCGACTTATTGGTTGATACGTATTGACCAATAAGTCGATAAGTTGACCAGTCGACTAGGACTTAAAATCCAGTAATCACTGGGTTGTCATTTTAACATGGCTATTTTTATTTCTGCTTTAGTGTCTGTGCTAATTAAAGGCAACATATAGAAGCAGCTCAAACCTTTAGGTGGTGTAGAAAAAAAGATGAAAGCATCTATCCTTTATACAGCATTCTGCTTAGCTATTCAAGCTTCTATCTGGGAGATTCACAGGCAGATAATGGAGATGTTGTGATCAGTGAGTGGTAGAACTGTCTGTGACAGCTGAGGGTTTGGCCACCGCCAGAGATTAAGAGGCTTGTTGGGTCATGGCGTTGGGAAGTGGTTTGCCAACCTTTTTGTCTCTATTATGAAGCTTCCTGAAATAAAGTGGGTGGAGTGGGGGTTTGGGGGCTGGGCCACGCTCTCTGTTTGATCATTGATCTCCATGACCCCATTCGAAGGGTCTTAATCTCTCAGTTGACCTCCTCAGGGATTTTTTTTGAGCGAGAGTGACAGGGTTGGATGTTGACTAGGAGCCACCAGGAGAGTTAGGATGTTGCAGAAAAAGTGACGGGGGCGTCCCCCACTGGAGGTGGAGATACAGGAGTCGCATGAGCTCAGTAGGTATGTGGATACACACTTGTGCACATGCAGAAGTGTGTTACATTTTTGATATGATACTTAGTGTAAGCAGCTTTTGTGTCTTGTGCTTCTGTCTGCCTCTAAAACATGTGGAGTCACACCTCAGTAAATTTCACCATGAAAGTTTACACAGGCCTCGCTCGCCCACACGCAAGGAGATTCAGAGAAATGTTTGGTGTCTGGCACTAACACGCCTTTCTGTGCAGAGTTTTTATTAGGACTCCTGTATAGACTGAACGGCCATCTTTCCTTGTATAGTCTTAGTGGCTGTAATAGTAGGAGTTGTATTAGTTGTTGTCGTGGCATCATGATTAAAAGAAACAAACCGTTCATGTGACTAATATGCAGCTAGCATTAAATTGGTTTTCTTTCCCCACCCAACTGATTGAGAATACATAAGTGTTAGATGATCTCCAAAACAGCTCTGGGGTTAGCTTTCATTCAGCCTCCGCCAGGCACTTCTCTCCATGACAATAAGAGGATAACATGGTCTTCGTCTTCAGGGCTCACACTCAGTGTTGTGACAAGACAACCAGACTTCACCCTTTCACATACATCTACACCGCAGTTGAGCTGCTCACACTGAATCATGGGCATGTTATCACAGGAGAGCTCATTGAAAATAGAAATAGATTTTTTTCATGAGAATTATTTCTTTTTTTTTTACTCAAGATTTATTAAAAATGGATTCATTATATAAAGTTGAAAGTAATGCTCAGTTTCCACTCCTTTTATCATTTGTTGACATTGTCAATAAATGATAAAAGGAGTGCTAACCAAATTAAACTGACCTCTTCCTCCACACACACACACACACACACACACACAAACTATTTCTTCTTCACTGTATTCTGTCTGCCAGAATCCCCGTAAATGTTAGCCATGCAAAGGCATTAGTTAGATAACAATGAGTATGATACACTCAGATTAATTCAAGGCTTTACAAATCACTGTAAGAGAAACAGGAGTGTCTGGAAATATCCTGTGGTTACAGCAGATAACTGTTCACATTACGGCCTATCTTGGACTCTATCGGGACATGAGCTCCTCTGGATTGCAGCTTCAAAACAGCTGTAGTAAGTGAGTCAAATAGAACCTTGTTATTGCTGAGCAAAGGGCAATCCAGTAGTGGGGGATCAAGGGCAATTACTCCAAAGTATTTTAAACAGGCTCTTTCCACTACCACACGTCAGATGAAGTCACTGTGTGTGACTTATTTCCCAAGCAGTCTCTTTAGCTCAACATCACATCAGCAGATTAACATCCAAAACACCCAAGGGTCGGAGCAACTGACTGATTCAGGTGGTGTGTTTGATTTGATTACAGGGGATATCTTACCAAAAGTTGTGTGGAAACAAGTTATGCGTGTGACTTCTGAGAAAAGCAGGAACTTTTAGCCTCCTGTCTTTGATTTTTGTTGTGCTCACATAAATCATAGTTTTGCAATACAGTTCACTAAGGTCACCGTGTTTTCTTTTCTTTGTAAGCGCTCCTTCCAAGTGCAATTAACAGCTGATGATAAGGTGTTTTGGTACACTTTATGTGAAAGCTTTCATGTGGATTGCAAGCGTTTAACTGTTTTGTGAGCATAAGAAACACCATGACAGGAAGAGTCGAGAGGAGACGATATGGGAATGTTTTCATTTGAGCGTCTTTGGTATTCAGGCCAGATAATTAGGTAGCTCTTTTAACTTGTCTCCTCTTCAAGACCTCCAGATGTGCTTCAGTGCTGTCAGACAAGGTGTGTCGCTCTGACACGTCCATTCACAAGCAGCTGTGCGGATGTGCTCATTTGTGCGCGCACATCGCGGAAATCAAACTGTTGTGTTTTACATCAACAAACCTTTCCGCCGTAATCTCCCTCCTTGTTGTGTCACACTCCCACACAAGCACTGTGGTGTTATGCGGTCAATTCACTGCTCACCCTCAGGAATGCAGCTGCACTCAGGCTACACCACACATAGACACACACACACACACACACACACACACACACACACACACACACACACACACACACACACACACACACACACACACACACACACACAAGCGCTGTGGTCCCCTCTTCTTTACTGTCCTCAGCTGGAAAGGTTTAGAAAACGGACTTACTCAAAATCCCTGGGAAGGAAACCATAAAGAATGGATCTGATGTAAGGAGGAAAACCACAGTGTCACGTGAACGGTGATAATGACAGATGGGACACTTCCTGGCTTCTTGTTTTGAGGGGAGATACGGATCTCAAGCACTGTTACCTGAGATTTTCGCTACAGCCAGACACAGAGATCATACTGACGGGACTGAGGAAAAGCGAGAGTGTTGAGGAAACTCAAGGCTGCAAATAGGAGCGTCAAAGCCCCAGACCTCCCCTCCTGCTTATCTCTCTGCCCATCGTCTGGGGCTCTTTAATCAGGGCTCTAGAAGTATCAGGGCCCTGGGGTAAGCCTGAGTTTTCAAACAGAGCTTTACTTGGTTGTTGTGCTGGAGAACAGTATTAAGGAGGCGACGCACTTGTAATAAATGCATTGTTTGGGTTTTTGAGTCTTCTTTGTGGTCAGCCTGTATTTTCATATATTGACTAAGAGGACCTGATTTGAGGTCTTTACTTCGTTCTTGTACAGCATCATTAAAGAAGATGGATTTTTTTTAGATTGTAATCTTTATGATTTTTAATTATTTACAGAAAAACAGATCTTTCAGTTACCCTGATGTTATGGAAGCATAGCTCTGTCAGGTTACAAGGAGGTCTCAGCTGATAAAGGACCTGTTTGTGAGTCCAGCATCTAAACAGGGTAATATAGAGTTGTCTACAAGAACTGTTGCTGCAAGAAAAGGTCTGAATGTTTTCCCGGCAGTCTTTGCCTGTTGGTGTTTTGTTTTTTTGTTTTTTTTCATGCAGACTGTACTCACACACAGTCAATGCACTCATGTTGATATGGCGATGCTCTGCACCCCGTCTAAAGCCTCTGCATTCCTTCTTGGCACAACCACCTCCAGATGTTACCCTCCTATACTGTTACTGTACCCATGGACTTCTTTTTATTAAAAAAAAAAAGGCAGGGAACCCTGGCTTGGGTTGGATTTCCCCCCATAAAGCCGCTTTATATGCCAGTGTTTTTCATCTGTTCAAAAGACTTTGACAAGGGAGCCCCTCAGCAGTGCATTCTGGATAAAAGATCAGGGAGTGAGGCCTCACAAATAAACCCTCTCACTGGTCCAAAGACAAATAAGAGCTTCAGATATATGACTGAGAGGCTTCTATAACAGGCAGGAAAAAACATGATCATGTTTATCATGTTATCATCCTCTGCACTAAGTATGCGTTTTCCATCATAGTGAAGTTGTCATTGAATCACCAGCCTCTGCCTCACGCTGCTCTTAGCGTTAAATAGTTTTTTGTCATTAACTATTGCTAGTATCAGGAGGACACTCTTCTTCTACTGTTTCAGCTAAGTTACATCTTTGTTTTCTCTCAATCCCACAACCACCTTACCCCCTGTGATGGCAGACATGACTGATCTGCGGGCTTGTCAGGTACCATCAGTGCAAAGCTGGTGCCATGTGACGCTGCCGACGGCTTGCCAAAAGCTAATTGTGCTAATTGGCGAGCGCCAATCCTGTAACGAGGCTTTGAGAGGCGACCCACCGACACAGATGAAAGCGCTCAGATCTGTCTTGTGTCAAGGACTTGCGGGTAATCGGTGCATCCACTGACCTACAGGCCAGGAGGGCAGGATGACAGCGCTGTGGTCGGTCTGTGTGTGAGGATGTCAGAGGACATGAACGAGAAGATCCATTCACTGGATCTTCACGGACCTCACACTCTGGAGATTCAAATTACACAATTAGAGTTCAACTCACCTTAGATCCATGAACGGATATAAAACGCTCAACATAATACAAGGGTACATTTTAGTTGATGCATATTCCATTTAATTTTAGCAATTTTTTAAATTATAGACTAATTTTTTTGTCAGTTTCATACATATATAAATGCTCATAACATCTTAAGGATGTAAGATAGGTATCATCTATAAACTCAGATGAGGTCTTTCTCTACGTTTTGTGCATCTGAAGTCAGAGCTGAGCTGGGACAAAACGGTGGAGGATATATAATCCAATCTCCGGACTGATAGATGAGCACAGAAACCAGACAAACTCTCACAAGGGCTTTAACAGTCACCAGGTCATTTTACTTTTGCAGCTTTAGTTGTCTGATAGCCTTAGCTTGGGGTGGAGGGTGGGGTGTTGGTGTGGACTGTCTGCTCTGGGGGAGAATAATGAACATATGCTTCCTGTTGGTTTCTTCAGCTGCTCGTTACCCAGTTTGTTTTTAAAAATGTGCAGAGAAAGTCAGTGTTAGCTTGCTTGCTAATGAATATACCGACGCTCTGAGAGTCAAACTATGAGACTCACTCAGACATTCAAGAGATTACAAGATAGCATTCAGTCAGAGAAATAAAAAAGACAGTTGAGATTTAGTCACAATATAGTAAATATTGAGGGACTCCGGTTTACAACTGTTGGATTGACTAATTTTAGATAAACAAAAAACAAACAAATAAATCAGCATCAGCAAACAAATAAATAATCATCCTGACCTTATAGGCACAATGTTGATGGGTAAAAAAATGTAAACACTATATCAGTGTAAACTATAGAGCACATTGAAAATGTAAAGTTAATGGTTTCCTGATTCATCCTGTAGCTTGTGGACTGCGCGGACTTCACTCTTGTTCAGCCACATAATTAACCTTTAATCTGACAACACCAGACAGAAAAATATCAACTCAACAAACCCTCCGACATCCCTGCACACTTTAGTCTTTTCTTTTCCAACAGGGGGCAGCTCACAACCCTAATAGCAAGCAACCCGACTTTAATAGGATGACTAACCTGGAATTCCTGGTGTGAGGGTGTTACTGTTGTTGTAGGAACTCTATGAAGTCGTACTTTCTCCTCACCAAATGAAAGGTAGAAGTCTTTGTAGTTGTTCCTGTCTATTCATCAATCACCTCTAAATGTATGTGTTATGAAAGTGTGAGGTATTGTAATATTCTGGCATTCAACCAGAAATTTTCACAGTCTGACATAACAGTGGGTGGCTAACTTTACAGTATTTCATTGAAAACATACAGCACATTAGAGAAACCTCAGCTGTCAGTGATCTGAGTTTTCCCCTTTGGCTTTTAGAGGGTTTAATTAAATGTTGGATCTAAATGATTGAAATGCATTTTACTGCTTCCCTTTGTTCTGTAATCACACATGAAATAAAATACATTACAGATAAGCTGAAGTATTATTCCTGCATACTTTGGTTTGAAGTCTGGAACTTGATCCATACCTGTTTCCAAACCAATTCCTTCCCATGGTTGTACCACTCAACAGTAAAACGTAGTATTTTCACTCAACCCGATTGGCACTGGTGTTATATTAAAAGGTAACAAAGCATAAAAGTCAACAATCAGTCAAGGGTGCTGGGTTTTTGGTTGCCATTCATTGAATGTAAAGACAGATCAAACACATCTCCTCCTTTACTTTGTTACACCTGTGACAGCTTCTCTTGGAGGGGTTGAAGCGTGTGCACCAGAAATCAAATGGATGCACCGAATACTTGGCAAGTCACTCTTCCCCAGTGCAATGTAGCTACATGAACATGTAAACTGTCTGAGTTTTGCAGACATGGCTGCAGGGCAAAGGGAATTACACTGTCACACAGAGGATATGGAGCTGCCGTGATATCCTCTTGGCACATAGTTGAAGACCATCCAGGTGGAAATCGGTATGCTCTGCCAAGTGGTGGGGAGTGAGGTAGTTACATGGGAGGTGCTCATCTGCATCTGCGAGCATTGTCTTTCAAGTAAGGGGTATATGGCTTTACCTGTTGTAGCTGTCAGAAGGAGAAGAGCTTGTTTGGAGAGTTGGGTGTGGAGATGTTAAGACTTGTAAGCGTATTTGCACACCTGTACATTTTTGGGATTAAAAAAGTTGTTTACACATCTGTCACTACCTTAATTGCACCACACAATGAGGACACGTGGCAAGGGGATTTAGTTTTTACCTTTTACCCTTTTACCTTTTGTTTTTATTACAATTCAAGCATGTTGATCTTGACAGGATTGTATCACCACAACTGCTCTCTGCAGTTTTCTTTCCATGCATGTACTGTATGCATGTGGAGTATATTAAATGGAAAAATTCTGCCCTGTGTTTTCTACGCTCCTTGAATTCTTCAGAAATTAGAAAATTTTGGACAAAAATTTTAAAATTTTAATACATAATAAAGCAGCAGTTACTAGCAGCTGCACAATGAATAACCTGTGTGCGTTGGAGTTAAAAAGGTAGACACACAAGTATAGTATATATGGTGTGTACAGATTTAGTCTGTATAGAGCTTATTGGCTTCACAAAGCTGACTGAGTTAATTCAGTAAGATCAAACTACAGTAGCACTTTCACCAAAACAGTTAGAAAACATTCAACGCTGTGGAGTTGTCGCAGGGGCTCAGGTTTGCGCCTCTTCTGCAAATATCAGAAGTTCTGATCATTTTTAGCCCTTTGTTAACAACAGCATTCTTCTGTTGACATACCTCAGCCACAGCTGGTAAACAGCCACAGCCACCCTGTCTGCAGACACACACACCGAGCCACATTTAATGGCTCCAAAAAATGTCGACCAAAAATGGAGATGTGAGCGACAGGATTTGGCTGTCAGGTTCCTCGAGCACCGCAAGCCTGTTGGGGTTTGTTCAAAGCCTCGGCATTATCGCAGACATTCTTTTGTCATGATAAGGTATCATATTGAAGGGGAAACTAAACCTGTACTGCTTTTTACTTACTGAGTGTGTACACCATTAAGCAGCTGTTAAGTCACTCCCAGTTGGTGAACAGGTCTAGTAAGACTGGTTCATGTTCTTGATTTAAAAAATACACACTACTTTTATTTAGAAAGTCTTTCACTGTGGTCTTTTCCATCTGGCCAGTACACATGGACCCCACACACCCTTGGGACCAAAATGTGATCAGTATCTGGATAGTCTATTTGTGTAATCATTAATCCAACCAAGCCATGTGTGTTTACGCACATTATTCTTGTGGTGTGTTGTTTGCATGCTGCTCACAGTGTGACCGTGTCCCTCCATGGAGGCCCGGGACAAAAAGAACAGAGAATCAAAAAAAAAATCAACGTTTACTTGGTGTAGTTTACCAAGTATTTGACCAAAAGAACCGTGATGATCGTAGAAAGTGTTAAAGCACAATAGAGAGAAAGTGACTGCCAACCATCTATCTTCCTCTAAGTCATGATCCCCGCACACATTCCACAGCCCAACCATCACTGATTATAGTGAGTGCTGCATGGGGCAGTTTCATGGTTCCAGCCCGATTTGTGTCTTAATCACACTGGATGACAGATGAGTCCCCTGGGCAGTCTGAACCACATGAGACACTCCTCCTCGGCTTCCTGTGATCTTGGTTTCTTTACCCCCGAGAGAACAGTGAGAGAGCGTCAAAAAAACAAAACAAAAGAAAAAACAGGAAATTATTAAAGTGCGACTAAGCTTACAGAAAATAATTCCCACTAATAATAGATCATTTCTACTGTATGTTTTTTTTTTTTTCATGCAACAGATTCATCAATGGAGCTCCATAGTCACCTTCATTCAGGGGGAAGAGAAACTGTAATAAGTCTCTGGTGGAAGCTTTACAGTAAAAATGTCCCCGAAAAGCAACAAACTGGGACATGTCTCTTTCCCCCTCTGTCTCTGATCCAGATTTGAAAACTCACATACAGTCAAACGTGTGGTATTTAAGAAGTGACGTCCTTTTTCCTCCAAAAGTATTATCCTCTGGGAACTGCTCAATGCTGTTCTTTGGAACTGATGTGGGTGGTGTGAGCCATGCAACCCTGCCACCCTGCTCCAGTGTCCTCGCCTGTCCCCGTCTGGCCTGCCCACCCGTCCACCTCCCTGCCGTGGTGTCCTTTCTGAGGGCCAGCTCCTCTGAACCCAAACAACAGTTCCATTTGTTATGCCAGGGCTGGGAATGCACTCAGCCATCTTTAGCTGTGTTTCTGCCAGCCCTGCTGGGTGCCAAACCTGTGGACCTTATTCATATGCCAGCTCTTCCCCTTCTTTCTCTTTCTTCCGCTCTGTCTGCCTCAGTCTGTGACAGTGCCAGTTTCTAAGTCAGTGGTGGAGGATCTTGAAGAGGGTTGGTCTGTGGGTGATGTGATTGTAATCATATTGAACTACATTTTTTAATTTTCTTTTGGTGGATTTATCATTAGCTAACAATACAGAACATGAAAACACTAAGTTAAACAGAATTTTGATATTGAGAATAAGGTATAAATGGGAGAATAGAGGGTTATGTAATACTCCTTACCTTATCATGACCTCAGACCATGTAAAATATGTCAAAATGGTAGAATTAGGGTTGCAATGGGGCGGAAAATTTCCAATAAATTTATATTTAAATTTTCAGAAACTTTCCATGGGAAGTTAAACCTGGGAAATTTGGAAATATTCCAAATTGGAAACTTTCCATGGGAATTATGGTAATTTATATGAATTTTGGGGTAGCTACCACCACCATAATAAGCTAGCCCCTTAAATGGTCAATGAAATGAAAAATAGCTTACACTTAGCACCTATTTTTATTTTATTTTTTTGCAAGTTAAATATTGAAACTATTATAGATCAAATAGATTTACCCCATAATATTATCAAAACTTACTTGACTTTATATAGTCTGTGGGCTCAAAGTGTGGCCTCCAGGGTTCAAGAAATCATCTGTGCGTGTGACGGAGGAATGTTCAGTGCATGTAGGGGGTGTGGCCTCAATAGCCCTGCAGTACGCCGTGTGCTGTGTGCATGTGATTGAGGAGTGTACTTGCATTAAATCTGGTTGTTTTAGCCAAGATTATGCTACAATATATTTTCCCCAGCTATGTTTAAGTTTCCTGTTGAGGGCCAACCTTCAATTTTGTAAATTTCTGATCTATTCCCGTTAATTCCCATATATTCCCATATATTCCTGTTAATTCCCATGGAAAGTTTCCAACTTTGAAAATTCACGGAATTTTTCAACCCTAGGTAGAATAAATTTAATTCATATTCTTTAAATTTCACCCGGTTACAGTTGTATTAGTTTAGCTATACATTAAATCTTCTCCAAACACATTTATTTGACTTTCAGGAGTGTTATTTTTAACTCAAGACAGCTAGAGCAACAAAAAAATGAACATATTTTTTCAGCTATCTGCAATCGAGCAGCCACTGCTCATTGGAGACCAATAGGCCATGGATGAGACGTCAATGCCTCATTGCCAAACACTCGTCCATCACCGTTGTGTGCGAGATGGATGAGTGAGTGTATGTAAACACTGCACAGTGTCCCAGCACTGCTCACAGGGCAGAACCAATGTGAAAACCCTTAGATTGCTCTTGAAGGGCTTAAAGAAACACATGTCACAGATGGCATCCATCACTTTTCAGAAATTTGATTTTAGCAATCACCTTAAACAAAACTGGATGCCAAAATGTTAACACCAAAGGATATGGTGTTGAAATTTTAAAATGGGATTAACAGATTGCACCCACAGCTCTATGAACTCATACTGTGATAGATACACCCTTTTAGCAACTGAATTTCCTGGTCCCATATTTTTTTTCTTGTAAGTACAACTAAGGCACCAGAATTACTGGTCTTACTGGTGTTCAAAACTTTTGGTATAATAATGTGCTTCACAATATCTGTACTTATGGAGTAATAAAAACCACCTCACTGTTAGATTTTCTCAATCCTAGATTTCTACATGGCTGACTCCTTCATGTCTGCCAGCTTGACCAACGTGACATAGAAAAGAGAAAGTGGGTGAAAAGGTTTCCTGGGCTAAGCAGAGAGAAGGAGGAAAGGGGAGTAATCTCCTCTGTCTGGTACATTACCTCTGAATGAGGCCTGAGCACGTCAGGGGACTCATAGAGGATGCACTCTGGCCTTCAGAAACAAAGACAGGCCACGACCAGTCACTTTGTAGCACTAAAATCCACCGCTCCTGTTTCCACACATCATTCACTTTTGAAGTCGGTGCGCCTTTTTTTTTGTGACCTTTAACCTTTCAAAGCTACTACTTGAAATGATCAAGCTCAATCATGAGATATTTCAGAGATGACTTTGGAAGTTGCTCCAAAAAAAAAAAAGTCTTTATTTTACACCATGGGTACTAGACAACCTCATGTGTAACAGTCACATTTATTCAAACTTGATTGAGCCATGACACAGGACAGTCCTGCTTCCTTCCTCTTGTTTTCTTTTATAGTGGTCTCACCTTTTCCTCCCTTTAATCATAGTGTCATCTACTCTCTCATCCCCTGACTTCTTATCTGTGTTATTGGGCAAACACCCTGTAAACAACTCGCCATTTGATCCCCCATGCTCCATCTCTCTCCACTTTTAGAACCATGTGGCCCCTTAATGGGGATGTCCTGACCGGCATGGGTGTGTCCAGACTTGTCATACAACATGAGCCCCAACCACACCCCCCTTTCCCTACACAAGAGGGGGCCTCCCGCAAATCACGGAGTTACCCATGATCATCTTTCAAGTCAATTGGGCAGCGTTATCGTCTGGAGCTTATTCTTATCAGCAGTTACCATGTAGGAGGTCTGATTATAGCCCCTTACTAGGTTTACCCATGGCTTATTCTGTGGTTATGATGTCATGAATATAAGACATGTCCATGACCTCAGTGCGACATGTTTATGTGCTGGCTTATTCTAGGGCACCACCAGGGAGTGAAGCGTCGGCATGCCTCTGTATGTGCATTATGACACTACAGAGACGCAGGTTCAAGTTTCATTGGTCTGCCCCTGGAGTGTATCATTAGAGGTGATTTAGCAGCCCAAAATACTGCACATTAGATAAAAAGTAGCTCAGGAATAATGATAAAGGCTAAAGTATCAGGGGAGGACAAAAATGAGAATAATAAGCTGTAATGAAAGAGGAGTAACCTTACTTTGAAATCTTTCCTACTTACAAGACGCAGTGGACGCCACAGTGCTGGAAAATGATTTATAATGGCACATTGGGTCATAGTCAAATATAGGCTTAGTGTTAGAGGAGAATTAGTCTGTGAAGTAATGCTTTAGGCCATTATGCATCATAGTCATCTAAAATCATTGCATGCGCATGAAGGATTAACCATTTGTAGTCCGCTGAGCTTTTGCTCTTACTTATTTTAAATTGGATTAATTAATGAAGAGACTTGTTTAAAAGACGCAAGGATGCACCAGAAAATCCCAGATTGGGTTCTTGTACAGGCTTGTATCGATTCACAGGTAATTTCAGATGTAGGTCTGAACAAGGGCAGAAATCTTTGGGCAAAAAAACTGCTATCGCTCGGAACATATTAGGTAACGCACCGGGCTTAGATGCAGTTTTGGCATTCAGCAGAGCAGTTTTCGACTGTTTCAGTAGATTTGATCTGCAGCAAGAAGATGCACCCGAGGTTTTTAGGACGTTTTGTTCTGTAGTGCAATACAACTACAACACAGACATTGACTGCAGACAGCATTGTGTGGGACTTGGCAGACACCCCCTGAAGCGTCTTTTGAAAAAGGTTACCTTGTTTGCCCCTAGAGCTATTTTCGCTCTGCCTCTCTGTCTGGACTCGCCAGTCTGTGAAAATACTGCTCGCTAACTTTACCTCCTCCTCTCTCCCTCCCATCTCGTGTCTGTCATGACATCACCAACATCAGGTATCCAAAGCAGACAGCAGTAAACGCCATTTGTTTAATAAGCATTATTAACACACCTGCTTTGCAGCACATTCCTGATTACACGGTCTAATGGGACGGGCACTTCAAGCGGGATTAGTCGAGCCTGGGGGCCTACACCTGAACCTCAGTCCTACTCTTTTATGCAAAGGTTTCCTCTCTGCACACTTAAAGGGCTGCAGAAAACTCCATTGTAACCAACTTTTAACAGGGTGTTTGCTCACTTTGTTCAGCCATGCACACCAAAAGTAATGATCTCTCCCGTCTATGACATTGTGTTTAAACTTAAAGCGCTGAGCCAGCAACTCAGCCAGCAAATGAGTGCAGTGATGGTCACTTTAGAAGTAACTGAGCAAACACACTGTCTGCCAGTGCCCTTCTATACTAATCAAAAGCAAAGTAATGGGATTGTTCCCAGTGCCATGATTTTTGCCATGAACAATACTTCTCTGTAACTCTAGTTGTTTAAGGAAAACCTCACATGGTAACATTCTGCACTCTGTCTTTGCTGAGGGTGTGCAAATGTTACCATGATATGTCCTCAAATTAAAATTCTTCACGCTGACATTTGAGGAATTGCCCCACAATCTAAAAACAGATTTAAGTATTGTTCAGCTACTGTACTAGACACCAGAGTCCTCGTGCTAATGCTGCGTTTGTTTTTGGTTTGTTTTTAAAATTAAATTAAAGCAAGTCTGTCTTTATTCCCACACAACATTATATCTTCTGGTTGTATAATCGGTGGCTGTAATTGTTAATTTTTCTTTTAAGAAAGGCACATTATTGTCTCTCTATACCACCTACATGTACCAGGTTTGGAAAACCACGTATTCATTCTTTTAATCATTGTGAATATGCGAGCACAGATTTGAAGCATTCCCCCCATTGTGCCATTTAGTGTTATTCCATGAAGGAGCTGTGGGCTGCTACTGTGGCAGGTTCTTGGTGTTTGTTGCAAGAGTCAGGGCAGTTTTGTTAGCGGGTGTTATGAGTGTTCTTATGTTTCGATAAACAAACTAACAAACAAAAAAAATCACCTTTATATAAAAACCAAATGAGAAAAGCAGTTTAAAAGAAATTTACAACCCTCCTCCCTGCATGCATTCTCCTTGCACGTGTCCTCCTGTGGAAGTCTTGACATCTCACGTCACTGGCCTTGAGGTTTAACCAGTGATTGCAGTGAAATGCACAAAATGTCCAGGGACATGACTAAGCCGACTACGATGGTAAAATGTTAAAGGTCACTGTTGAGAACAGTGAGAACAGCCTTGTGCGGGTCAACTTGCACAGTGTCTGCCTGATGCGTGCAGCCTGCAGCATGGCTGGTCCTCTGCACTAACATCCTCTAACACTCTGCTCCTGCTGATTAGATTTCACCATTGGCTGGAAGTGAATTCAATAGTTCAGGGTTTTTTGAGAGGCAGCTGTGTCATAGCTTGCAGATGAAGGTTCGGGCAGTTCTGCTTTCTAGGGACTCAGACAGTCTAACAGGATACCCGGTTGTTGCTTTTATACCAAGAATATTTGGAGTAAAGCATTAAAAGCTCTTACCCTCCTTCCTGCTCCATTTGAATTCCATCTTTTAGTGTCTTTTGTGCTAAAGGGGCTTTCCACCACACAAAATTTATGATATTGTTCCCTCTTTCTTTGGTAATCCTAGCCTGTGGAAAGATAAAACCGGTTTTCAACTGTGGAAACACACTGGCTGTCTTTGACAATGGGGAGGATGGTATTACTATTCCAGCTGAAAACTGTATACATCCGGACAATGACATGTTAAACGGAAACATTTATGTGTAATGATCTCTTGTAATGGAGGCTTTTTGAAGTGATGCATGGGTGCTGAGGGGCCGTTATTGTTGGCTTGACATGCACACCAAACCACTGTGATCACACCTCCAGCAGATCATTTCACCAACAGAGGTAGTCAGACCTTTAATTGAATGAAAGCACCACAAAACAAAAACACTGTCTCAAAGATCTCACTGAAGTTCAAATGTGTAAACACAATAAAGAGCGAACAGTATACTCAAAGTTTAGGAGTGAAAATACTCACTGCAGGTGTAAACAGATGTAAAGCAGTTCAAGTTTATTTCCAACTAGGGCTGGGAGATAAACTGAAAATTTACCGATACCGAAATTTACGACAATAACCGATGCCCATGTTGATATATTCGCTGTAAAATAAATAAATAAATAGATAAAAGTTGGTTTTGGATGCGTGTAGGTAGGTTATAGTCTCATGTCCCTTTAAGACACTGTCCTACATCAGAGACGTGACTCCACACCATCCAGTCCGTAATGAAGAGGGAAGGACAGGTGAGGAGATGGAAGATAGTTCAATAGTTGTAGCGGCTGGAGTGGCAGCTGAAGTAAACAAAGTTAATGTGGGAGTGGGTGAGCAGCTTTAGGAGTAGTTATCGTCCTTTTATCGTTATCCAGTCAAACTGCTCAATATATCGTGATATTTTGAGGCCATATTGCCCAGCCCTATTTCCAAATGAAATAAAAATCACATAAGTAGCTCAGAGTACAACTCTGAGCTACTAAACAGTGCTCAAGTAAGTGTCTTGTTTAATCCATAAAGTGATATGAGCATTTCCAAAAATGTTTGTAAAGATGCAGGTTACACCCTGAAGTACTTGACGAACAGACCTGAAAGATCTTAATTCAGAAAGACGGAAACATTGTTAAAGATGAACAACTCTTTCTACAGCTAAACAAGCTGCTGTCAAATTCCAGACTTTTATGCTTACTCAGCAAAATAAACCTTATCTGCTCAAATGGGATTTATCCATGAAGGATTATTTTACTTTTGTTTGACCGTCATCCAAAATAAACTCATTCAATCCCTGCGGCGAAGGCGTCTCTTAATCACTGAGATGTAATTTTCCTTCAACATCAGAGGAGAATCCTGTGGCAACTTTCGTGACTGCCTGATCAACCTGACAAGAGTCAATCAATAACTCTGTGGTGCATTTAGTAAACTGAGAGCACTGCACGCAGAAACTGGTTGAGCCCAGTGACAAAATAGTAGTCCAGCTATCGGTTAATATTTATATATCTCACTGTCCCTGTTTTCTTCTATTTGATACATGTTCATTCATTTCTTCTCTAGGATCCTGGAGATTTGTGATCATAATTTTGAGCTTTTCTGTATTGATCAAACAATCAGCCCTTTGGTGAAGAAACAGTGAACAGTCTATCATACAAAATTAACATAAGTTTGTCTCAGTGTGTGCATGAACAAAAATCATGGCTCAGAGGTGAGACGGACAGACTGTAGATTAGTGCAGGTTGAATAGGTTTAGATAAATGATCAATGCATTGGTGGTTAGACAGACGGATCTGTCGTGGTCAGAAATATCTCAATGACTATTTTACTACTGTAGTCAGGGAGAGATCAAAACACAATCCACGGTGACTTTTTCTTTGAGTATGACACGTCTCTCTTGAAGCCACGTGATGTTCTTACTCACCCTCTCCAGCTGGTTGAGATCCAGGCTGCAACTTAAATGCTACGACCAAAAGAGCACTTACATTTAGCCATGAATTACTTCATAAACGCTTGCAGTGTGTGGCACTTATTTATGCTACCATGTTCAAGTACTGCAGGTCTTACCCTGCACCACTTTCCGAGCAGGGCACATGCTGAATCTTGCTAGCCTTCCTCACACCTTCGGCACATGCGATCAGATTGTGAAAAGGCTCCTAATAAATGTTGGCATGCGATCTGGCAGATGTGATCAAAAAGGGTAATTTGTTAATATTGAGGCTTTCATAATGAGTCATGTTGAGTCTCGTACAATGTCAGTATAGATGCATATCAGGCTTTGATCACTGAGGAATTGTAGGAATTCCTAAACCTTTTTTGACACTTGTAATATATCACAGAGCTGCCTTTTGAAAAAGAGCAGCTTTGTAATTACAGGCATCTACAAGAGGACTTGACTGTTAGCCTTTATGACTTTCAAAAGTGGTAAAGAACATATTAACCTAGTAATGAACTTAAATACTGAACTACAGAAAGTGGAAGAAGAAAAAAAACATTATCACTTTCTATTAGGGCTGGGCGATAAACTGAAAATTTACCAATCTTCAAATTTACGACAATAACCGACATCATTTTGCACTTGTCAATATATTAAGTGTCCAAAAAATGAATAAATAAAAGTTGGTTTTGGATGTGTGTAAGTAGGCTATGGTCTCATGTCCCTTTTAAGACGCTGTCCTACATCGGAGACGTGACTCCGCCCCATCCCGTCTGTAACAAAGAGGGAAAGACAGGTGAGGAGATGGAAGACGGTTCAAAAGTTGGAGCGGCTGGAGTGGCAGCTGAAGTAGACGATGTTAATGTGAGAGGGGGTGAGCAGCTTGTGGAGTAGTTATTTTCCATTTATCGTCATTGAGGCGAACTGCTCAGTATATCATGATATTGATTTGAGGCCATATCGCCAAGCCCTACTTTATGTTCCTACTCTCTATAGATGTAGTTGCTGCCATCCCCTAATTAAAGTGAGGATTTTTCAGCATGAGGGCTCAGAGCACCCAGAAAAGAAAAGACCTGTGTACTGGATTTTTACTGTCTCAATCACTGCAGTTGTTTGTAATTTCTGAAGTTGAAATACGAGCTCTTGATTGGACATGCATGTAAAGAACTATGTTAAAAGAGTTTGGAGCGGAAGAGGCTCGTCAACCACTTTCCTCTGTCACATTTTGCACATGGTGAACTTGAAGGTCTTGGCGCACATTGGGTGGTGGCTGTGCTCACTGACTCATGTGGCGCCCAGTGTCTGAAACTTTCGTCAAACGTCTGGCACATGGTGTGTGTGTGTCACTGAGGCCTGTGACGCTGGTGGCTCTCAATTCCCCAGAGGCTGCTGATTGGTCGTGAGGAAGATGAGGCACAGGTAAAGGCCAATCTCTGGACCTTGAGAGGGAAACAACACAGTGTGAGCAACACTGCTACCAAATGGCTCCAACTAAGTTGTTAAGATCACCCTTACAATACCTTGCACTTGCGTCATTGCTGAGTGGAAATGTCTTATTATTGCCAGCTCATCTAAAATAATCAACAGGATGAAAGTTCAACATTACTCACGAATAAGAGAAAGTTTTCTATCATTTCCATTCATCCACTTTTGGAAGCATTCTTTTTTGAAGAATCCACTTGTGATTACTGCCTCACATTTGAGCCTCATTTCTTTTTGGAAATTTGTCCGTAGAGTTCTCAGAAGTTGGTCTCAAAGCAAGATGGAATAAATTAAGACTCGCGTTTATCAGAGAAGTATCACTGAAGTCAACATCCCCTTTGTTTCAAGAATGCAAATGAGAGAGAAGAGACCAAACAAAGAGAATAAAGCCACACTCAAGGGCAGAGAAATGTCATCAGAAATGACATCCCCTGAGGTTTCAAACTAGCTGCATATTTACAAATGAATCACTACAACACAAGATGAGTCATGGAGTGATGGGGAATAAAATGGTCATAATTTTCTACGGCTTAGTCATGTCCAGTGAGCACGGTGTATGAAGAGAGGGTACAGGTGTGACAAGAACCAGATGACACAGTGTTAACAATGAGAACATCCCCACCCCATCAAAACAGTTGAAGTCAGTCTCTCACTAGGATTGTTGTTTTCACACAACTCTGACAGCTGCCTGTGATATGACGCCAGCATGGCCCTTTGAAAAGGAACGTTTTGAGCGGGTCATGAATGAGGGCTGCCGCAGTGTGCGATCTTCGATCTGGATGTTTGATATCTGATGACTGATTGTCCCAGTCAGTAAGAGTCATAATAGGATGTGTTGTGTCCTCCCTCTGGTGATTTGGTTCTTCTCAATGTAAGGAAAGGCCGATACTCACGACAGGAGTGATGCTGTGCGTAACACTGCACAGCATGTCTCTGTTGCGTCGGCTTACCCTTTGTATTCATACATACCTCATAGCTGCAGGCCGTGCTTAATCATCATGAGGGCAGGCTGTGAGCTGTAACCTCTCTTAGTCTGACCATCTAGATTAAATCTTCAGTAGTAAGCACTGAGAGCCACCAGACAATCAGTAACAGTTTGCTGCAGCCCTGTCAAATCATTCAGCAGATGTCAGAATCCCTCAGTGGTTTGTTTTTTTCTTTAGAGAGTTAAGTAATGTTGCAAATGTAGAAGCGTGCCAAAATAATCTTTCTTCTTCTCTCTGCAGAATAATAATTAAGAGGACTTCCAAAAGGGCTCCTTGCCAGTCTTGTAAAGATGAGGTCATTGTGCAGTGTCAAATAATTTTTATCAGCTAGAAAGCCAAAGATCAGGACTAATGCAAACCGCACATTAAGTGCAGTCAGCGTTTCAAACAGACAGTCGTTTTCAGATTCTGCTAATTCCCCATTAAAACTCTTCTCTGGGATGACAAATGAAGAAAAATGGGCTCTGAACTTTCAAGGTCCAGCCGCTGCTTCGATATTTATGGTGGAGGGTTCACACTAGACACAGCGTCAGCAGAAAGAATGACATACAAAGGTGATACCTGGAGCAGGTGACCCGGGTTGATTCATCAAATACAGCTGGTTCTTTCTCTAAAATCTTATCTGTGATATATCAAACTACATGTGCAGGTTTTCCTCCAACTCTGACTGTCTTTGCTCTCCGTGATCGGACTTTCTCCTCATGTGTGCTGAGTGTGCAGATGAGGCTGACGGAGATACTAAGAGGAAGAACAGGGGGATGAACAGCAGGAAAGCAGACAGGCGGAGAGGCGGGCGGGGGGGTCAGGTGGCGTGACTTTTTACTCTGCGGCTCACTGACCTTGACAGTGGGGCCACAGCCAGCAACTCCGATAGTTCACTCTGATAGCTTCTCTCACTCTCTTTCTCCTTCTCCTTCACTCTCTTCACTCTCTACCTTCTCTTTTCTCTCCCTTTCTTTTCCTCCCATCCTCTCTCTTACTCTCTTACTCTCCCATCATCTCTTTCTCGCTCCCTCTCTCTCTCCCTCTCTCTCTTACTCTCTCCCTCTGTGCTTGCTCTGTAAGCCCAGCCCAGTCAAAACGCACCACCACCTCTCTCTCTGCTGCAGCTCACCCCCTCTTACCTCACGTCTGCTCTTTTTCCAGACAAGCGGGTTTAAAAAGTCAACTGCATATTGAGCCGTCTAGACTGAAGCCGGTCAGCAACCAGCCCTCCCCATCCCCCACTCCCCTCCACAGCCCCTGACTTGTGAGTTGCTGGCTACAGTGGAAAAACGGATGAGGAGCAGGTGACCTTGCTGAGCTCTGTCCCTCATTTGTATCCAAGTGCAAAGCTGCTCTATAGACGGATTATATAAATATATTGAGTGACGGGTCAATGAAAGCTTGACTTGGTATGGTCACAGATGTGCACGTCCACTTCTCTTGGTGGTCAACTCCACTCCTGAAATGATGTTATACACATGAACCACATGAAGACACATGTCTGTAATCTACTGTTTACATACAAGCAGGATAAATCAGTGCAGCTTTTCTCACCTTTTACATTTTACAAGGTGTTAGGTGTTTAAATGAGGGAGCGCTCTCTCCAAATAAAGTACAAATGCCTGCACACAAGTCCACTTCCACTTCTACTGCTTGGTACTCTTTTGATGTTTAGGTTTACGAGTAATTTTCAACTTCCTGATTGGGATGCCAGTAGCAACCGGTTTACTTGACGCATGCTTGTCATAATTGTAGTTCTTGTTGTTTCAGAGTACACAAACTAAGCGTCCAATGAAAATATACGGTGTGAACCTGTGAAACATCCAGATCTCATGCTATACAAACACCATATCAAAATATAAGTGAAACATCAAACCTGCTTGAGAACTGCAGGTGGGGTGTGTCACTGAACGACTCTGCCAAACTGGAGCTCTATTTTTTTTTAGCAACAATTTACACCCCCTGCTCCTTTAAGCTTTGCAGATAAATACGTTTTTTGGGGGTTCTCCTCTGTCAGTTTAAGAAGTGCACTACACGACACCTTCATGTGACACCTCAAGAGATGTCTCCTGCCAGCCAGTGACTCCTCCATGTGCTGTAAGATGACTCTGCTCAGTTCTCTATCAGAATATTTAACTCCCTGCCTTTCAGTTTTGTCTTTCGCTCCATCTTGTCTTTGCTCCTGATTGTGTGATTTCATCCCTAAATAAAGTATGTTGAGAGATGAGATGCTTGAGTGCTCCATCTTGTCAGTTTTGGGGTTCTCGTTAATTCCTCTAACTTTAAAGCAAAGATATTCTTCAGGAATTGTTGAATCTCCCACAATGAGTTTCCCACTCCACACAGCCTGTGATCTTTGTAAAACCCTCTATTAGTGAACAAGGACGAGTTTCTCAGTGTTGAGTGGAGAGTGAATGACACCTCTGCATTTTGCATGTGGAACAAAGTGACTGTGTGGTTGTTGTATCTTCTTACACTTTGTGAAACAAAGTCAAGTTACAGAAACGTTGTTTGTCTGTTAACACAGATTGAAACATTGAAAACAGGAAAGAGTTTGAGTGTGGGGCGACATATTTGGCAGAGAAACATTGTTGTATTACAATGTGACCTTACTCATGTCAGAGTTGTGTCCAGATGTTTTTTCTGGTTAATATATCTCTGACTCTTTGAGTCACTTTTAGGGACTCTGGACATAGATAATCTTGGCGACCATTTCTCTCTGCATGTGTAAAGTTTGAGTGTTTGCACATGAATGGACTGAAGGTCCTCAGTGTCAAAGGAGATCTTACAGTCACCTACTCAGTGTGTCATCCATCCCACCTTGTGAGGCCTGTGCTGGGAAAGCACTGAGGCAGTCCATATTGATTACCCTCAAGAGAATGTGCGCCAAACCCTTGAAGCTCAATATGTGAAGCTACTTAAAAACAGTGAGTGTCTTTGATGGTTTATCTCTCCTACATCTTTGTATATCCATCCCTCCGCCCACCTTCATCTCCGCTTTCTTTCCCTTTCCCACCCATACAGCCTTTCTCATCCTGTCATCCCTGGGCTGGTGGTCTGTCCCTCGGGGAGGTTAAGGGGCACCGTGGGTGAGAGGGAAGTCGGCAGGTTGTGCGGGCAACGTGCTCCCCTTTTCCCACAGCCTACGTCAAATGCTACTGAACCCTGACCTCAGTGGGTCCTCACTCTCAAAATCACTGTGGAGCACAATTCAACTAGCCAGACCCCATTCAGGACTGGGCTCTCCATTGGAGGAGAAAAGAACCCTCCCAAACCAATTGTGGTCAGTGCCCTGCCTTTGTCTGCTGGTCAAGCAGGGTCGGACGACCGGCCGCCACTAGCCAGGACAAGACTTCCGAAAAGCCTATTCAGCATGTGATTTGACCCCAGGTTCCATTGCTGACTCACAGGGATCAAACGCTGGAAATCTCTGGGGGTTCTCCTCCATGGAGGTTTTCATCTATTGAAAGTTTCCCTTTTGACAAAACTCAAAATGACTAATGATTTTTTCTAAAGGCTTCCCTGATGGTATAACAATGTTTTACACATGTGGGACTCCTGGAAAAGTTCAATCCAGGCTCTTCAGAGGCTGACCAGAACTTCTCTGTTGGTCTCCTTTGTTCTCCCCCCGTTAAATACCTAAATATTTTTGAATTGACGCACAATTAACTGAATAAGGAGTGCAGATGTACTCCACAGTTATAGTCTTAACATATCAGGCGATGCTGAACCTGGAGCTGCATTTGCTGTACATTCCTGAAATCATGATAGTCATTAAATGCAGGTCTTCAGGATCATAATGAACACACTGTATGTTCTGAACAACTTTGTCATCAACTTTATAGGCTGAGCTCTGAAGGCAATGCTGCTGCCGACACACTCACACCATGAATGGACTTCAAAATAGCCAAGTCATTGGAGTGTTATTTTTTTTCATGAGAGAAGTGAAACACTGATACAGATGTCCCGTGTCTAGTAAAAGTGCCCCTGTATGCATGCACTACATAAACTAAGAGCGAAACAATGAATTCATTGTATTTTTTTCTTTATCGTGAGTTTGTATGTTTTCCGTTTTGGAGTTTTACCCCATTTTTTGTTTTTGTTGTTGTTGTAGACTGTTAGAAACTTCTGTGAGTAATTTAAAGAACACATACACAAACACACACAGGCACAAACATGTCAAACCTTTTCAAGATGTGGTCGTGAGTACAAACAGAAAAATCAGGAACTCTGAATTTCAAATATGAGAGTGTGTGAAGGGAAAGAGGGATATGTGTGTGTAAGTGTGTGTGCAGACTCCAACTTGACGCATGGTTAAAATCTTTGCAGAAGGAGAGCACTTTGATAGAAATGCCGCGTGCTGTGTGCTAAAGCTGGGGCCTGCTGCAGCTTTAAGCTGGTCAACTGTCAGGACTGCAGCGTGAAAGGGGGGCCCCAGAGTGAAAGGGGTGGAGGATCCCAATAGGGGGGGGTCCTGCAGGAGGAGGGGTGGCTTGTGATGGACCTCCTGGGCTTTGAGGGCCCTCTGTGTGGGCTGCTACAGCAAGGCGGCTCTTTTCACAAGAAGCTCAGAGAGTGGGAGGGCGGGCTGGAGGGAAGGTGCTGGCGCATTGGCCCTTGCAGCAGGGAGCGCGGGCAGGATGCCAGCTCACCCGTTCAAGTCTCACAGACCAGATGTTCCTTGTCAGGGAGCTCTTGGCCTTTAATAAATTGAGTTACTGTAAATCTGTAATAAAGCAAGGCAAACATGGGCACCCCAGCTCCCCCACTCCACACACAGCCCTGATATTCTCCCCTCACAGACTTTCTTAGTGTCCTGCTGCAGGTCAGCCCCTGGTGAAGGGGCCATGTTCCAGCTACTGAACCTGCCAATTACTCCCCAACCGACATAAGAGGACGGATGTTTTTCTTCTCCTTCGCCTCAAGCTTTCACTCTAACCACAGAGAATCATTTTTATCCCTGTAGACTGTACCATGACCAGGTTTCTGACCTGTAACCCTTGATCTCCTTCAGGGACCTGAACCAAAGAGAAATGGTTTTGAGATGTTATGATGTAACAGAGAATCAAAGCTCAGGAAAACCATGTCAACTAAGTTTGCCTTTCCTACAAACCCAAAACTGAGGGTCCGGTTGCATAACTGATCTTGAGTCAGAGTCTGTTCCCAGTAGAGATAGAAATCTGGTTGAAACCTTACCGCCGTACTGATTAGAATGTAAGCAGCATATTAAGATAATATCATCATCCTATGAGTCTGCTCATTACCGACTTATCACCAGTGTTTCAGGTTGTTTGTGCTCTGCAAACACACACTGCATCTGTTGTTGTCACTATCAGGCTGAAGGGTACGGGTCATTTCTCCAGGTAACGGCAGCCAGTGTTTTTGGAAGTCATCTGATCTGCTGCTAGAAAAATAAAAATAAATGCCTCTGTGCAAGTGAAAGGGCTGGGAAGAATGTTCCCTGCACAGCCTTACTGAGATTTACAGCACCTCCGGGGACGGCTCTGATCTGGCAGTGGTCAGTTGGCTTTGAAGGGAAGTGCACCGGGAGTGAATCACTTTGAACCTGTGCTGAGCTGAGCCTAAGGGAGACCCACGGTCCCACCTGAGTGGAACAGGACAGTAAATCTAAAGGCAGCTCAGTTTTTGCACCATGACATAAGGACTTAAGTCTTAATTTGTTGCCTGTTGAAACCCCTGGTCCAACAACTCTACAGCTATGGCCTGGTTCCAGGGTGGCCTTAACGCTTTTACGTGCTGGCTCGGTCTGGATCGTTTCTACAGAAAAAGAAGGACTAAACTCAAAGTCCATATCTTTCTGTTTTCCCCAATCCCCTCCTCGGATGCGTGGATTTAACAGTTCCTCTATTTCATTTGTCGAGATCACTTCGCTTCTTTCCTCTTTCTTCAAAGATTGCAATCATAATCTGTAATTTATACTCGTTGGAAACAAAGTTAGTAGTGTCATGTGCCTCATCTTCAGCTGATACTTTCACTTAACAGCTGATCAGGTCATTATCTACCTTTGGAAAAGCTCGGGGACTGTAATCCCTTCAGATGGGAGACTGTGGGTCTATTGCCCAAGGTGTTACAGCCAGGCTTAAATAGGCTTTAGGTTTACTGGCAGACCAGTAGGTTGTCTCACTTGACACCTCCCACAGTTTGTGGTGCAATGTTTGTTTTTTCACAGGCTTCCCAAGTGTGTTCCTCTTTGGGACCTCCAGGCTTTCTCATGTCTTTAAGGCTCTTTAGGTGAGCCGGAAAAGCAAACAAAGACATATCTATTATATGGTAAGTGGATCCCCCATTACCCTTCCATTTCAGTGCCGTCGCCAGTGTGGGCCACTTTCCAAGTGACTGATATTTTCACAGGGGCCAGCATGTCAAGGGAAGGTGTAATTGATTGTCTTGGATATTTGAGTATGCCACTTTCCCCGGTTCACAGACCTCCTAATGCTTCCCTCTCCAGCTCTCCAGCTAGCTTGTGTGGCGAGGATTTGACACATGACAGAGAAGCGGGATAGACATGTGGTGATGGTATATCATAGGACAAGGGCATTGGAGGCCATAACTTCCCTTGAGCAGCTGAGACCGTTTTTCAGCCAGTAATATAGGAAATGTCCATCATAAATGTCAAATGTTTTTCTATATTAAAAAGATGTATGCCGCCTCCTGCTGCCTTTACCGCTGGTCATTTCATGCACACATGTTCCCAAGTAGCTTTTGAACGGATGTTATTTCTGCTGAAAAAGGATCCCTGCTGAAATTTATCCAAAGGAAAACCTCAAGGCTGAATTCACCAGGTCCTGTCCGAGTTTATTGAGTAAAGCTCCTCTTGCGCCCCAGACAGGTTTTGATAGCTGCCTGCAGGAAGGCAGTGTTTGGAGGAGAACTTATCTGTTTAGGTGAGTCTCTTTATCAGCTTGTGTTTAGGTTTGGGCTTCTCTAAACATGACTGAGAGGCAAACCCCTCTCAAGTGAATGTTTCCTGTTCTTCCTTTTATGATCTAATTACTTAAACAGGAAGAGATTATTAGTATTATTTGATATTATTGAATTTGCTTTTCAATATTTTTCTCAGACTTTTGGAACCAGAGGCACTTCCAAGAGCCAGACTGAACAAAAAAAAAAAAAAAAAAACTTGCTCTAGATGAGAAATTGAGAGTTGACAGTGCAGGTCATTTAACTTTCTTTTACGATACTGATCTGCTGTCGGGAGTCGTGCCAAAAAACCTGCGTCTGTACCATCTGGCTTTCCTGTTAACTTCTGTGAGAGTGCTACAACTTTGACTGTAGATTTCCAAATACCTGTATAAAGGCGCAAGACCAGTCAACCGCAGCAAGTCTTACAATCAGATAATCCCTAACACGGCTATTAACTGTGTGCACCGTGTTGTCTTGGCCCTCTGCCACTGCACCCCTAAGAACGGCACTTACCCTGAGTAAATCGATGCAAACAAGTGAAGTTAATGCCACATGGAAAAAGACTCCCATTCTGAAGTTGATAAATCACTGTTACAAACATGACCCTGTTGCGTCATATTAGTCTGCAGGCTGGTGTTTCTCAGCTGCATGGGTCTTGTAAGTGTCTATGACATTTTTCCAACTGAGTTACCGTATTACTTTTTCAGTTTTAAATCAATGTTCCTTTAGTGTTATCAAAATACAGACTATTTTAAGAAGAGGCTCTTTGTCCAAAGTTTGGATCACGATCTCTATTTATATACGATTAACACAGAGTCAGTGATTTGATTTGATTTATTTTGGATCCACCATTAGTTACAACAAGATATAGAGTAACTATTTTTCCTGAGGTTGTAATATTATTTTTCCATTTTCCATTTTGAACTTAGACATGTACTTACAGACATTACACTTACATTAACACTCACACTGCACTTCATTCATACAGTAGCTCTTATTCTCTCTTGATCGTTGAAAAATAAACAAATACATAAAGAAAGAAAGGGAAGAAGTGTAATGGTCATCTCTTTTTGGGAAAGTCCGGTCTTTCTGTTAACTGTACCATTCACGCATGGATCCAATATGGACACCCATATAGTGTCCAGGAGGTGAACTGGACCCTCTCCTCCTTCCACTCTATTCTGTAATCTTTGCTGGACCTCACTGGGCCACCCTCCAAGTCCCAGTCCAGATCCCTGCAAAATGATGTACTGCAATACCAGCTGCTTTCTAGTTTTGACTCTTAGTTTTATCTTTTAACCGAAACGCCACTGCAGAACAGTGGATATAAATTTGTGAAGGATATAAATTTGTCAGGGGCTTTTCTCACATATATCCTCAGCAGCCAAGATTATACACCTCCATGACTAGACTTGGCTTCAGGCATTTTTCTCCTCTCTCTCTTTCTCTCCCTCTCATACAGCCTGTCTTTCTTTTTTGTTGTTGTTGTTGCCTCTGTCTGCCTCTCTGGTCTGTTTAGTTGGTCAGGAGGCCAGAGCAGGGCCCGGACGACAGCAGACAGCTGCCAAAGCTCTTCTTATTCGACCAGGATATCCTCTTGATTTGACATCATGCCAGCAATGACCATCGAATGTAGTAATCTGGCAGACGGGTCAGGGAGCAGCTGGGTGCACGTGCCATGCATGCCAGTCCACTGTCTTAAGGAGCATGAAGTTGGCTTGCCAGGTTTGGAGCTTAAGCTTAGCTGACTAGCTGTACAGCCTCTCCTTGCAGGCACTGGGTCACACCGGGTCAAACTTAATGGCCTATCATTTATGTAGCGACACCTCCTCAAGGTCTTTTATTTTTCCAAGAAGTAATGGCCGCATTGTCTCTTTTAATCAAGTTGTGAGATTTTAGACAAATGTTGGACAGAATGAAGTCTTTCCAGGGGAAGCAAACGGTCTCGCTCTCCAAGTTTATTTTGGTTTCTGTCCCATAAATATCTCCGATACTGCCTTCTTATGGAAAGCAAACTTGAACACTGGATCTTTTTCATCTTTTTAATCTTCAAATCAAAGTTTTTCAATCCAATTATTTTCATTCACATGGTTAAAATTCTTTTATTCTGCATTTCTCAACAGCTTCTAAGTTCATGTGAACAATTTAAAACTTTTTTTTTAGTGTCTGGATATTGGAATTGATTGCAATTTATTGCTCTTTTATAAAAAAAGGTTGAAGTAAATGCTGCTCTGCTACACCACTGCGGTCTGAAACTGAAGTTCGAGATAGGAGACAGCTTCAGAGTGATTCACACAACGGCCTGTGACAGTACACACACTCTGCCAGCTTTCAGGACATCAGTCTGATTAGCTTCACTTGTGTTCTTAGCTTGAAGTTAGTTATTTGACCCAAAATGCATTTTACTCAAGCTGTGGAGGCTAAAATACAGTGTGCCAAATGGGACAAAATAGCACACACAAGTAAACTAAATCAAAACGCACTGAATTTACAGTAACACCATCTTTGACTTTGTTGCAGCATGTGTCTCATCCTGTCATCCTTCAAAGTCTAAATGTCAGTTCTACTGGTGTATAAAATGTTAAACCCCAAATTAAACCTCATTCTGTAAAGCATTTGTTTCCTTTGGGAGGAAGATTGACTGGTAGTAATTGGTCGTGGTTTGGCTTTCAGAAAGAACGCAACATATCCGAGATGTCTGCCAACATGTCAAAAAGTGTGTGCAAATCGTATATTTATCAGTTTTTCTTTTTATAAAATAAGACACTAACGATATAACTGTATATTTACAATTTCTATAAAATGATGTAAAGAAAATGAATGTAAATTCCAGCCCATTTATTCGTCTCACCAGAAGAGTTCTACTTTTTCTAAATGTCTTTTCTGCAACGTGACCGGGTTTCAACAGTTAGGCTACAGTTTACACACACACACAGATGCACACAGGTGATTATGGATTTTTTGACACCCTTCTGCATGTATAAGCCGCTTTCTCCCATGCACAAGGCGAGGCCCCAGGTCTGTATGACCTAGAAGAAGCTAGACTGGGTGACCCACTGGTCATCCAAGGAGCCATCTGGCAACCCATGTCTTGTGTGGCTTACCCTTCCCACTGCCTCACGCAATTCCTTAAGCAAGCATAAGTGCGCTTAGGAGGACTTAATCTCAGGGAAACTGGTTTGGGCCACACTGTCGACTGCCAGTGTGGATGCACCCGTCTGTTCCTGCAGGTCATGGGGTTCTTTCAGTCATGTAACACCGAGACAGTGTTTTTGGCCATGGATCCTGGCTGCCTGTTGTTGTGCATCTAAAATCTCTAGGGTGGATGTAGCCCCTCAGAAGGTGTTCATACCAACTCGGTATTAAATAAATGGAGGATCCTTTGGTATTTCAGGACTGTGCGACTGCAACGCTGCTCTGAAAACCTGATAAGTCATGTGGTATCAGGTTTCTGGGATTAGTTGTCTGATGTTACAAACGATTGCGGGTATTCAACGCGCTGAGATGCGCGGTAATGTTCAGTTGGCCTGAGAGGGAAGGAGGAGAAGTGAGAGAAGCTTGAGCTTGTCTGCACTTGCACAGAGGTCACTGCTGCCCTTTTGACTGTCTGCCAGTGCAGGGGCTAGAGTCTTCCAGAAGAGGGCCTTGGCTACAGGCAGACAAGTGAGCCAGCCAGCCAGACAGGCAGCCAGCCGCAACGTCTGCAGTCCAGGTCTGGGGCTAGAGCCTGGGCTAGGGCAGCTCGAGTTACCCAGACAGATTTGTTAACACTGTTTGGGTCCACTCGGCTTTCTAGCCAGGCCTCTGAGCCAAACGCGGCTGAGGTGACTTAATCTGTCATTAAACTCACATTACACCCGGACAGAGACTCGGCTCAGGGGCAGAGACAGCGCTCGCTCTCCCACTCACTGGCATGGCTGGCTGGATTTGAGCAGACACAAAGAATACCCCCACCTTCCCCCCTCCTTCTCCTCCTCCTCCTCCTCCTCCTCCTCCTCCCTATCCTCTTCATGCCACACACCATGGCACAGCTAGACAGCCCAGCACGGTCTAGACAAAAGCAATTTCACTTGAAGTTGAAAAGTCATTTGACTGTGTGACAGGCACCTGTGTGGCTCTGGTGGCATTTACAGACTGCTTTTGTTTTTTTTCTTTTCTTCTTGTATTGGAAAAGAAATCTCTGGTCATGAAAAGAGCTGCTCAGACACTGACATGATAAAACATCAGCAGAAATATATACAAATGCTGCATGGATACTAGACATGTTGTGATGTTTGTTTTTCTGTGGTGTGTACTGTCAAAAATGGCTTCCCAGGTCTGCAGAGACTAATAGTCCTCCTTCCAGTGTACATCTTTGAACAGAGAGTGGGTGTAAAATCCAGATCAAACTTCTCAAAGTGACTGAAACTAAACTGAACATCTCTGAAGAAACCGCATTTCCTTGAAACTTGAAAAGTTTGTTGCCTTATTTTGTTTTATTTTGTCAGCTCCAAAGACCAAAACGATCAAACTCAGCTCTAAGGGACTACATAATCAGTCCCTGTTGTACTTTTATTACACCAGTGACACTGTTAATATTCAGATGTCCTCCTCAGAGCTGCTGACAGGTCATATTCTCCTCTGTGAATTCTTCAATGGCCGTCAGACAAACAGGAGGAGATGGCTGGACTTCGTTCTCATGGCCCAAACTAAATTGCTTCCATTAGACTCGTCTTCAAAATGTCAGAATCCCTAACAACCTGCAGGACCCTCAGTTGGAGGTCTAAGTCATTGTTTCCCTCGGCTCATATATATATATTTTTTTTTTAACCCAACAGCTGGTTCTTGTTCTACTGCCAACCTCACCGCACCCCCACTGTCATGAGCCGCAGACAGCGAGCATATGAACTTTATGATTAACTGTGCCAAACCAGCACGGCCAGATTTGTCAAAGAAGGCGCACGCATCATTTTATTAAATACCATCTGACTATTACACAGGATTCATTTGTTTATTCCTCAATCTTGGGAACATGCAGCAGCACTGTGTTAGTAACAATGTGAAGAGAACACATTGTGCATGTAATTAAAGTAAAGATACAAAGGGTACTTTCTCTTTTATGACCTCTGTTCCCTGAAGACACACTTGAGGGAAAAAATAAAACTTCAATCAGCTTCTTAATCACAAAGTAACATGTACTGTACTTTGTTTTCTCACATCTGAAACGTTTTATTCAATTCTCTGATGTGTGTGTGATTGCTGTTCATTACACATGTTGCAATAAAGGAGATACAACTGTTCATTTTTATGGTAATAAGATATTACAAGCACACCTTTTGAAGTGCAACTGTTTGATTTGACATTTGACAGGTTTCTAAACCCGGCTTTGTTGACTGATCACACGCTGTTTGTCTCCACAGATTAAGAAGTACTTTGAGCTGGAGCCGCTGGCCCGAGGGAAGCGCTGGATCCTGGAGGGGAGCTCCACTGACAACATGGAGGCCGTGAAGGAGACCTTTGGCCAGTTTATAGGTCTTCTGGAGGACAAAGACACAGAGCCTGCAAGGATATGATGCTAACGCTGCTAATGCTAGGAGACATTAGCGGCTATGACAAAAAGAAAACATGCCACGTGCTGCTGGTGCCCATGTACACACACATGCACAGACACACACATGAACACATGAGATGATAGAACAGAAGGAGTTGGCCTCTCTCTCCCTCTCCCTCTCTCTCTCTCTCTTTCTCTCTCTCTCTCTATCCCTTTCTCCCCTTTGGAAGTATATTGTATGTTATCCACCTTTCACTGGGCTCTCATTTACAAATAGGAAAGATTGTTCACAATCAGTCAGCCACTACAACCTGACCGAGGGGATCTGCCAGTAAAAGCAGCCGATGTAAAGCAGTTTATCCAGGAAAATCGCTGAACTCCGCCAGAAATGGAAATCTTGTTTACTACTGTCTGTGCCATTGGGATTAAACCAGCGGCATGTGGGACATATGGCATTCCTTCAGTCATCATTGGACACTAACACACACACACATACTGAGTGTTACACACACAATATCACACACAAAGTGAGCCCTAGGTTGTCTGTAGATATGTTTAACATCTCCAGTAATGACTTTACAGGCTGTGTGGGTGGGCACTCTTAACGTTTTCACAGAGAAGTACTGTATGGCTGTCAGTGTGTGCTTCTCCTCTTGACCTGGTAACAACGAATGTCGTTGTGTGATTGGAGTGTGTAGTGCAAAGCCTTGTGTTATGTACGGTAGTTACATATCTATTCTGAATAGTGTAGTCTGAGTATCTCATGGAGTATTATGTACATGCAAAGAAGAATACTGCTGTGTACCCTCCTGTGCAGCCATACACCAGTACAACTAATCATGTGACTATAAGTGCTTACTTTACTGAGACGTGAGGTGGGAACAAGTCTGAATGCTTTTATAAATGTGCAACTTAGGATCAATTTTATAGCTCTGTATGTTAACCTTGTAGAGCTGTGTTCAGATTTTTATATATATCACACCTCATTTATGAATTCTTTCAAATTCAAAGTGAAAAAAAAAAAAGAAAAATCAAAACAAATGAATGATTGACAGGGCTCAGTGCAGCCACAATGAGGACAAATGTGATGGTGGATTTAGTTTCCTTTCAGTGTTAAGCAAATGTCATGTTTGTTTGTTTTTGTTTTCTACATTTTTATTGTATTTCCTTTTTGTTTTGTTGTTTTTTTTTTCTTTTCAAACTGAGATAATCCCTCTCTGTCCCAGCGAGCAGCTCCAGTCTCCCATCAGGGTGGAATACAAACTCTATCAATCAGCCACGGCAACAGCTGCATCTGACAAGTCCCTGTCCGACACCCTAATGCCTTCCAACTGTCTGTGAAGACCCCTCCCTGTCTGCTGTTTATCGTGGACCCCCACACCACCCCACTCTGCCCCCCCCTCCACAGCAGCTCCACTACTCATCCCCATTCCTGCTCGGTGGGGTTTTCATCATGTGGACCGCACACCTTTAAATGGAGGGGTATTGATCTGACACAGGTTTATTAATGAAGGTCGTTCACACGCCACCTCTCTCTGTGCTTTGTATTTTTAATGTTGTTGTTTTGTTCTCAGTTTCGTCCGTTTTTTAGCCACTCTGTATACCTGATCAGATCTGTCAGGTAGCTTTTATCAGTCTGGGAGGGCCTGTGTTCAGCCACCTGAATGCAAAACAAATCTGTGGACGAGGGATTATACAAATGTCCGACTTTGCATATCATCTGCCCACACTTTCACTGAAGTCTGTTTTCTTTTTTTGAACATTTGTTTGTTTTTTCCAATCAAGCTTTTTGTCTAATACGGCAATTAAAGTTTTAAAAAACTGAAATATGGCTTTTATTATTATTATTATTATTATTAACATTTAAATCCTGATTACTTTTGCTACTTGTGGTGGTTTGTGAGTTTCTGTCTGTCTAGGTTTGACTTGAATCAGGTCTTTGTGCTCTCAGGTACCTGTAAAGTACAACGTAACCACTCTCTGTATCAGTATGAAGTGTGTGATGAGTTGAATATACATGTCTGGAAACACTTTCTTATCACCTGTCTTTGATTTGTGGTTTAAAGTAACCTGAGACACCAGCAGCTGATCCTGAAGTCACCACTGAAGAACCACTGAAGGTTAAACCAAATTTGTTTTTTTCCTCCAAGAATCTAAAAAGTCAAAGAGTAGCAGCTGAAGAAAGTTTGGAGTGCAGAGTTAACCGAGTGAGACAGGAGTTCCTGATAAATACACTCTCCTCTGTGCTACCTCTGCCTCCCCTTTTCTTCTCCTTTTGCCCTTCTTCCATCTCTTTCAAATTAACCGTGTGGCTTTAATACAATGTGTGTCATGCAGGTTGCCCTGGCGACTCTTTGATCCTGTTTTCCAGTCTCTGCCTCTGGGGCAGACGTGCTTCTCTTCAGTCTGCTGCACACCGGCTCTGGAAGCTGCTGCAGCCCAGAGACAAACCATGGGCTGCTGGGCTTGCCTCGCTCCCCCCCTTTTCTTCCTGTCGTTCTCACTTTCGCTCTGGTTTTTGACTCCTCACCATCTCTTTCTCCTAATTTCTTCTCGTCTCACAGGTTCTCCCTTTTTTTCCCCCTCACTTTCTGTCTGTCTGTCTGCGCTCCCCTTTGGTCACGCCAAAGTAGCCCTCCCTCAGCATCGGCATCTCAGGAGCCTGGGGAAAAGGAAGAGACCAGGACTACAGCGATGCAGCCCTCCTGGGGTGAAAAAGGGAGACCTCACTCTTTCTCTCTCTCTCTCTCTCTCTCTCTCTCTCTCTCTCTCTCTCTCTCTCTCTCTCTCTCTCTCTCTCTCTCTCTCTCTCTCTCTCTCTCTCCCTCTCTCTCTCTCTCTCTCTCTCTCTCTCTCTCTCTTACAGATGATTTTACTCCTCTGAAAAGATGCCAACAGCCCTCTCCTCCCACTCTTCACATCAACCTGCTCATTCTGTTTAATGGCTGGTATCTTCCTCGAGTGTGAAGGTGTTTTTTTTCCCTCAGCTGGTCCTGGCTGCAGGCTCTCTATGTGGCTTTTAGATGAAAGACGGCAGAGTTATTTGTTATTGTTGTGCGGTAATACAGTCCAGACATTGGAAATCAGTCTGTGTTCACAGTTGCATTACCAAGCAACAATAACATGGAAGTGATGTTTACTGTGATGGATACCGTCTCTGCCCAAACTTTCAAGTCTCTGCAGGTTGATTTTATAATTCACTAGGATGGTAATTAATTGCTGCCTTGAAGGGGGGAAACTCAAACTATCTATGGTAGACCTTATTTTTGGCAGAATTTCAAAGCCAAGATGTAAAAGAATCGAGCATGCAGTACAGACAGAGTTTGGTTTTTTAAGAATGGAGCAAGACAGAAAAATGTAAGCGAACATAATGTGCACTGCCGTGCCCTTGAGCAAAGTTTATAAATCATTTGGTTTCTCTGACGTAAAAAGAGCAAAGCGTTGGCCTCACTGCGAATCATTTTTGTTTGCACAACCTGAAGTGTGCACAGCACAGAACATTACAGGAAATCCTCCATCAGGTGTGGATTTGGTTGAAATTGAGTAAAGGCTGTGTTTATTGTAGCACTGCAGGACTAAAAAATCAGCAGTCATTTCACAGTTGAGGAAGTAGACTGGCCACAACATGAGTGAAACCATGTGGTTTCTTCAACAATATTATCATTAATCATTCGAAAACATTTTATCTTTTTTCACACAACCTCAGCGGGACTCTTTACACCGACAAGTAAAAGCTGCAGAGTTTGCTGCCTCACGTTTCTTTCCTCCAAGGATCATATAAAGAGATCAAGTATTGTCTTTTTTGCATGCAGTATTTAATAGTTCTAGGGCTAACTTACAAAACCAAGACTACAATATTTGCAGTCAGGTCTTTTTTTTGAGACATGAGTTAATATTTAATGAGGCTTTAAGACGAAAACAAAAGAAACATGCTGATTGTTAAACCATTAGGGCGTTTATAAGCAGTTATTAGAGACATGTTAAGAGTTTAAGGACTAGACTCTTCGGTTATTTTGATCAGACATACTTTAATGGGCCTTCAGTTGCAGCTTACTTTACTTTTTGCAGAACTTAGGTGTGACCCTTATTTAGAACTGTACATAATCTTTTAAGCTTTACTGGCTTCATTTAAGATTTTGAAGCTGAAAGCAGAACAGGATATCAATATTTAAACTGTGATAAAAAAAAATTTAAGTTGTATTTATGCACAAATATGAAGTCAATTCCTGTACTGATGTGTTTTACATGCACAGTACAAGAATATTTCCTCCTATAAGGACTTATCAGAGGTTGAAAAAAGTCCTGTCACAGATGACGAAATGAATCCTCTGAGCTTTGTGAAATGCAAATGCACGACCCAACAGGGAACCTAACTTTCGTTTACAAGACAAACACAAGCTGGCATGTTTTCTTAAACTCTGCGAAGAATGTCTTTCTCTCTCTGTCTCTGTCTTCTCCCGTCCAGTGCGTGTGGTGGCGTCTCTGCTGATAAGAGCCAGCCGAGAGGTGGAACAGATGTTTCCCTGACAACCATCTGGGCCTCGTACCCCTGCTCTGCCTCCCACAGCCGATGCTCCGCGCAGGACACCCCACATTCCCCCATCATTCACAGTCAGGGGGCTGCTCCTCTCATCAGGATCCTCGGCAGTGACACAGCACAGAGAGAGGCCGCGATGCTGCTTTCATTCATGTTACATGTGTGTATGTGTGACCCCCGGGTTCATCCGAGGTGTTTCCTCTTTGTTTCAACACTCTGCGGCCTTCATGACTCTCCCTCACACACATACACACACACCCCTTTGAATAACAAACACAAGTGACGGAAATGCATTGACATGATGTAAGCTAGTGAGGAAATGTTTCCTGGACCAAATAATCATTTCCAGACATGTGAGGCGATGGCTCCAGAGAAACACACTCTGTTCAACGCTTTGACACTCATGAGGGGTGGCACTGAGCAATTTTTTAATTCACTCAAACTGATCTGCTGTCTTATATTGATTCTTATCATAAATTCATCCTCTTTGGTTGGTATTAGATTTGACTTTACAGTTGTGAAACAGCAGATGGTTATTAAAAGTTAAAATCAAAAGCATGTGAAACAGCAAGGAAATCAACCTCAGATTTTTATCCACTCGAGCAGCATGTGGCGAGAAAGAGCTGACCTTTATGCAAAACTAACTCACTCTGTTAATTTCAAATTACAGCCAAACGACTTTCCTACACTTTAAACAGACAATCAAGTCTGAAATATTCACATGCCCGTGTGCGTAGGGCCCACTGAGCCTTTTTTGGTCTAAAAGAGGTCTAATAGACGTCTAAATGTAGTCTCGATGACTGGTCTAAAATCAGGCTACCACAGATCTAAAAATGAAAGTTTTTTAGACGTCTAAAGTTAGACCAAGTTTAGATTAAATCTAAATCTGGGCTTTATCTATACTACGCTGTATATTGCACAACGGCTATCATAATTATTTTTGGTTAAGTACTTGGAGATCAGTTATGAAACTCACAGCTGCTTTTTAAAATAAGTAGTTATTGAACAATGGGTTAAAGAGCGACTTCTAAATTCTGTCTAAAAATAGAATCTAGACGGTTGAAATTAGGTCTAAAAAAACTAGACGTCTAATAGCCGTCTATTGCTCAGTGGGGGCTTTGAAACACATTCTTAAGGAACATCATGCAACTAATCAGGTCAATTTGCAACAGGTTAGCAACATGATGTGGTCTAAAATTGGCACTCAACAGAGGCTTTGTCCCTCAGAAGTTCAGATGGAACAAGGTTCACCACTTTGTAAGAGACTGCATGAACAGGAGTTCCTCAGGGGTCGTTTATAAAAAACATTTACATCTGCCTGACAACACCTCATTACAGGCGGAAGCTCTGCATCAAAAGCAGAAGTGACTCTGTGGTGGAAATCACTGCATGAGCTTGCAATCACGTTTATCTCTGGGCCCAGTTTGTTACTGCATCCACAAATGCAGGTTAAAACTGCACTGTGAAAAAGAGAAAACCTTTTATAATATGACCCAGGAACGGCAGCAACGTCTCTGGGCCTGAGTCTATTTTTGATGCACTGAAGTGAAGGAAAACGGAGGAACCACGCTCCAAAAGCCAGCATATGTGATGGTATAGGAGGGCATAAGTGCTTATGGTATGGGCAGCTTACATATATACTAGTAGACTCTATTGATGCTTCACAATACTGTGTAGACAGGTTTTTGAGTAGCACATACTTCCATGTGTCCAGACAATATCTTTTTGTCAGAGCAGACCTTTCTTATTTCAGTGAAACAATGCTAAACGACATTCTGTTTGTATTACAGCAGAGTGGCTCCTTAGTAGAAGAGTCTAGTCTAAACTAGCTCACCTGCAGTCCTGACTTGTCCCTCATTGCAACATTTGGTGGATCATGAGTATGAAAGTACAACAAAGGAGACACTGACCTTTTGAGCCACTGAAATCCTTTATCAGTCAAGGATGGGACGATATTTCACTTTCAAATCAGCAGAAACTGGTCACTTTGGTTCTCAAATCTTTACAAAGAGCTGACAAAAGAAGAGGCGGTGCTTCATATGAGTAAACATGCCTCTTTCACAGTTTGCTGGCTTCAAATGTTCATGCATTTTTCATGCAAAAATCAATTAGTTTCATTTTCTTTGCACCACTTTCAAAAATATAGAAGTTAAAAGAATTTAAAAACAAATTTGTGTTTTTACTCATATTAAACTGAAGCTGCAGAATAAAGTAGTTATTTAAACCACAAAGGCATACATAAGTAGTGTTCATGTGCTCTTTTTTAACTGTCTTTGTATTTATTTGAATG